CAGGTATAGTGTGGGATTCTGGGTGGCAGGTGGCACGAGACTGGGAATGTGTGCTTACATATGAAGTGGCTCTTTAACCACTGTCTCATTGACAGGAGGAATAGTAGCCGTGCAGTGGAAAGAAGTAAGCCTGAGAGCATGATGGTTAGGAGCAAGGGCCTTGCAGTCAGTCCTGTGTTGATTTTCTGGCCTCACAACTTACTGGCTCTAGGACCTCCATTTTTTTTTTTTTTAATTAAGAAATGTTTAAATTTATTTTCCTTTTATTTGAAAGGCATAGAGAGACAGAGAGAGAGAGATACAGAGAGATCTTCCCTCCACTGATTCAATCCCCAAATACCTGCAACAGCCAGGGCTGGGCCAGGTAGAAGCCACATGTCTCCCATGTGGGTGGCAGGGGCCTAAGTACTAGAGCCATTACCTGCTGACTCCCAGTGGGCATTAGCAAGAAGCTGGAATTGGAAGTAGAGCTAGAACTCAGGCACTCTGACATGCCTGACATACAGGCATCCCAAGTGATGTTCTAACCACTGTGCCAAATGCCTGTTACTCAAATAAATTAATTAGTTCCTTTGTTCTTTAATTTGTAAAATGGGTTGTGAGATGTGTTAATTAGGATTTGTTTACAGAGTTAAGTAATTATATGTGAACTACTCAGTGTGGTAACTGGCATGTAGTAAGTGCTTAAAAGCTATCATTGTCATCATCATGATAATCTTCACTGTTAGTGTTATTCAAATAAAGCAGATGTGTGGAGTGGGAGAGGTGGGAGAGGTGAAGGGAGGCGGACTGCAGGGGGAGCTGTTTACTCAGTGATGTGACTCTGCGTGTGGGGGAACTGCAGGCAGAGAATGACCAGGAACGGTTCCTGAGCGACCTGCGTCGTGATGTACAGAAGGTGGTTGGCTTTGATGCTGTGATGCGAGTCCGGACAAGCACCGGTCAGTCCTGGCTGGAGGAGTATGTGGGAGGAACACTGAGAGGGAGGCACGTGGTACCTGTCCTACCTTAGCCCTCACCCTATTTCCTGTGATTTCAGGTATCCGTGCTGTAGATTTCTTTGGCGCTTTCTACATGAGCAACACAACAGATGTGGAACTGGCTGGGCTGGATGGGGACAAGACAGTGACTGTGGAGTTCAAGCATGATGATCGACTCAACGAAGAGAGTGGTGCCCTCCTTCAGGTGGCAGGCCAGAGGCAGGGGCCAGGGAGGAAGTGTGGGATGTCAGTCTCTGGGTATAAAAAGGCTGCAGGGAAGAGGGTGAGGAGTGGGGAGAGAGGCCTGGCAGAGGAGGCTGAGGGGAGAGACTTCATAATAGAGCACAGGGGCAGTTTTCCTGGGGGCTTCTGTGAGGTAGGGGTGTGAGTTTTCCTTTTTCCCTTCCTCTAGTGTGCCCTGCTTTACACCAGTTGTGCAGGGCAACGTCGGCTCCGCATCCACAACCTGGCCCTGAACTGCTGCACCCAGCTGGCTGATCTGTATCGAAACTGTGAGACTGACACGCTCATCAACTACATGGCCAAATTTGGTGAGGGTAGAGGCCGAACAGGGAGGGAGTAGGGCTGAGAGAAAGGTCTAGGATGGTCAGTGAGCCCTTGGTAGGTGTGATGGTGGGAAGGCATGTATGGTGGGTACCTAACCAGTGATGTGCCCTGTCCCTTTCCTGTCCAGCATACCGGGGAGTCCTCAATAGCCCTGTGAAGACTGTCCGTGATAGTCTCATCACCCAGTGTGCCCAGATCCTGGCCTGTTATAGAAAGAACTGTGCCAGCCCTTCCTCTGCAGGACAGGTGAGGAGGGATGTTAATGGAGGGGTTACTGTGATAACATTTTTGCATTTGGGAGGCATTTTTCATGACTGATTTCATTTAATTTGATGAACCCCTCAGTTGATCCTTCCTGAGTGTATGAAGCTACTCCCAGTTTACCTGAACTGTGTGTTGAAGAGTGATGTCCTGCAGCCTGGAGCTGAAGTCACTACTGATGACCGTGCCTATGTCCGACAGCTGGTTACCTCCATGGATGTGGCTGAGACCAATGTCTTCTTCTATCCTCGGCTTCTACCACTGGTATGACTGAGGGAATGTGAGACACTGCACTGAATAAAGTCTCTTAGGAGAGGGGAAAAGGGCAACATTATCTGTGACTGACATTAGTGGATTTTTTTCAAAAGATTTATTTTATTTATTTGAAAGAGTTACCAGGAGAAGTAGAGACAGAGAGAGAGAGAGAGACTCTTTCATCTACTAGTTTACTCCCCAAATGGCCTCAGTGGCTGGAGCTGAGCTGATCAAATCTCTTCCGGGTTTCCCATGTGGGTGCAGGGGCCCAAGGACTGGGGCTGTCCTGTGCTGCTTTCCCAGGCACATTAGCAGGGAGCTGGATTGGAAGTGGAGTAGCTGGATTCAAACTGGCACCCATATGGGATGCTGGTGCTGCAGGTCAGGGCCTTTTTTTCAATTTTATTTTATTTGAAAGGCAGTTACAGAGAGGCAGAGAGAGGGAGAGAGAGAGAGAGAGAGAAAAAGAGCTTCCATCTGCTGCTTCACTCCCCAATTGGCTGCAGTGGCCAGAGCTGTGCCAATCCAAAGCTAGAAGCCAGGAGCTTCTTCTTGGTCTCCAACACAGGTGCAGGGGCCCAACGACTTGGGCCATCTTCCACTGCTTTCCCAGACCATAGCAGAGAGCTGGATGGGAAATGGAACAGCCAGGACTTGAACTGGCGCCCATATCGGATGCTGGCACTGCAGGCGGCAGCTTTACCTGCTATGCCACAGCACTGGCCTGTCAGGGCCTTAACCCACTGTGCCACAGTGCCCATCCCTGAATTTTTTTTTACATACATTATCTGATATAATTTTCATATACAGAGTTAGAGACCCTCAGAAGGGATGGTGTATGGAGATGTAGCTTTCTGAATTGGGAAGGGGTGGCACAGATGTGTTCTCTGGTCCTTGGTAACCTTCTGCTCCCTCTTGTCCTTGTGTCTAGACAAAGTCTCCCATTGAGAGTACCACTGAACCACCAGCAGTTCGAGCATCTGAAGAGCGTCTAAGCAGTGGGGATATATACTTGCTGGAGAACGGGCTCAATCTCTTCCTCTGGGTGGGAGCAAGTGTCCAGCAGGGTGTTGTCCAGAGCCTTTTCAGCGTTGCTTCTTTCAGCCAGATCACCAGTGGCTTGGTGAGGGCATGGTGTGGGTATTAGAAGTACAATTCCTGATATAAGTGGGAGCTGATAAAGTTAGAATGCTAGACCCTTAAATATCAGGAAACAATAGGGGGAGTGGGAATGTATCATTGTTCCCTGCTTCGTGGTACCAGATGATGTGTAAATCTTGTGCTGTCCCATCTTGACTGAACTCAAGAGTACCTTACCATGAATGAATGTTGTGTTCCAGAGTGTTCTGCCAGTTCTTGATAATCCACTGTCCAAGAAGGTTCGAGGCCTCATCGATAGCTTAAGGGCACAGAGATCACGGTACATGAAGGTAACACTGATCTGAACCCTGGATTTCTTACCTTATCGAGTCCTCACCTGGAAAAGAGGGGATGGGGAGTAGGTGACTAGGTCATGGGATTTCTGGGCAGGTTTAATTCCTTTTGGCCCCACCTCATAACCCTGTGTTCTGGCCGTAGCTTATCGTGGTGAAACAGGAGGACAAGCTGGAGATGCTGTTCAAGCACTTCCTGGTGGAAGACAAAAGCCTGAGTGGGGGAGCATCCTACGTGGACTTTCTCTGTCACATGCACAAGGAGATCCGGCAGCTACTGAGCTAAAGCAAGAGGGTAACTGGCATAGGGTCTCAGGCCAGCTTCTATAAAGTAATCCAGGATGGCAGAGAAATCGGGACAATTCCATATCTTATAAGTCATGTAAGCTGACCTCAGTCTCTTTGCTGGGAGGGGGAGACATAAGGAGGCACCTTCTTTCTGGGCTCAAGTATCCTACCACTCTTGTCATGTCCTGCTGATGGAAGGTGCCCTCATCCCCTCACTCTACCCTCCGTTTCCTGCTAATCCTGTTGTAATGAATGTAGTTTCTCAGTTCACTGTATATGATTTGGTGTTGGGGGTCTGGAGGCACCCAGACCCTAGCAATATTATATGTCCCTTTGGACCAGCCTCCAAGAGGAGAGGGACAAGCAGGAAGGAGTGGGGATCCCAGCATTACTAGAGGGGTTGGCTAATTCAGCTCAGTGTCATCAACAACTTCCTATATTAGGGATAAAACATACAGGTGCACAAGAGCTGGGGTATAGACCGTAGGTGATGGAGAGACAACGGATGGGTCCTTCTTGGGCCTGGGGAACAATAGCCACGTAAGCATTACTGAGGGTGGTTGATTTTCTCTCTCTGCTTCCACCACGTGTTCTCTGTCCCATGCAATGACTGGTGATCACATTGTGGGTGGAGGCACACTGTCAGAGATGAATGAGCCTGGGAACTGAGTTGCAAAATATGTTAACACCTGGGAGAGGTACCAGCCCCCATCCAGCTGGAGAGGGCCCAACACTAGATGGTTCTGGAGGGAGCCTGATCATCAACTTGCAATACCTCACAGAGCCAGCCCACATCCCACTCTGAGCTCCCACTGGAAGCACTGCTTCTCCAAGCCGGTGGTTGTTGGGAGAGGGGCAGAGGTAGTCGCAGCCATGTTCTCTCCCACCGCGACGCCACTAGGGCTGTGGTACTGACCGAGTGGCTGACAGTTACCTTCAACCCCAACTGGCTGGGGCAGAACAAGGGCTAGGATTGATGGTGGCCAGGCTTGCCTGCTCCCAGCCTGGGATGCCCCTGCTCTGGACCTCTCATTTCTCTTCATTGGTTTATTTTTCAATGCATCTTTAATTTGTAAAGAAATAAAATAAATTAAGATGTAACCAGTAGCCTCATCTCCAGCTGTCATTTTCTCTTCAGCTCTGGCCACCGGGTGAGGAGCTGCGCATGCGCAGCGCGCCCCCTTGGTGTAAAACCTCGTCCGGTCGCTACTCGCCGCGGGGCGGGTCTTGGTCGGTGGGCGGGGTGCCTGCTGCCAGAGTGGACATGGCGGCCGGCCGCGTCGCGGCTGTAATAGCCGCCCTCGCAGTGCTGAGTGTCTGTGCGGCTAGCGGCTCTGGGCCCGCGGGGGAGACCGAGGCCGGCGGGGAGGCAGAGTGGGCGGAACCGTGGGATGGCGCGGTTTTCCGGCCACCCTCGGCGCTGGGCGCGGTGGGGGTGGCGCGCAGTCCTGGGGCCCAGCAGCCGGGGGAGGAGGCAGCGGACTTGCCAGTGCTACTGTGGTGGAGCCCAGGGCTATTTCCCCACTTCCCGGGTGACTCGGAGCGCATCGAGTGTACGCTCGGCGCGTGCTTGGCGTCCCGGGACCGACGAGTGCGGGGAGACTTGCGGACGCGCGCGCTGCTCTTCTACGGCACCGACTTCCGCGCGTCTGACGCGCCGCTGCCCCGCCTGGCGCACCAGAGCTGGGCGCTCCTGCACGAGGAGTCGCCCCTCAACAACTTTTTGCTGAGCCACGGCCCGGGCATCCGCCTCTTCAACCTTACCGCCACCTTTAGCCGCCACTCGGACTACCCTCTGCCGCTGCAATGGCTGCCCGGGACCGCCTACCTGCGCCGCGCGGCGCTTCCGCTGCAGGAGCGCGCGGAGTGGCGGCGCCGGGGCTACGCACCCCTGCTCTACCTGCAGTCGCACTGCGACGTGCCGGCGGACCGGGACCGCTATGTGCGCGAACTGATGCGCTACATCCCGGTGGGTGGGGGGCCGGGAGCGGGCCGGGGGAGGGGAGGGCCGGGCCGGGCTGAGGCTGGACCCAGGGTGCCCCGGCCGTACGCTTTTGAGCTTTTGACGGCGGTACTCTACCCCCGCTCAGGTGGACTCGTACGGGAAATGCCTGCAGAATCGGGAGCTGCCCACCACCCGGTTACAGGACACAGCCACGGCCACCACCGAGGATCCAGAGCTGTTGGCCTTTCTGTCGCGCTATAAGTTTCACTTGGCTCTAGAAAATGCCATCTGCAACGACTACATGACGGAAAAACTGTGGCGCCCCATGCACCTGGGGGCCGTGCCGGTGTACCGCGGCTCGCCGTCTGTGCGGGACTGGATGCCGAACAATCAGTCCATCATCCTTATTGACGACTTTGAGTCGCCTCAGAAGCTGGCAGAGTTTATCGACTTTCTGGACAAGAACGATGCGGAGTATATGAAATACCTGGCATACAAGCAACCGGGGGGCATCACCAACCAGTTCCTTCTGGATAGCCTGAAGCGTCGCGAGTGGGGCGTGAACGATCCTTTACTGCCCAACTACCTCAACGGCTTCGAGTGCTTCGTCTGCGACCACGAGCTGGCTCGGCTGCAAGCCCAGAGAGCCCATGCAGCCTCTCCTGGGGACATCCCAGTCCCCGAGCCTCACATAGCCCAGCCCTCGCACATGGACTGTCCAGTGCCCACCCCCGGCTTTGGCAGTGTGGAGGAGATTCCCGACAATGACAGGTAAGAGTTCCTGGGGTGCCCTGCAGCCAGCAAGTCGCAGCATTTACTTGCTTGCTTGTTGTGGCAGTGAAGGGGGCCGGCAGTATGAGGAAACCACTGCCTGGGCTCCCTTTGCCCTGAGGGTGTCAGGAAGTCCAGGTGGGGAGATAAGGCAAACTGAAAAAGCCGAGTAAAGGTGCAGATACAATTCAAGGCAACGACATATGAAAATCAGCTTATGTGGACAAAGTGTGCAATAGTGATTCAAAAAGAAAGGGGGCCTGTGCAGGGAGCTGAGGAGGGAGACAGAATTGGGCAGATAAACTGGGCTTGCGCTATAAATAGCCTGAATAAGAGGCTCATGAGTTTGGATGGTCCTGAATATCAACTCAGCTATTTGAGCACCTGCTATATGATAGGGGTGGGGGTGGGGAATGCAGAGGTGGGCAGTTTGAGGGAGGTTTTTCTAGAGTTAGGGTTTATACCTATTAACCAGACATAATTATTAATAGCACTTACTTTCACTCTTAAAGTACCCTGGGGTGGGCATTTGGTGTGGCAGTGAAGATGTTTCTTGGAACAGCCACACTGCCTCCCATACTGGAGTACCTGGGTTAGAACTCTGGCCCTGCTTCTACTTGCATATTCCTGCTAATGCACACCCTGGGAGGCTGCACGTGGGTGTCTGTCACCCATGTTGGAGACCTGGATGGAGCTCCGGGCTCCTGGCCTGAGCCTGGTCCATCCAGTCATGGCTGTTGCCAGCACTTGAGGAGTGAACCAGTGGAGATCTCTGGCTCTACCTCTCACTCTGTCTCTCTGCCTTTCACATAAATTTAGAAAAAAATTTCAAAAAAGTATCCTGACTTGGGTGACACATTGTATCTTCACCCTAGACAGAACTGAAGGAATGTTTTCAAAAGATTAACGATTAACAGTGGTGGGCAGTGGGGACTGGAAGTGAATAGACTACAGTAGTAGATGGCAGGAAAATGTGGCATCAGGTGGGGTGGGAAAATGTTGAAGCCACTTGCATTGAGCCACATCTACTGGGAGAAAGGCAGAAAGATTAAACTGGAGAAAGACAGGCTGCTAGGATGGCCTGTAGAAACCTTCCTAGACAATGGATGGCAGCAAAGAGCCGTCTACATATGCTGCTTGCTAAAGTTCTCCACCAAGTAATCTGTACCTACTTTTTGCTAGACATACTATTAGGACTTACTAAACGAAAATTGTAAAACATTAAGGAAATAAATACTCAGGTTCTATCTTCTAGAAGTTGGATGCACTGCATCTTCATTTTGATTACTGGATCAAAAGTGAAACTTGGAAATACAACCATCCAGACTCCTCCCTTGCTTGCCTGAGGGAGACTACTTCCAAGTCTAGTCCCTGCTGTGCCTGCCTCTGAGCTCCTTCCACATTTCAGAGTAGGCAAGTCAGGAGTTTTAACTCACTGGGTGAGCTGTATGATACTTGTGTGTTGTGACTTACTGCCTGTCACTTGAGCTAGGGCTAGATTTATTCCACGTTTCCCTCCCCTCACAGCAGAGCTTTTATGCTAGCCAGAGACTACTCTGTCTGCTTAATATTTCTTTGGCTCACTCACAGAAACCCAGGACTGTGCTGTAGTCCATAATCCACCTCCCCATTTTGGTATTTCAGCTGGAAGGAGATGTGGCTGCAAGATTACTGGCAAAGTCTGGACCAAGGGGAAGCTCTCACTGCCATGATCCACAACAATGAAACACAACAGAGTAAATTTTGGGATTACCTACATAAGATCTTCATGAAAAGGAACCAAAATCTCTAATTGCTTTTGCAAGAGCCTTTAACTTGGTAGAGCTAAGGAGATCTTATTCTGTCATGGGACAAAAGGAGTATCCACTGCACAAACCCTTACTGAATGTTGCATTATCATGGATTCAAGGAAATCAGTGCCATCTACGGATGTTTTATCTTAACGATGTGTCTGTGGTGAAGATCGCCTCTCCTGAAGACGATATGGAGGCATCCAGCTGTTGTTCAGTACAAACAGAAGTCCGAAGGTGCTGGTCCAACAGTATTTTTAGAGGACTGCTCGCTTCTCTAAGCTATTTCATCCCCTCAGTTGCACCTGACTACCAGAGAGATAAGATGGGCCAGGTCATGACATACATGTTCTTTTGTTGGATTCCTCAAACCCCTCAATATGTAGTACCTTTCCCAGTCATCTCATTCTCAGAACTGTTGAGTTGGTAAAAAAGCAGAACTGCTGATCTATTTTTATTTTGTAAAATCATATACCTTGCCATTCATGTTAAACTTTTTATTTTAAATGCCTTTTTCTTTCCTGGTTTTAGGCCCTTTTCTACCATTTCAGATGGAGATAGAGAAATCTTGTCATCATCCTTACTGCTGGTTTGCTTCTTTCTTGGCATGTAATTGGAATTTGTTTCCGTCTCATGAACAGAAAGATCCAGTGGCTGATACATGCCATGACAACTTCATACTTCCCTATTCTATTTTAGATCAAAGGTGGGCACTAAGTCTGGCAGAAAAAGTCAGTCCTTCATTCACTCTATTACTGATTTCCTTTCATCGGCTGAGACTTTTTGATGGAGCCCATTCAAGGCCCTAAACTCAAAGGAACATGAAGACAAAGCAGGAGATTTAAACCATGGCAAGCAGCTGGCTAAAAAAAAACCTCAGTCAGGCTTGGGGATGCAGCCAAACCCTTCTATTGCTGTGGTTTGAACATATAGTATAAGGAGTAGGGAGACTATGAGCTTTATCTGGGGCAGTGGAACACAAAAGTTAGAGCTACGCTGGTTGTAGTGTTAATATGACTAGAGAAGTTCCATAGCTTATCGGTACATTTGACTGTAATTTTATTATATCTCTATGGATAGACACATTGGATTCTTCAACTATGCCCCATGCTTAGTAATGAGACATCTAAAGATATGGCCAAGCAAAGTTGTAACTCAGGTTGGTTTCACTGCCAATATCCTTCTTTTCACTTTTTTTTTGGACAGGCAGAGTGGACAGTGAGAGAGAGACAGAGAGAAAGGTCTTCCTTTGCCGTTGGTTCACCCTCCAATGGCTGCTGCGGCCGGCGCGCTGTGGCCAGCACACCGCGCTGATCCGATGGCAGGAGCCAGGTACTTATCCTGGTCTCCCATGGGGTGCAGGGCCCAAGTACTTGGGCCATCCTCCACTGCACTCCCTGGCCACAGCAGAGAGCTGGCCTGGAAGAGGGGCAACCGGGACAGAATCCGGCGCCCCGACTGGGACTAGAACCCGGTGTGCCGGTGCCGCAAGGCGGAGGATTAGCCTAGTGAGCCGCGGCGCCGGCTTTCACTTTATTCTTTAATAAAAGATGTCCCTCATAATGGCAGGGAAAATTTGCTTAACCTGTTTGGCCTTTTGCATAAAGAACTGGGAAAGACAGACGTTCAAAAATATATATGTGATATAGTAGACACTCAAATATAGGACTCTGACTTCTAAGCTTTTAGTCTTTTTAAAGGTAGATGCTAATACAGTACAAAATACATATTACACAAGAACAAACCTAGGTTAGGATTGAATTATGTACATGCATTGCATTTCATTATGTGCAATAAAAAGGGTAAGTGATGGTTATGCAAAGAGTGGAATTACTCTTACCTCTCCCATGTAATTATACTAGCCCGCACTGGCATTTAGCACTTCCGCATACAAAGTAGGCCAGTTGTTTATGAATTCCTGGAGACTTGGGCCTGCTTTGTGCTAATTGCTTCCCAGATATTCTCTTTTACTCCCATCACCTTATACGTTTTCACAACAGAACAGGGTAAACGAGGTGCTACATTTCTACAAGGGAAAGCACTTGTGGAACCAGGACTAGCTGCATGGTCCTTGTCAGCTAAAAGCTTCACTTTCCTTACAGATAAAGCGAGCAAAGTCAATTTTCTATGGTTTGAGACCCTGCCTGTTCTGTTTGCAGCAACAAACAGGTTTACTTGCTGCAGGCTGGGTTCTTGGTAGTGGAAGTGTCTGATGGGAATCTTATTTACACTTACTGGAGTGTGTCGGTTGTGCCCCTTTGTTACTGCAAATATTGCTATTTTTTATTATCTCAGGTTTCATTTTGTATAATAAACTGCTTTTTAAAATAGTGTCCTCTGCTTGATTTTTTTGAGGGGTGATTATGATAAAGTTGGAAACTTGTAAAAAATATTTCAAACATTTGTTCATTCAACAAGTACTGGCACTATTATAGGCACTGAGAATTCAGCCATGAACAAGATAGACAAGCTCCCTTCTATTTTTAAATAGGTGTTGGGGCAGGGTAAGGCCATAAACAAAGAAGAAATGAACAGGATAATTCAGACTACAATAGGTGCTATGAAGAAAATAAAACTGATGGTACTTTCTTAAGCCTGGCGAGAGGAATTAATAAGACGAGGAATGCGAAAGAGTTTAAACCTCACCCTAGCCAATGGATCGTTTACAAACGAAAAAACATTCGAAGTAGTAGTTAGAAAATAAATAAACGTAATTTTTCTTCGCAGCTTTGGAGTGTTCCTGTAAGTAGTTTCTTTCTTTCTTTCTTTTTTTAAGTTTTAGTAGGTTTATAAAAGCAGAAAATTTTCCCACCCTAATATCAAGTCTCCTATTTTAATTCGCTCTCAACCTCTGCGCTGGCGTATGTCAATCACCCTCCCGGCCAGCCAGCTACCTCCAGGAAAGAGCGTCCACTTTACCGGGACACTTTCAGGGACGTCGCCGTCCCAATACTGTCCTCAGACGTAAAGGTCTGGAGCCCGCAAGGGAACGGCCCAAAGTGTTTCCGAACCGGCTGAGTGGTATCGACCCGCCGGTGTTCCAACCCAGCGTGGCTGCTGCCCAAACCCCAGCCCACCCCACCCCGCCAAAAAAAAAAAAAAAAAAAAAAAAATACCTGCCCTCCGGCAGCAGAGCCTGTTTGCTCCTCCCACAGCTCCGTCACGCTCGTAGGGGTCACGCCGGGTCACGCACGGCGCCGCAGAGCCTGCCGGGAGCTCCGGGAGCAATGGCGACGCCCAGTCTTCGGGGCCGCCTGGCCAGGTTCGGGAACCCGCGGAGGCCTATACTGAAGCCCAGCAAACCCCTCATCCTAGCTAACCGCATCGGGGAGCGGCGCCGGGAGAAGGGCGGTGAGCAATCGGAGCTAGGTGGTCCCCGAGCGACTGGGTAGCCGGGCGGGAGAGGAAAAGGTCTCCTTGTGACTGAGCATCCGTGCATTTCTGGTGCTCCAGAGGCGACCTGTGTCACGGAGATGTCGGTGATGATGGCTTGCTGGAAGCAGAACGAATTCCGCGATGGAGCGTGCAGGAAAGAGATCCAGGATTTCTTCGATTGTGCTTCGAGGGCTCAGGTGACGACTCCTGAGGTTTTCTGCTGGGAGGAGAATTGGGAGGGGAAATACCAGTGATGGTTCTCCTAGGCTTTTACTAGCTTATAGGAAAGGCCCTTACTTTCCTTTGTGAGTCAGTTAACCCATGCCAAAGTGGGAAAGGTTACGGTGTTGCCAGGCGATCTTGATCGATTTACTTCACTGCCTTAAGCTTTAGCTTTACCATCTATAAAATGAAGTTAATATCAATACCCACCTTGTAGAATTTTGTGGGTGTCAAATGAAGTAATGTATGGGAAAACAACTTTGAAAAAATTAAATTGCTGCTCAAAAAGACATTGTTTGAAACAGAGCTCAGGATAGTGGTTTCCAGCTTAGATCTAATTACTAACCAGCTTGTAGGTCCCAAGTCCCAAGTGAATGACACAGATCTCTTCAGGCTGGTTAATATCTTAGTGTGCTTTGTAGGGCATTGTGAGAACCACGGGCTCAGGGCAAGGCCGACATTGGAACTGTCAATCTTGTTCTTTGTTTTCAGGAAGCCAGAAAGATGAGATCACTCCAGGAAGCTGCGGGAGAATCTGGGAGTTTACCCCCCAAGAAACTGAATAAGTTGTTACAGAGGTTTCCTAACAAACATCACATCAGCTGAAAATAGAGAAGCATTTCCAATGGCTGGAATATAGCTTCTGAGGACTGCATGAAGATGTTTTAGAGACATTGATGCCACTGTGCCCTCTTTGAAAGGCATATGCTCTCTTTGAAGGATGCATAAGGCAAACTACTTTATTCTTTGGCATATGCATGGTCCGGATGGAAGTTTTGCTTTATTTTGAAATAAAATCCTTCGAAGGGAACTCGACCTTTTGTTGTGAACTAGGTATCCCTGCCATTCTTGAACCCTGTTTCCTCCTCTAGACCCTGGAAGATCTTTGCTTCTTCTCTTTTCGTGCATTTGAAGTCCTTTACACCATTTAGTGCCTTTGTCTTTGGATGCAAAGAAGACATTGATGTCTGGCTGTATGGAGAGCATTTTGTCATCGCTGAATTTTTAGTGCCTGCCTATTTAGTGCATAGCCCCTACAAGGTGTTCCCTGAATAGTCAAGTTCACAAATTGGCAACCCAGAAGTTTTATAGATGTGTTTTATTTGATTCACACAATTAAAAAGTATTAAAATTTGGGAATGACATTCAAAAATAGAGAAAAAGAGGCAGGCATTGTGGTGCAGCAGGTTAACCACTGCTTGGGATGCTGTGTCTCATAGAGCCAGATTTGAGTCCTGGCTACTCTGCTTCCTGTTCAGCTTCCTGCTGGTGTGCCTGGCTCAGGTACTTGGGTCCTATCATCTGCTTGGGAGACCCAGAAGTTTCTGGTTCCTGGCTTTGGCCTGTCTAGCCCTGGCTATTGTGGACATTTTGGAAGTGAACCAGCAGATGGAAAATCTCTGTCTTTGCCTCTCGTCACTCTGCTTTTCAAGTAAATATTTTTAAAAACATGAAAAAAATTTAGAAAAGCTACTTTTAGAAAAGCTACTTTTGGCTTAAAAAAAAAAAAAAAAAAAACTCTGGCAATTCTATTTTCTTATTCGCGCCTGGCAGTAATTAGGTAGAGCTGATTATCACTTGTCCCCATTCTCCTCACCACTAGACCCTTGAAGATACTGAAACCTAGGCTTACTCAGCAATTATCTGTGTTTCACCTGTTGATGTCTATTTATTTTTAAAGATTTATTGATTTATTTGAAAGAGTTACACAGAGGGAGAAGGAGAGGCAGAGAGAGAGTCTTCCATCTGCTGGTTCACTCCTCAATTGGCCACAACTGCCAGAGCTGCGCTGATATGAAGCCAGGGGATTCCTCTAGGTCTCTCATATGGGTGCAGGGGCCCAAGGACTTGGGCCATCTTCTGCTGCTTTCCCAGGCCACAGCAGAGAGCTGGATCAGAAGTGGAACAGCCGGGACTTGAACCGGCGCTCATATGGGATGCCAGTGCTTCAGGCCAGGGCATTAACCCGTTACGCCATAGCGCCAGCTCCAAACGTCTCTCAATTTATATGTCTGGTTGCTAAAGGCACTTAGTTTTGTGATTCCCTGATACTGGGAACAGTTGCATAGCATTTTTTGTATTCTTTGCCCTTTTTGCATGATTGAGCTCATCCTTTTCGATGTACCTCACACCTTTAGATGTTGATCCAAGAGGTCAGTGGAGTTTTTAATGCTCCAGATGGGGTAGTTGTTAGGGTTTGCAGCTGTCTTCTCATAGTCCTCATACCCCATGGAGGGAGCACTGGGCCAATGTGTGATTTTCTGTAAACTGAGCTTTTTAGCTACAGTAAGAAGCTCAGTGCTAAGGCACTTCAGACTAGATTTCAGAAATCTTTTTTTTTTTTAATGTTTATTTATTTTCATCTATTCAAAAGGCAGAAAGAGAGATACACAGATCTTTTATCCTCTGTTCCACTCCCCAAATGCCCACAACAGCCAGAGCTGAGCCAAGCCAAAGCCAGGAGCCAGGAACTTGATCCTGGTGTCCCAGGTGGGCCCCAGTGACCCAAGAATTTGAACTGCCACCTGTTGCCTCCCAGGGTGCATATTGGCAGGAATGCTGGGTTGGAAGCAGAGTAGCTGGGACTAGATCTGACACTCAGATGTGAGATTCAGGTGACCCAAGCAGCCGCTGAACCCACTGCACCACAACACCCACTCTAGAGGTAAGAGTTCTTAACCAATATGACTCTCAGAAAGAGATACATAAACTTGAATGGGAAAAAATTTTCTATCTTTAACCACAACTGAAATTTAACATTTCAATTCAAACCACATTAGCATCAGCAATACCTATAGGAAATTATAGTATTTTCATAGTTGGTTACAAAGATCTTGAAATAACATTAATTTTTAAAAACTGACTTATTTATTTGAAAGGCAGAAAGGGAGAGAGATCTTCCATCTGTGGCATTACTCTTCAGATGCCTGCAACAACAGGCTAGGCCAGGTTGAAGCCAGGTACCAGGAACTGCAGGGTCTCCCATATGAAGAGGGAGCCATCACTGCTGCCTTCGAAGGGTGTGCATTAGCAGAAACCTGGAATTGGAAGCTGATCCTCTGATAGAGGATGCGGGGTCCCAGGCAGTGCCGAATAGCTGCCCCTCACAATCACATTTATGCTCATCACTAGTTTCAAAGCTAAGGTAGTTATTACACTTATTGCTACATTTTTTTTTAAATGATTCACTTATTTTACTTGAGAGAGTTACATAGAGAGAGAAGGAGAGGGAGAGTCTTCCATCCCCTGGTTCACTCCCCAATTGGCCGCAACAACCGGAGCTGCGCGGACCCTAAGCCAGGAGCCAGGAGCCTTCTCCCCGTCTCCCAAGCAGGTGCAGGGGCCCAAGCACTTGGGCCATCTTCTACTGCTTTCCCAGGCCATAGCAGAGAGCTGGATCGGAAGCGGAGCAGCCGGGACCAGAACCAGTGCCCACATGGGATGCCGGCACTGCGGGTGACGGCTTTACCCGCCACGCCGGCCCCTTATTGCTAGATTTTTGTCATTTTCAATGTTTAAATTAGGAAGCAGTACTATGCTGAAATTTATTAATATTTTTGTCGAAAGTGTTTCAGCATAATCGTTTCCTTTGTCATTCCTGTATTTTGTGTATTTATAAACAATCTGGGCAGAGGGCCCACAGACTTCACCAGACTGCTGACGGGTTCCCGGCACAAACAAGAAACGGCGACGAATCCCTAGTCTTGAAGTCCATATCCTGAAATCAAACCATATCCTGAAATCAGTGTCTTTCGTGGCGATTCCCATTAGCCCCTGTAAAAAGTCGGCTTCATCGCAGGCTTCTGGACTACAATTCCCTGCAGGTGATGCGGCCCCAGGGCCTATCCGGAGTTAGGACAGTAACTCCATCCAATGGTTCCCGTGAGGCCCTGGACAGCCTACGATTCCCAAAATGCAAGGCGGCTGCTTATGCCTTGGGGACACTATGGACACCAAGTTATTGCTGGGATCTGTAGTCGTTTTGTATACTTTTGGGGGTTAGCTTCCTCTTCACGGTGTCTGAGGGGTGGGCTCAAAGAAAAAGGCAGGAAACGTAGTAATTAAACAAACTTGTCCCCTCCACCCGCCCGTACCCGGCCCTCTTCCCGAGAGCGCGAGAGCGGAAGTGGTGATGGCCGGCGCGGCCGGAAGTTCAGATCAGCTGATGGGGGAGGCGGTGCCGCAGCCGCCTAGAGGCCCCGGCCGCCGAACGCTTGGTCCGGGCCCCGAGTCTCGGAGGCTGGCCGCGATTCCCTTTCGCACCTCGCTGTGGGGCGAGGCCCGGTCCCGTCCCTCTCCCAGGCCTGAGATCTTCGCCCGGCACGGCCGCCCTGAGCGCCCCGACCACTCCCAGCCCCGGCTCGCCCCTCAGGCCCCGGGCCTCCCCTCAGTCCCCGGCCGGCGGCCCAGGCCCCGGATCCGCGGGGGGGGACCCGGCCCCGGGGGGAGCGGGCCCCATGGAGCTGATGTTCGCCGAGTGGGAGGACGGAGAGCGCTTCTCGTTCGAGGATTCGGACCGCTTTGAGGAGGATTCCCTCTGCTCCTTCATCTCCGAGGCCGAGAGCCTCTGCCAGAACTGGCGGGGATGGCGCAAACAGTCGGCGGGGCCCAACTCTCCTACCGGCGGCGGGGGCGGAGGTGGCGGCGGCGGTACCAGAATGCGAGGTGAGGGGGAGCGGGGCGGGGGAAGGGGAGCGGGCAGGCCCTGCTCGGGCCTCGCCCGGGAGCTGTCTCAAGTTCAGAGTGGACGGCAGGACTGTGAGGTGGCTGCCTCTGTGTGTGTGTGTGGGAGCGGGGGAATCCTGCACTGGAGAGCAAGTAGATCTTTTGTTTTTCGTTCTCCCTGGTGGAGTAGGAGAATCCCTTCTCGGACTTGGGAATGCTTCACTGAGTTTAGCCTGAGCAGACCGGAAAGTAGACCACAAAAGAATGCGGGCAGGGAACGGATCGTGAAGTGACCCTTTGGGGTGTGTCAGCCCATTGCCAAGTGCTTGGGAGCTTCTTGCCTCGGGGCGTTGACCTCTGACCGCAGCTGCACCAAGAAGGGATCCCCGACCCCCCAGAGTTCCGTGGGGGCGAACCTGCCTTTGAAAGGAGGTTCCAGCCTCCATAGATTCCCATGAAAAGCTTTGCTGCTGACCGTACCCAATATCTGTCAGAAGCCAGACAGAGATTTGTAGATTGGAGCCTTCGGTTTCCTTGCCTGGGGAAGTGTCCTCGTGAAACACTTTCCATTCTTTTATGTCTGTGGGTTTCTTACATCCCAGGGTCTTTCCTTGAATTAACTGATTAGTGGTGTTTTTTAGAGGGGATGGAGGGGAGAATGACAAGAGAGACTAGCTAGCCTCAGGACCCTGCCTCTTTTGCCCGCCTCCCGGTTTGTCACTGGAAGTTGGCTGCAGCAACTGAGTTCAATTTGTGTGGTTGTGCTCAGGCCATTCCAAGAGCCCTGTTTCATAGACTGCTCCTCAGAGATTTCTGGTGTCCCTTTGGGACAGAAATTGACAGGGGTCACTTCTTAGGAGTGACTGCAGTGGTGGTATTGACCGTCAGGTTGGAACACCCACCCACACGCGGATGGTAGGCAGTTTCAGGATTGGTCGTTCTTGGCCCCCCTGCTTTTTTATTTGCATGTGTGCGTGGCCTTGTGGCACTTGCCCATTTTGGGGGAAGTGTCTGCAATCCTGCTGGTGTAGACACACTGGTGTTTTCTTGGACAGGTTAAAGTCTGGGAAACAGGATCAGTTCCACCTGCCCACCCTCTGGCTACCCTCAGTTACTTGTCAAATAGAATAGTTAACTTGTTTTTTAAGAAGAGGTTCTTGCTAGTTGATTTTCTGATCTGTCTTCTAATATGATTGGCAATCTGGTAAGAGCTGTAGTACTACTTTTTGATTAAAACATTGTGAAATCCTTCTTGAATGATAACTCTGTCACGTTCCAGGTGATCCCAGGAGCAGCAGCGTGGGCCCCTGGGGTAACTGTCTCCCCACAAGGGCTTCTGTGGGAAGTCAGGGCTTAGGTGTGTTCAAGAGAGCGTAGCCTCTGTCTTCTTGAGGTCCCTTCTTAACTCTGCTCTGCTGTGCTCTGTCCTGTCTTCTCTCCCTCGAGGGGCCTAGAGTCCTCTAGAAGAAAGGGATAGTTAAAACACTGTCAGAGACCAGAGTGCCAGAGGAGAGAAATCGGTGTCTGAAGGGCATGTAGTCTACGGGCAGTTCGACGCCGGGCCACGTGAGCCGGATTGTGAGCTAATCTCCTGGAACACACCTGGCCAGGAGTTCCCTGGGATGTCCCTGAGATCTTCTGTTCTAGGCCTTGGGCAGCGGACTGTGGGCTGGGCATTGTTCGTTCACGCCCCCCAGGTGGAGGTCTAAGGGTTAGTATACCATGACAGAGGGTATCTGGGATTTTCACGCAGGTCTCTTCTTTGTTTCATAGTGAGGTGAGGCCCAGGATGTGGCGCTGTCATTAATGCCAAGTAATTGTGTCCCTTTTCATTCCCCTTCTCTTCCCTGCTTTCCAACCTTTGTTTCCAAAGATGGACTGGTGATCCCACTGGTGGAGCTGTCAGCAAAGCAGGTGGCGTTTCACATCCCATTTGAAGTGGTGGAGAAGGTGTACCCCCCAGTGCCCGAGCAGCTGCAGCTCCGAATTGCTTTTTGGAGCTTCCCTGAGAATGAAGAGGACATTCGGTGAGGACTGACGGTGGCCAGTAGGGCCCTGATTTCCCGCTGTCGGCTGGGGGGCCCTAATATCCCGCTATCAGCTGGGCTGGGCTGGGCTGCCCACCTAACAAAGGAGATACTATGTGTGGAGTTGTGGTGAGGAGAGGAAGAGAGAGTGCCGGGGAGGGAGTGCCTAAGGTCCCGTGGCCTTTGCTGGGGTTTGTTCGAGGTTTTTGCTGAGTTGCGCCCATGTCCTTCACCCCAGGCTGTATTCATGTCTGGCCAACGGCAGCGCGGACGAGTTCCAGCGAGGGGATCAACTGTTCCGCATGCGGGCTGTGAAGGACCCACTACAGATAGGTGAGGTTTCCGTCATGTGCTGGGGCGTGCCTGCCTCGCCAGTCTCCTGTGTTGAGACTTAAGGATCACTGCAAGAAGCTGGAGCAGGTCGTCTGAATGAGTGCCCGGGCCGGGCTGCAGAACACAGATCGAGTCTTGGCGGCCCTGCTTGACCGTGTCTGCATTTCTCCCCAGGGTTCCACCTGAGTGCTACAGTGGTACCGCCTCAGATGGTCCCTCCTAAAGGGGCCTACAACGTGGCCGTGATGTTTGACCGCTGCCGGGTCACTTCCTGTAGCTGTACCTGTGGGGCTGGGGCCAAATGGTGCACCCACGTCGTGGCACTCTGCCTCTTCCGCATCCACAACGTGAGGCCCTCCCAATTTGTCCTGGCCCCATCCTACGCTCCACCCCGCCCCCCTTCTCTGCTGCATGCCTGGCCAGTGTGAGCGCCCCTGCCTCCTCTACTCTGCCTCTCTGTCCCAGCTGCAGTTTCAGCAAAGCTTTTCTTAGATGTGCCTTGTTTCTCTGTGTCCGTGTCAGGCTTCCGCAGTGTGCCTGCGTGCCCCAGTCTCAGAGTCCCTGTCTCGGCTGCAGAGGGACCAGCTGCAGAAGTTTGCTCAGTACCTCATCAGTGAGCTTCCTCAGCAGGTGAGAGGGGCTGGCACACGCTCCCACAGCCAACTCCAGGCCCAGGCCTAGTGGGGTCACCTGTGCCGTGTTCCCTCTGCTTTTATCCCTTTTCCTCAGATTCTTCCCACAGCCCAGCGTCTCCTGGATGAACTCCTCTCTTCCCAGTCCACCGCCATCAACACAGTGTGTGGAGCCCCAGGTGAGTGTGGTGAGAAAGCCAGTGCAGAGCACAGTGCGCTGTTGTCAGGTGCGCGCAGGCCTTGTCTCGAGGTGACGGACTGCCTGTCCTCAGACCCCACAGCAGGGCCCTCTGCCTCGGACCAGAGCACCTGGTATTTGGACGAGTCCACGCTCACCGACAACATCAAGAAGACTCTGCACAAGTTCTGCGGCCCCTCCCCCGTGGTCTTCAGGTAAGTTGGCTCTCTGCATACTGTGTCTGTGATGGAGGGGGAGCAGCTCTCAGGCTATTGACAGAGTCTTTGTTCTGTAATGTCTGTCCCCCACCTTTTATTCTCTGCACAGTGCCTGGTGCACAAGATGTCACCAACAAATCAATGATGGATGGTGATCACACATCATCAGAATGGCCAGTCTTTAGGGCGAGCAAGAATTATTTTCTTTCTTTCACAGATCAGGAGATTGAGGCAGAGAAGGATGGGGAGTTTTTTTTTCGAGGACATCTCTTTGCCCCTGTGCTCTAGGCCAAAACCCAGTTGCACTTTCACTCATTTCTTTTTTTTTTTATTTTTGGACAGGCAGAGTGGATAGTGAGAGAGAGAGACAGAGAGAAAGGGGCCGTTGGTTCACCCTCCAATGGCCACCACGGCTGGCGCGCTGCAGCCGGCGCACCGCGCTGATCCAAAGCCAGGAGCCAGGTGCTTCTCCTGGTCTCCCATGGGGTGCAGGGCCCAAGCACTTGGGCCATCCTCCACTGCCTTCCCGGGCCACAGCAGAGAGCTGGCCTGGAAGAGGGGCAACCGGGACAGCATCCGGCGCCCCGACCGGGACTAGAACCTGGTGTGCCGGCGCCGCTAGGTGGCGGATTAGCCTAGTGAGCTGCGGCACCGGCCACTCACTTCATTTAGCCCCATGTTTGACTCAGCACGTTCTGCTCTCTAATTTTCTTTTTTAAAAAACTATTGATTTATTCATTTTGAAGGAGTTACAGAGAGTTTCCATCTGCTGGTTCACTCCCTACATGGCCGCAATGGCCAGTGCTAGGCCAGGCTGAAGCCAGGCACTGCATTTGGGTCTCCCACATAGGTGCAGGGGCCCAAACACTTGGGCCATCTTCCGCTGCTTTCCCAGGCACGTTAGCCGGGAGCTGGATGGGAAGTGAGCAGCTGGGACACGAACTGGAACCCATATGGGATGCTGGTGTTGCAGGTGGCAGCTTTACCCACTACACCACAACGCCGGCCCCCTGCTCTCCTATTTTCTTAGTGATGTGAACTCAATGTATCTGTCTTCCACGGAGCCTCCGGCCGCTGCTGAATGGGCATGTCTGCTGCGCCCTCTGAGGGGCCGCGAACCCGAGGGCGTCTGGAACCTGCTGAGCATTGTGCGGGAGATGTTCAAGCGGAGGGACAGCAATGCTGCCCCGCTGTTGGAAATCCTCACTGACCAGTGCCTCACCTATGAACAGGTAATCCCCCTGAGTTGAGCTCTGTGGTGGCTCATTTTCCCTCACCCGCCTCATTCTTCTCTTCAGGGCTCTTGGGGAGGGCTGCTCTGTCTTCCATGGCGCCATCAGCCAGAGCTCATAGCCCTCTTTGTCCCCAGATAACAGGCTGGTGGTACAGCGTGCGCACCTCAGCCTCACACAGCAGCGCCAGCGGGCACACAGGCCGCAGCAATGGGCAATCAGAGGTGGCAGCCCACGCGTGCGCCAGCATGTGTGATGAGATGGTCACACTGTGGAGGCTGGCCGTGCTGGACCCTGCACTCAGCCCCCAGCGGTGAGTCTCCCCCCGAGGCTCGCCACAGCCATCCCAGGACAGACCGAGCCCGCATTTCCCTGTACGCTGACATCTACCATTATTCTGGCCCGAGCAGATGCGAGGTGCAGAGACGTAGGGTTCCTCGTGACTTAGGACCCCTTTCACAGCGGCGTTTTTCCTCCGTCCTCCACGCGGCACCTACTTTCCGAGGTTCCTGAGCGTGGCAATGATGCCTATGGGACAGGCTCCACAACTGTTCCTCTGTGTCCTTTCCCTGTATTCTTTGAGGCACACACATGCCCTCCTTTCCCTTCTCTGTGCAGAGTGTACCCTGCTCCCCTCCAGCAAACCCTCCCTCTGTTCCCACAGCCGCCGGGAATTGTGTGCGCAGCTGCGCCAGTGGCAGCTGAAGGTGATTGAGAACGTAAAGCGGGGACAGCACAAGAAGACCCTGGAGAGGCTCTTCCCTGGCTTCCGGCCAGCCGTGGAGGCCTGCTACTTCAACTGGGAAGAGGCCTACCCACTTCCTGGTGTTACCTACAGCGGCACTGACCGGAAGCTGGCACTCTGCTGGGCCCGGGCCCTGCCCCCTCGGCCAGGTGCCTCACGTTCTGGGGGCCTGGAGGAATCCCGTGATCGGTCCCGACCTCTTCCTACTGAGCCAGCTGTGCGGCCTAAGGAGCCTGGGGCCAAGCGCAAGGGATTGGGTGAGGGGGTTCCCTCATCGCAGCGGGGTCCCCGCCGCCTCTCCACTGAAGGGGGAGATAAGGCTCTGCATAAGATGGGTCCAGGTGGGGGAAAAGCCAAGGCACTGGGAGGGTCTGGCAGTGGCGGCAAGGGCTCGGCAGGCAGCGTGAGTAAGCGACGGCTGAGCAGTGAGGACAGCTCCCTGGAGCCAGATCTGGCAGAGATGAGCCTGGATGACAGCAGCCTGGCCCTGGGTGCAGAAGCCAGCACCTTTGGCGGATTTCCCGAGAGCCCTCCACCCTGCCATCCCTCTGGTGTGTCTCGAGGGCCTTCTGCCTTCCTTCCTGAGCCCCCAGATACTTATGAAGAAGATGGGGGCGTGTACTTCTCCGAGGGGCCTGAGCCTCCCACAGCCTCTGCTGGGCCCCCTGGTCTGCTGCCTGGGGAGGTCTGCACCCGGGACGAACTCCCTTCCACAGATGAGAGTGGCAACGGGCTCTCCAAAACCAAAGAGGCAGCCCCAGCAGTTGGAGAGGAAGATGACGACTACCAGGCTTATTATCTGAATGCCCAGGATGGGGCTGGGGGCGAGGAGGAGAAGGCCGAGGGCGGGGCTGGGGAGGAGCACGACCTGTTTGCTGGGCTAAAGCCGCTGGAACAGGAGAGCCGCATGGAGGTGAGGGGACTTGGGACTGAGGGAGGGAGAGCTGGGTACCCCTTAGCCACAGCTGGGAGGGTCTCCCCCCGCCCCCCCAGCCCCAGGTGGGAGTGTCAGGATGCTCAGCATGACTGTTAGAATCCCATAGCTGGCTGCAGTCCACATGCTTCCCTGCTGCCACACTGACTTCTCTGAGATGCCTCCTCACGTCACTCTGCTGCTGAAAGCAAGCAGATTCCCACTGCCCTGAGGATAAGCATGAAGATCCTTGGCATGGTGTAGGAAGCTTTGCTCGGTCTGATCTCTGCTTGCTTCTCCAGCCCCGTCTGGCTGCTCTGTCCTCATACTGCAGTCTGCTGAGCCTCTCCCACAGCCTGCCATGCCCTTCCTGCTCCGTACTTCTGTGTGGATGAGCCTTTTGGCTAGAATGCACTTAGCCTATCTGGCCTGGTTAGCTCCTGTCTCTTTGGGTCTCAGACATCTTGAAGTTCACTTCCTCTGGGAAGTCGCTTTGTACTGCTCCCTTGCCCCAAGTTCCAATGGGGTATCCTGCCTGCTTGCTTAGTTGCTGGCATCACACTGGCTTGTGTGTTTATGTGTTTGTCTCTCTGATCAGGTTGAGCTTCTGTGGTATACTGGGACTAGCCCAGCATACAGCAAGTGCTCAAGGAATGTTTGTTACATGAGTGAAAATTGTGCCCCACCCCTCCCTGCAAGTTGAGGCTTCAACCTGTCTGGCCCCATGTCCTCTCTCCAGGTATTATTTGCCTGTGCTGAGGCCCTGCATGCGCACGGCTATAGCAGTGAGGCCTCTCGCCTCACGGTGGAGCTTGCCCAGGACCTGCTAGCCAACCCACCCGACCTCAAGGTAGAGCCGCCCCCTGCCAAGGTGAGAGAGACCCCCTTGCTCTACCTTCCCCAGCCCCACTTACCTGAATCCTATTCCCACGCCCCACCCAAGTGAGAGCCTCCTACTGTCTCTACCGAAGAGAGTCAGACTCATCTGCCTGCCTCCTTGTGCTTCCCTCTCCAGGGCAAGAAGAACAAGGTATCCACAAGCCGTCAGACATGGGTGGCTACCAACACCCTGACCAAGGCAGCCTTCCTGTTGACGGTGCTAAGTGAGCGCCCAGAGCATCATAACCTGGCCTTCCGAGTTGGCATGTTTGCCTTGGAGCTGCAGCGGCCCCCAGCTTCTACCAAGGCCTTGGAGGTGAGCGCTTCCATCCGAGCCTCATACTTCAGTCTCCTCAAAGCCTGGCACCTTGACCTCCATGCAGGCCTGGGGGTCTGAGTCCACTTCTGTGCACAGGTGAAGCTAGCATACCAGGAGTCTGAGGTGGCCACTCTACTCAAGAAGATCCCTCTGGGTCCCAGTGAGATGAGTACCATGCGGTGTCGAGCTGAAGAGCTTCGGGAAGGGACGCTCTGTGACTATCGGCCTGTGTTGCCCCTCATGTTGGCCAGTTTCATCTTTGATGTTCTCTGTGCTCCAGGTATGGTGCCTGACCCTAGAATAAGTGGGGAACTGGGTAGAGATAACTTTTTCTAAGGAAAAATCAAGAGTACCAAGGTTCTGAATCACTTTTAGGACCCATCAGGCATGGGTAGGTCTGGGATGATGAGGGTCTTGGGTTCCCTTGTGTTCTTTCCCATGGTTCTTCTAACTTACCCCAACTTTGATCCAGTGGTTTCTCCCACGGGTTCCCGGCCCCCAAGTCGCAACTGGAGCAATGAGATGCCTGGGGATGAGGAACTGGGATTTGAAGCAGCAGTTGCTGCCTTGGGTAAGTCTTTCAGTGCCTTGAGTACATCCATGAGCTAAGCCTGGCCCAGGCCTTGGAGGACATGAGAACTGGGCATTGCTCCTGAGGGGTTATATGATAATGGGAAAGTCAGCATGATATGGGTAAGCCATCTGATGCCTCTTAGACACTCAGAAATTCAGGGCATTGGAAGCTATGGGTGTTGACTGCTGCAACGCAGCAAAACAAATTTAGAGAAGGGCCTGGAGGGTAGCAGAATGTAGGAAGTGAATTCAAAGATGAATGAGTTCCGGATAGGGGACTGCCATGGGTAGAGACATAGCTGCAATACAGTCCTCGTGAGAAGACGTCCCCAGAGTGCTAGGTTGCATGCTGGGTAGGCAGAGCAGACAGGTTGTAAAGGTCTCAAAAGCAGACCAGAGCTTAGATTGCATGTAGCAGGCGGTGGGAACCTTCTCCAGGTGATGTGGTGTGGACCAAGGGAACTCCTTACATCACGTGCCAGGGGTTGAGGAGTGCTGTGTTTGCTCATGCTGTCTGGGGGGGTAGGGCCACTGCCAGGCCCCATGAGGCCCACCTTTCCACAGGCATGAAGACAACTGTGAGCGAGGCAGAACATCCCCTCCTGTGTGAAGGCACACGTCGGGAGAAGGGTGACCTGGCGTTATCACTGATGATCACTTACAAGGACGACCAGGCCAAGCTCAAGAAGGTAAGGGACAGAGGCACTAGGCTTTTGATGTAACAAGAAAGCCTCATCCTTTCTCAGGGGTTTCCTGTATAATGAGAAAAGTGGTATTCTGCCCATAGGAGTTAAGTAGGAAGTCACTGGGACATTACATAAAGAACAAGAGACGGTGTGGGTGTTGTGGTGCAGCAGTTAAGGTGCCACCCATCCTGTGTCTGAGTGCTGGGTTTGAGTCCTAGTATCTGCACTTCCAATCCAGTTTCTTTCCAGTGTGTACCCTGGGAGCAGCAGATGATGGCTTTAAGTACTTGGCTCCCTGCCACCCACATGGAAGACCTGGAGTTCTGGGCTCCTGGTTTTGTCCTGGCCCAGTTATGGCTATTGCTGGCATTTGGGGAGTGAACTAGCAGAGGGTAGATCCCTCTCCATCTGCCTCTCCAGCACTCAGTCTGTTTCTTTGAAATAAAATGGGGGAAAAAAAGGGCCATTGGGGTGTTTGGGTGTGGGGTGTAAGAGAGGCAGAGGCATAAGGTCCTTCATTCATTTATTGCTTAATATTCATTGAACATCAGGATATTCAGTCCTGCAGCACTAACAGAGAATACCAAGGTACAAGAGTCAAGGTCATCCTGTAGTAATAACTGGGGAGAGCTTCCTGAGGAGGTGGCATCAGGCTGTTTCAAGGAGAAAGGTGGGCAACAGAAGTTGGGGGACAAAGGGCATCCTTTCACCACTTCTCTTTCCTTCAGATCTTGGATAAACTTTTGGACCGAGAGAGCCAGACACATAAGCCACAGACGTTGAGTTCTTTCTACTCATCTAGCCGCCCAGCAGCCGCCAGCCAGAGGTCTCCGTCAAAGCACGGGGGCCCGTCTGCCCCTGGGGCCCTGCAACCACTGACCTCAGGCTCTGCAGCAGCTGCTCAGCCAGGGAGTGTGGCAGGGGCTGGGCCAGGCCCCACTGAGGGCTTCACAGAGAAGAATGTGCTTGGTGAGGTGTGGGCACTGGGCAGGGGGAATGAATGGTATAGAGCCACGTGGGGTTCCCTTTCCTAGGCTCATCCCGATGTCCTACTTTTCCCACCTAGAAAGTTCCCCCCATTCCCCCTGTGAAGGTCTTCCATCTGAGGCAGCTTTGACCCCAAGGCCGGAGGGGAAGGTTCCCAGCCGTCTGGCACTTGGCAGTCGAGGAGGCTACAATGGACGGGGCTGGGGCTCCCCAGGGCGGCCTAAGAAGAAGCATACAGGTAGGACCACTTGTAGGATGGCATAACAGGACAGACAGTCCTCAGGGTTACAGCCTGCTTCTGAGACTCGTGATTTCTGAGACTTAACTTGTCTTGGGGGGTTAGGTATGGCCAGCATTGACAGCAGTGCCCCTGAAACAACATCGGACAGCTCCCCCACCTTAAGCCGGAGGCCACTTCGAGGGGGCTGGGCCCCCACCTCCTGGGGTCGAGGACAAGACAGTGACAGCATTAGCAGCTCTTCCTCAGACTCCCTGGGCTCCTCATCCTCCAGTGGAAGTCGCCGAGCCAGTGCCAGTGGAGGGGCCCGGGCCAAGACGGTTGAGGTTGGCAGGTCAGTGGGAAGAAATGCCAGTCTCCCCTGATCCAGCCCACCCTGAGCCACATCCCTAGTGTAATTCAGCCACTGCCCCTCCCTTCAACATCCTCACTTACCCTGGTCCTTCACAACCTACCTGGAACTCCCATTTCAAAGAAACCCCAACCCCGTCCCTACCCCATCGCCCCTTCAGGTACAAGGGCCGCCGCCCCGAGAGTCATGCCCCCCATGTACCCAATCAGCCATCAGAGGCAGCTGCACACTTCTACTTCGAGCTGGCGAAGACGGTGCTGATCAAGGCAGGGGGCAACAGCAGCACTTCCATTTTCACACATCCATCTTCCTCAGGGGGCCACCAGGGTCCTCACCGCAACCTGCACCTTTGCGCCTTCGAGATCGGGCTTTATGCCCTTGGCCTGCACAACTTTGTCTCTCCCAACTGGCTCTCCCGTACCTATTCTTCCCACGTTTCTTGGATTACAGGTAAAGCCAGTGTCCTGACTTGGGTATGGGAGGGAGATATAGTCGTGGAGAAGAGCTTTTGTAAAGCTCCAACAGGAGAGACATTATTCCCATGGCCCAGTGGTGCCTGTGCTAACCCCACTCTGCTCTTCTCCCCTATCCCTGAAGGCCAGGCAATGGAGATCGGCAGCGCAGCCCTGACTATACTGGTAGAGTGCTGGGATGGACATCTGACACCCCCTGAGGTGGCGTCACTGGCTGACAGGGCATCACGGGCACGAGACTCCAATATGGTGAGGGCGGCAGCAGAGCTGGCCCTAAGCTGCCTGCCTCATGCTCATGCGCTGAACCCCAATGAGATCCAGCGGGCCCTGGTGCAGTGCAAGGAGCAGGTATTTCTACATGCAATCTGGGAGCTTGCTCTGGAGCTTCTGAGCAGGGAGGATGGGGATGGGAAAGCTGAAGGCCCAGCTCTTTAGTTCCACATCCTGGAGTTTACAGATTATCCAGTTTGTCCCGTTACAGTGACATTTTACATATTACAGTTTGAATATCCTGTATTTGAAGTGCTTGGGACCAGAAGTGTTTTAAGATTTTGGATTTTTATTTTTGTGTATTCACATAAACATAATGAGATATCTTGGGGCTGGGACCCAAGTCTTAACTTGAAATTCGTTCGTTTCATGTGTACCTTATGCACATAGCTTGAAGGTAATTTTAGAGAAGAGTTTAATAATTCTGTGCATGAAAGAAAGTTTCATGGCTGGAATTTTCACTTGTGGCATCATGTCAGTGCTTAAAGGATTTTGAAGATTTCGCAGCATTTCAGATTTTTGGATTAGGGATATTTAGTCTGCAATTACATTTTCATATCCGTCATCTCCTTTACCTAGCAACTGTATGGTTAGGACTATTCCTATTTTACAGGTAAGGAAATAGAGGCTTATACTTTAGGGACCAAGATGATCACCTATGAAGGAAAATTTAAGGCAGGCTTTAGAGATTACAAGGCTTAGATGGGAGGATGTGGAACTGGGACTGTAACTTGGGTTTGACTCCTGTCGGTCAGCAAGTACAATCTGTGCACATTCACTGCTGTGATACTGAGTACTGACCCTGACCTCTAATGTCTCCCTGGGAACCAGCCTACTCTGAGGGGAGACAGTGGAATGTCATCTGAAACCATCTCTGGGGTAAAGTCTACCCACTAACGCTCTGTTGCCCCTCCCTTCCAGGACAACCTGATGTTGGAGAAGGCCTGCATGGCAGTGGAAGAGGCGGCTAAGGGTGGGGGCGTATACCCCGAAGTATTGTTTGAGGTTGCTCACCAGTGGTTCTGGCTATATGAGCAAACAGCAGGTGGCTCATCCACAGCCCGCGAAGGGGCTACAAGCTGTAGTGCCAGTGGGATTAGGGCAGCTGGGGAGGCTGGGCGGGGGCTGCCTGAGGGCAGGGGGGGCCCGGGGACTGAGCCAGTTACAGTGGCGGCAGCAGCAGCAGCAGTGACAGCAGCAGCCACCGTAGTGCCAGTCATCTCAGTCGGGTCCAGTTTATATCCAGGTCCAGGTCTGGGGCATGGTCACTCTCCTGGCCTGCACCCCTACACTGCTCTACAGCCCCACCTACCCTGTAGCCCTCAGTACCTCACACACCCAGCTCACCCTGCCCACCCCTTGCCTCATATGCCCCGGCCTGCTGTCTTCCCTGTGCCCAGCTCTGCATACCCACAGGTGAGACCAGAGTTCTGCTGGGGGTAGGGCTTGTGGGAGTTCACTGGGGGTTGGGGCAGGGTACCCTAGGAATATCATGGGGCTGCCCCAAGCATCTTAGGTGGGGGGAGTCTGAGGGGACCTAGCTCAACTTAGATGATAAATGTAGGGACTCCCCTATGGGGTGAAGGAGGAGAGCTACATCATAGTAACATCGTGTTCTCCTTTTTCCTTCCCTTCTCTAGGGTGTGCATCCTGCATTCCTGGGGGCTCAGTACCCTTACTCGGTGACTCCTCCCTCACTTGCTGCCACTGCTGTGTCTTTCCCCGTCCCTTCCATGGCACCCATCACAGTACATCCCTACCATACAGAGCCAGGGCTGCCACTGCCCACCAGTGTGGCCTGTGAGTTGTGGGGACAGGGAGCAGGTGAATGGAGGGGAGGGAGCCTTCTCCTTTGGTCTGCCCCTGCCTGGACTTTGAGCCGCTCACACGCCTGTCATCCCACCCTAGTGAGCAGCGTCCACCCAGCATCCACATTTCCAGCCATCCAGGGTGCCTCACTGCCTGCCCTGACCACGCAGCCGAGCCCTCTGGTGAGCGGGGGCTTCCCACCGCCCGAGGAGGAGACCCACAGTCAACCAGTCAATCCGCACAGCCTGCACCACCTGCACGCTGCCTACCGTGTCGGTGAGAGGTGGTCCCTTTCTGCGCTTCTACCCGCACCTGTGCCACAGGCTCTTCAGGAATCCCCTTCCAGCAGCTCTTGTTTTTTGCAGGCTTGGGGCAGAGGGGGAGGAGAAAGCAACCCACCAGGGCTCACCTTTTATCTCCTAGGAATGCTGGCGTTGGAGATGCTGGGTCGCCGGGCACACAACGATCACCCCAACAACTTCTCCCGCTCTCCCCCATACACTGATGATGTCAAATGGTTGCTGGGGCTGGCAGCAAAGCTGGGTAACACCTCCCCTCCCCAGGACCATAGTCCTCCCATCCGTTCCCCTCCCCACCTTCCTATCCCAGACCTCCTTCCTAGCTCTTGCTCAGAGTTGAGGCCTTGGTCGGGTACGTGTGCGGGCGTGGGGGGCGGAGGGCTACCTCAGCTCCTGGGGTGGAGGGAGGCTTTCGGCCAGGCCAGAGCTGAGATCTATAAGTTGGGTCCCTAGGGCAGAGGTGGCCACCCCCGTCTCATGCCCCTCCCCCTGCCCCCCAGGAGTGAACTACGTGCACCAGTTCTGTGTGGGGGCAGCCAAGGGGGTGCTGAGCCCGTTTGTGCTGCAGGAGATCGTCATGGAGACGCTGCAGCGGCTGAGCCCTGCTCATGCCCACAACCATCTGCGTGCCCCGGCCTTCCACCAACTGGTGCAGCGCTGCCAGCAGGCATACATGCAGGTGACAGTCCAAGAAGTATGGAGCTGGGGGAAGAGAAGGACCTCCTGGGCCGGCACAGAGCAGCTTGTGCAGCATGGGAGGGAGGAGGGGATGGACTCGGTGCTGTGCACTGAGGTTCCTCCCCGGCTCGTTTTCCCACAGTACATCCACCACCGCTTGATCCACCTGACCCCTGCCGACTACGACGACTTTGTGAATGCGATCCGCAGTGCCCGCAGCGCCTTCTGCCTGACACCCATGGGCATGATGCAGTTCAACGACATCCTGCAGAACCTCAAACGCAGCAAACAGACCAAGGAGCTGTGGCAGCGGGTCTCACTCGAGATGACCACCTTCTCCCCCTGAGTCTGGCCCCCATTGGGCCCTATACAGGGACACAGGCCTGTGGCTATGGGGGCCTTTCACACAGTGGGAGTGAATCTTGGCTGGACAGATCATCCCCACTCAGTTCCCTGGTAGCCCAGACTGGCAGCTGCTCTTGGGCTGTAGCTTGGGGCCAAGATGTCTCAGACCCTAGAAGCCTAGGGCTGGGAGAGACAGCCCTGTCTGGGAGGGGGCGCTGGGTGGCTTCTGGTATTTATTTGGCATTTATAAATATATAAACTCCTTTTTTACTCTAGATTGCCTGGATTCCTCCTTTCTTTGCCTCCATCTGTGGTTAAACCTTGAGCTAAGGGTGGGGGAGGGGAAGGGAAGTATAGGGGTTGAATGTCTGACATTTGCCTTATCACAGGGTTTTTTTTTTTTTTTTTTTTCTTTTTTTCCTCTCGCTCCAGTGAGGCAGACAAAACAGAAAAATAAGGATGTTTATTAAGGACATTTCTAGCCCACCACTAGGGCTCAGACTCAGCTCTATGAGCTACTGTCCGACCTCATCCCCATTCAATGTGAATGACGTTAGGGAGGCCGGGCCACAGGTAGATCCCACCACCTGACTCAAGTGGCCACAGCAAGCAGTCCCACCCGGAGCCAGGTACAGACAAGACACTGCTGGGGGTGATGAGAGAAATCACTGGACTTCTATGTTGTCCTACACCCTGCCTGGACCCTCTCACTCCTTCTCACCTTCCAAAATTAGGGGTCAAAGGTGCCTAGTACCATGACGTGGGGCACCAAGGGAGCCCCTCTATTAGACCCCAGAGCTGTGGAAAAGGGAAGTCTTTGCCTTCTCAGACATCCCAGGTCTGGGGGCCACTGAGGTAGAAGGGGGAGGGGTCAGGCCACTCTAATCCCCTTGTGGGCCCTGCTCTGGGCTCGCCCCTTAGAGAAGTAGGGGGCTTTTTGCTGGTATGAGAGGCTGGAACATCAGCCCACACTGGAATGCTGCAGTTCTTCCCGAAGCCATGAGGGCACTGGCTGCCCGAGCCGGCTCAGCAGCTTCGAAAGCTCCAAATTATGGTTCCGGAAAAAATCCGTGAGGAAAAGGCGGGACTGACAGGAGAAAAATGAAGGGCAGAAACAAATGATGAGGGGTGGGACAGTGTCCTCCACCTGCAAGTGGGAAGGAATCCCCTGCCCCAGGCTTTACTTACCTCAGTGTCCATGTCTGGGTATTTCCGGCCTTTGCTCTTGCCTAGACAGCGGGTCTTGCCACCTTCAAGTCCCTGGCACCAAAAGCCCTTATCTTCATCAAACCTGCTCAGCGGGAGGAGGCCATTAGGTAGCAAGGAAAAGAGATATTCAAGTCTCTCAAGTGCACACTGCCCCACCCAGCCCACAGGGACATGTGTCTCTCCTTGGGAACCAAGGGAAGTCCACGTCTCCTCCAAACACGAGGATCTGACCTGCTTCCCCATTCCCCCCGAGCACTCCTCCCCTGGCTCATGCTCTCCCACCTGAGGGTCCGTGTGTAGTTCAGAAAGGGTGTGATACCCAGGAACTTCTGGATGCTCTCCATTGAGGCGGCTGGGTTGGTGCGCAGCTCTTGCCCGTCCACGATCAGCAACTGAAGGACAGGGGTGCGGTTCCCTGTGTCCCTAAGAAGCCTCCGGCCGAAGGGAAGGGGAACCCCAGTGAGGGCTCTTAGGGGTGGTACCTGTCCAGAGGGGTAGTAAGTCAACCAGCGTTGCAGGTGGGTGGAATAGTAGCCGGGAATGAGACAGCGGTTCTGCAGGGAGCGAAGCGCCAGAGGGGCCTGGGTGGAGGCCGAAATCACCTGGTAGAAGGTGTAGTTCAGAGCAGCTGGGTCTCCATGGGCTCGCTGGTGCTGAAGGGCACGGTGTAAGGGAAGAACCAGTGACTGGACAGGAATGGTTGGCTCTCGTCCCTGACAGCCGGCACAGGCGTCCCTCCCCAGCACACCAGTTCGCCCACCCTCACTCCTTTCTGTTTCTCCAACAGCTGCCCCCTCGCTTCAGGCACACCTGGTACCAGGAGTAGGCCCTGTCAGCAGGGTTAGTGAGCACAGTGATGATCTTGGCTCTTGGCAGAAGGGCAGCCCCTCGCTGTGGTACAACCTCTGAGTCAAAGTAGGTGGCGCTTTTTTCAAACAGGAAGTCAGTGCTCGCATTGGAAGGGACAGGGAAGAAGTCCATGTACCTGTGAAGCAGCAGAGAGGCAGAGAAATTTGCAAAGAAGCCACACGTCTATGCTGGAGGAAGCTGGAATGAAGTATTTTTGGAGGACTGTTCCTCTGAGAAGCATTCAAAGGAGTCCCAATCTCACCAGTCAATACCCTTGTGGTAATTAGGGCCGCTGAAGAACTGAATCTCCTCAAAGGTGCTGGGGCTGGGAAAGCTGCTGGTCACAGCGGGGTGTAGGCTCAGGAAGAAGTGAACAGCCGTGGTCCCTAAGTGGGAGAGAAAGACCAAGCCACTGTGGCGGAGAAGCCAGGTCAACAGCATGAGCGCCAAGAAGGTAAGAAAACCACCACTCTGGGTTTTAAACTCCCCTTTGGCCAAACTACAGCTGGAGAAGGAAAAGTCCGAGAGAGGCCCTGCAGAATGGTTAAAACTGGTCCTCAACCTTTCACTGTATCAGAATCATTTGTGGATCTTTTAAAAATTCCACATATGATCCTGATACCCAACCAAGGCCAAGAATCACAGCTAGCGCTGCGGCACTGTGGCTTACAGTGACCTGCAGCAATGGCATCACATATGGGCACCAGTTCAAGTGCTGGGCGTTCCACTTCTGATCCAGGTCCCTGCAGTAGATGGCCCAAGTCCCTCTCCCCCCCACACACGTGGGAGAACCAGAAGAAGCTCCTGGCTCTCTCTTTGCTTCAGCCTGGCCCCTGGCTCTCTCTTTGCTTCAGCCTGGCCCAGCCCTGGCCACTGTGACCATTTGGGGATTGAATCAGCAAAATGAAAGATCTCTCTCTTCTTATCTCTCTAACTCACCTTTCAAGTAAATACATAAATCTTAGAAACAACAAACAAACAAACAACTTTCAAGAGATTGGACTGGGACCAGCGCTGTGGTGTAGTGTGTAACCTGTGGTGCCAGCATCCCATATGGGTGCTGGTTTGAATCCCAGCTGCTCCACTTCAGATCCAGCTCCTTGCTGATAACCTGGGAAAGCAGTGGAAGATAGTCCAAGTGCTTGGGCCCCTGTACATACATGGGAGACGCACCGGAGGCTCCTGGCTATTGGCTTTGGATTGGCCCAGCTCTGGCTGTTGTGGCCATTTGGGGAGTGGACCAGCAGATGGAAGATTTCTCCCTCTCTGCCTAACTCTGCATTTTAAATACTTTTTTTTTTTAAGAGGATGGATTAATGAGAGTGCTAGGTATGAGGGGAGCACTGCTTGGTTAAAGGATCCTTTGGAGTTTAATGCCGGACAACAGAAGTTGGCTAAGGATGATTCACCTGTCTTCTGGGGTCCCACAATGAGGAACTTGGGGAGCCGGTCACAGGTTTTCTCCTTCGACCAGATATCTTTGTGCCTCTTGTCATCACAGGGATTCTGTAGGTGAGGCCAAGAATCAGATGAAGTCTAATCTTTTGAAGCACAACCCAATCGTGTCTCTGGCCGGCCCCCTTACCTGCCAAAGGGGGCTTCGCTCCTCAGGGAAAAGCTCAAAGTACTTCTGTGCAAGCGGGACGGGAGGAAGGGTCTGCAGGCGCAGCCGTGTCCAGCACTGGAGGAAGCGCACCAGGCTCTCAAAGGTGTACAGGCCCAGCCGGTCATTCCCGTAATTGGACAGGTGGGTCATAAAGATGCTGATCTGTAAGAGGGGTGCCTGCATATCAGACCTAGCAAGTTTACCCCATCTCAGATCAGCCTGGAGGAGTCAAGTGCCAGCCTGCAACACTGCTCTCCCATCTTCTAGCCCTTCCTCCTGGCACCTTACCGGATTAAGCAGCACTGTCAGGAAGAGCTCTCCCCCTCGGATGCTCCGGTCTAGTTCTCGAGAGCCTCCAGGATACTCATTATAGAAGATCGTGTGAGTGAAGAGGCCACACGTCTGCCGGGGCAGCACCTGGCGGACAAAGAACAGGGTCAGAGGAGATCGGAAAGGCTGGGTAAGTGGATGAAGGACAAACATCTTAAGGCACTGGGATTCCCTGGGCTACAGAGGATTCAGTCTGAAGTTACAGCAATAACGCTCTTACTATGTGCACTGTCATTGTTCACCCTTCTAAACCCTGTTTAAGCGTAGGAACTGGGCCTAGCAGTCATTGCAGGCTGGAGGCTGTCTAAATGTGGGGATGTGATGCACATTTGACTGGGAGTCCCTCACCATAATGCCATTGTGAATGAAGCCTCGGCGGTAGCGGGCAGGGCGGAGATGGGGATACTCCTCAGTGCTGGTCACCTGGATGCCCCACACAGATTTCCAGGCCTCATAGAGCTGCGTGTGGATGGGGTACACGCCCGAGTGGTGGGGGGCCACAGCGTACCCCAGGTCCGTGGGAATCCCATGCTCCTGGGAATGGCATAGACTCTCACCAGGACCTGGTGAGGTTCGGGGAGCAGAGGGTAAAGAGGGTGGGGATGCCTCGACAGAAGGAAGAATGGAAAGGGTAGGGAAAGGGGATCCCACTAGGAGAACTGGAAAGGAAGCATCTGTCGGCAGGACGAGGAAGGATAAGGGAGAGATCCGAGGGTCTCACCAGAGCAAACTGTTTGTTGAGCCTCATCTGGTCAGCCAGCACGGAGCGATTGTGGAACAGGTGTGGCTGCATGTGGCTCCACATGTGAGGGAACCACCAGAACTCTCTGCGGTACTTCAGCAGCATGTCGTCCCCTGCATCCTCCTCCTCTGTCCCTACAACCACACACTGACCACTGATCACAGCCGGCGGGCCCGTGCCTGCTTTGTTTCCTAACAGCCTGATCACCTTCCACCCTGGGACAACATCCCCGACCCCTGCCCACGAAGGCTCTGTTTGCCACACTGGCAACCTGCCCTCCAGCCACCCACGCTGGTAATTCACGCTCACCACTGTGTCCTCAAGCAGTCTGACCCCAACCCGTCCCCACTTCCTTGGCTGTCCAGGCAAATGCACACTGAAGGGACAGATAATTAAAACTGAGGCTGACATGCTGAAGGAGCAGGGGAATAATAAGCTCACCAGTGTGATAGAACTTGCCCGAGAAGCCCAAGTTGAAGGTGAAGTTGGGAACTAAGGTCCTGAGTTTGTTCTGCGTAGTCAACAGAGCCTGGGAACAGAGCCAGGGACAAGAGAAATCAGGAAAGAGCAGAATGAGTGGGAGACATATGAGAACCAGCATTCTTCCTGCCTGTAGGACAGAGTACAACTACGGCAAGCTCAGCATCAAGGAAGAGAGCTGGATAGGCCAGAGCCCGAATGGCTTCTAAGAAAAGAAACTGAAGAACAAGGAAAGACTGACCTCAACGTCAGCCACCTTCATGCGGGTACCTTCCTTGCCCACAAAGATGTCATCAATGTCTACCAAGATGTAGCGGTCCAGGTCCAGGCAGAGGCGCTTGCCAGTGAGGTATGCAACAGCATCGACAAAGACAAGTTTGTGGAGCCAAAAGGAAAGGCCGTGGCCAAAGAGCACCCGCTGGATGCCATCGTGGAGCCCCAGGTCCTGTACCACAGTAGGAAGCCGGGCCCGACGAGACACTGGTCCTGGCACGGGGGCCTCAGCTGGCCGAAGGCTGGCAAGAAGCACTGGTTCATATGTGCTATGATTGGATTGGAAGATGGTCCAGTCATCACCAGGCAGAGGCCCGGGTTCTAGGCGGCTGGGGCGGGTGAGATGCAGTAGGGGGGCAGAAGGATTCACTTGGTAGTCCCGGAGCCCCAAGTTTGAGTGTAGAAAAAGAGGAAAGCCCTTGAGCTGGGCGCTCAGTAGGCTGTGCTCATGGGCTCGGAAAAAGCCAATGATACCCACGCCATATTCCACACAGTATCGGTCTAGCAGTTCCCTACTCCAGGCATCCAGGTTGACATACTTGAGCAGGTTCTCGTAAATGACCAAGACGTAGCGGCCGTGGGTGTGGTCAGTCAGTGTGGGCATGTCCCCTCGACCAGGTGCCAGCTCAGTGCTGTAACGAAAACGACTAGACTCCAGGATGGCCACAATCTCCTGCCCCAGCTGGGAGTATGCGCTCTCCACAAACACAAGGACCACGGGTTCAGTTCGGACTGTCTCTGGAGGCCTGGGAGGCCGGGGTGGGACTGGAGGAGGTGCAGCACCAGGGCCAGATGCCCCACCACTGCTGCAGTCTCCCAAGGGTAGGGGCAAGGGTTCCTTAGCCTTGGGACTGGTGGACACGTAGTAAGCCAGGAAGCCCATGGAGCCCAGGCTGAAAGCAATCAGCAGCAGTATGAGGCGGTGCAGTTCCAGCTGCCGAGCTGGGCGTACCACCTTCCACAGCTGGAGCATGGCGGGCGAAGGGAAGGAGGGATGGGGACCACCTCGGGACAGGAGGCAGGAGTTCTAGCGGCTAAGACTGTGCTGGCAGGGTGAAAGGACAGGAAAAGAGGGGAAGGGGATTCCCTCAGGGTTAGCTTCCTGAAGAGGTGGCGACAAGTCCTCTCAACACAGGACAGGGAAGTAGGAGGGGCAGCAGGGGGTGAGTGGACAGAGTCCTCAGGTCTCAGGTCACCATGGCCACGGGCCCCATGGCTTCAGGCTGCAATTCTCGCCAGGCTCTACTCTTGGCCTTGGCTGGGCTCCTTACATCACAGGTCAGCAAAATTCACAATCTCTGCCCCTACTGTCTGTAAGAGAGAGAGATCAATGGGTTACTTCTCTCCTGGAAACCGTGTCATGGACCCATCCTCCTCCTCACCGCCTCTCTTACCTCCTGCTCCCTGGACGATGTGTTCTCCAGTGAGTCCTGCAGAAGGAGAACATGCGCTGAGCCCCAGCTCCGAGCTTCAGAGTGCCTTCCCTTTCTTAGAACAACCGAATCAGTGCCCAACGTCTCCCTCAGCAAAGTGCAGTAAAGGACAAATGTTCTATCAATGAGAGGCCAAACAGCCCAGGAAGCTGGAAACGGGCCTGCTGTAGAAACAGTTCCCGACCTGTGACCGCACAGTTGACCAGCAAGAAAATTCTGATCTTTCCATGAAAAAAGGATGGAGAGCCCCAGAAGTCCCATGCTCCAACAAAATACCAGGTAAGAGGAAACTCATGAGTCTGGTAATCTTCCTCATCAATGAAACCCAACATCACGGTCAAGAGCACTAAGGAACGTGCAGTCATGTGGACACGATGGTAGAGGAATTCAAGAGGAAACAGAGGTGGCTAGCTAGCATTCTGTAACTTCCACACCTAGAACCTGGGGACTCTTTTCCGATGCTTATTATAAACCACTCACCCCCTACCCTGCACCCCTCTGTGCTGGTCAGGAGAGGAGAAAAAATGGAACCAGAGGACTGGAACCTGAGGAAACGCGAAGAGTTGAATCCAGAGTCTACCTCCCTGTCCACTCCAGCTCTTCCTAACTTAGCCACGGTGGTACTACACCCTCAGGCCTACAGGCCCCAAAGGGTCCCCAAGCTAGCAGAGACATGTGAGGGACTGGGTCCAGTTACAGAATCAGAGCAAACGGAGTGCGGCTGGATGACAGATGGCAGGCAATGAGACACAGTGACTGGAAAACACAACTTTAGGGAGACCCTAGTTTGAGAGACTTCTTTTCTCACACTGCTTTGTTGTCATTCCCCCACCTAAGCCACTGTTAGGAAGGCTGGTGGCTGGCAATCCCACTCCGTCACCCATCCCTATACACAGCCGTCTCAGGGGTCCTTTAGAACCGGGACAGAGTATTTAAGAAAAGTTCATCCTCGGCCTGGATAAGACTGACAAGAGAAGAGAACTGGGAGAAGCGTGATCTGATAGGAAGAGGTGACTCCTTGAAACAGTGGCTGTCGGGGAACACAGCGGCATGCAGGAGTCCCTGCGGGACAGCTGACCCTCAGGCCACAGCACTCATGTTAACACTGACCCTTTGTTGAGCATCTACTATCTGCCATTCTCCTGAGAGCTCTACCTATTCAGAGGGTCCCTGACTTAGGATTTTTCACCTTAACAGCATGAAAGCAACCTGCATTTAGCAGAGACCATACTGTGAATTTTCGTCTTTCCCAGGGCTAGCCGTATGTGGCATGGTCCTCTCTTGTGATGCTGGGCAGCAGTAGCAGCAACCCACACACGACAATGCACCGTGTTGCTAAGTTTCTACAAGGTGGATTGAATACATTTTCAATTTAAGATATTTTCAACTTATGGTAGGCATATCAGGAAGCAGTCCCACTGTAAGTCAAGGAGCACCTGTACTTAATCCTCAGTCCAGTCCTAAGAGGTAAGTAAGGGCTGGATACTATTATTATCCCCATTTTACATAAGAGTAATTTGAGGCCCAGAGAAGCTTAGTAACTTGCCCAGGATCACACAGCTCAGTCAGTGGAGGAACTGGGATTCAAAGGGAGGCCTGTCAAGGTCCAGAGCCGGTGCTGGTAACCACTGCATGTAGCGTCATACCTGGAAGAGCAGGAAGACTTAGAGAAGGGTGCCGGCAGAGTCGCTGGGTAGGGCGTAGGGTGTGGGCTGATAAATACTGAAGTAGGAACATGGTGTGTGTTGTGGGGCGGGGGGCTGGGAGGGGGTGTTGTGTGCAGCAGGGGAACGGTTGCCCAGGCGACAGACATCGAAGGGACCACCGGGCCCAAGCCTGAGCAAGTCACACGTGCAGGGGTAGGGGCAGGCACCGGGAGCTGAGGCTGCATGAGCACCAGCAGGGCAGATGCTGGAAGGGAAAGGGGGGGCGGGTGGAGCGCGGGGACCGGGTCTCATGGACGGAGAGACCCTGTCGAGGGGAAATGCGGGGCCAGAGGGGGGTCCGGAGAGTGCAGCGGCCGGGGAGCGTTAAAGGGAAAGGGCAAGGGGCGCGCCGAAGCGATCCTGGGTGACCTGGAGACTGGGCTGGAGGAGCCCGAGGTGAGGGGCGAATTGAGCGGAATGAGGCACCCACGAGGGCCGAGAGCGGAAGGGACGCCGGGCGAGGGGCGCGCTGGGCCGCACCGAGGGGCCGCCCGGGACGACCCTGCGGGTGGTTATGGTGGCAACACTCACGGGAAGTCAGTGAGCAGAGAAACTGAGGGCAACCGTGGTGGGGGCCACACTCGCGGCGTGTTTGAAGGTTCCCCTCAAGGGCAGCTCACCCGGCGGACTGGGCGGCGTCCCCGCTGTCCCCGGGCTCCGCCGCGTCCCGGGGCTGCCCGACTTCCCGGCTCTCGGGGCCTCGGGCCGCGTCGCGGCGACTCCGCCATCTCCGAGCGAACGCTCTGCCGCAGCCGGAACCAACCACTGCGCCCACGGGGGGAGGGGGCGCGCTCGCAGCACCTGCTCGGGTCCCCGCCGGCTCTAGGCCTGGCAGCCACGCGAGCGAGGGCCGGGAAAACCAGTCTTCCGCAGCGCACAGCCGAGCCGCGGCCTCCGAAACGGCGGGCTCCACGCCCCGCCCGCGGCAGCGCGCCCCCTCCTCCTCGCCGGGTGGCACAGTCTGGAGAGCGTCAGGCGCCGCGGCTCCTCCCCGGGCAGGGGCGGGCCGAGGGTGCGGGCCCGTCCACTCAGCCCTGCAGAGGGGGAGCCGGGTCGGCCCACGGAAAGGCAGGGGTGGGTGGCGGCGGGGCGTAACCGTGACGGGGGCTGAGCGAGACCTTCGCCTACCACTTAGGACCCACATCCTCCCGCCCCCTCCAGAAATCCTCCGCAGCCGCTGGGGTACCTGGGGTTGATGGCTAATGAGCTTATGCGAGAAAGTTGTATTCTATAAAGGGCTCAAACAGAGTGGGAGAAGGTACTTCTTTTATCTGAAACCTCCAACGCAGTCTGCTAAAATCTGAGCCTCTTGCTGTAAGCCTCCAAAAGCAATAACACAATGGACTGTTTAAAGGTTATTTTATTAAATATCTTCAGTTCAAGGTTTCATTGTAACAAAGCTATGAAGGGTCTACCAACATTCAGAACAAACACTAACTAATTTTAAATTATTTCTATGTCATCATGCAAAAATTCTGCATCAAATGCCTTCCATTTCCTGTTTAAAAGGTGATTTTGTTTAAATTTTGTCTACTGTCTATAGATGCCGACATTAGCCCCAGAAGAGGAGTAAGAATGCTAAGTGGGGCTGGAGCAGCCATATGAAGCTATGGGTCTCAATGAACTCTAAGACCGTTTGTCTTCAAGCCAGCAAAATCAAACCCTGTGGTGAAGGTATTTGCGTGCTGGCACTGCAGGCTGCAGGGCAGGGAAGGGCTGGGGCATGCATGAGGTGCTCGGTGGGGCCTGGCTGAATCCAAGCACCAGCACCTGCGAGTTCGCCTGCTTGTCAGCTGGCTCCAAAGCAAAACTGTAGTTTTGTCTCTTCTCCAGCTCTTGTGCCTCCAGAAGGTAGTCCAGGAAACGGGGGTCCACCCACCTTTCCCCTCAAAGTGCAGATAAATCTGCACAGCTGTTTTTTTTTTTGGGGGGGGGTGGGGTGGGACCAAGGCCATGACCAATTGCTCCTCCATCATCTTCTCTGCTGTCTGCTAGGGTGTGACTCTCTCCCTCCTGCAATGGAGCTCCTTGAGCACAGAGAAGGACAATGAAGGGAGGAGCCTCGGCTCTGGACACCTCTTTGGGGTACATGCAGGTAAGGGAGGTGATGCCCATGCAGATTGTCCAGCAGCAAGTCTATACTTTAGTTGGTCAATAAGAGGCCTCTTTAACGAGGACACCTCTTCTTGTCAGAGCAGTCAGGTCAATCTCAAAGACAGGAAAAGAGATGGACGTGCAGCAAGGGGAGAGTTAAGAAGGGAGGCAGCCCTGAGGGCAGCATGAATGCATAGAAACAACCACCATCTCTTACCCCGCTGCCTCACTCCTCCCATCCCACAGGGGCACTTGGCAGAGGGCTCAGGCCCAGATGAGGGTCAGCATGGGGACCACCACCACGAAACGGCAAGACCAAGATGGCCCAGATCGGCACGGAAACACAACCGCCGAAGCCGGCACAGCAAGCTGGGCCAGGGCCTGGCTCTGGCTCTCTCCTTGCTAAGTTGTAAGAAAACAAACAGGAAGCTGAGCAGCTGCCCCTCCCCTGTCCCAGCTGCAGGGATCAGGCTTCAAGATCAGGGCCGCGTGCACTGTGCAGCCTACAGAAATGGATGAGTGAGCGAGTGCATGTCAGACTAACACGAGGTCTCTCTTCAGCTCCGTAGCGAACACGCTTCTGCAGCACCAATTCTCTTCCCCTCTACACTACGTGGAACAGTACAGCAACGTCTGGGCCCTCACTCCTGAGGTCACTGCTTCTCAGCTGCCCCACAGCAGGCTGGGAGCTCTTCATTCTCTCCCGAGTCGGTCTCCTGTCCATGATGTTCTCATCAGCCTCCTTCCAGGCACCTGTACAAGTTCTGAAGCCGTACACGCTGAGGCCTGGGAAGAGCAGGCCACCTCAGGGGCCGCATGGCCCCCAAAGCTCTGTCAGAGTTCTTGCCTGGTCCCCTGAGTCCGTGGGGCCAGAGGCCGAGCACACCTCTTCAGGGCTGGTGGGTGAGCCCGCTGCTCGTGCCAGGATGGGCGTCACACAAACTCCTGCCTTCTTGCCAGCCCAAGGGCTGTCGGTGGTTTTAAAACGCATCATGTACGGATTCCATTTCTCTCTTTTTTTTAAACAATCTTTTTTTTCTTTTTTTTTTTCCTTAAATGTAAAAAAACACCTCGGTACAGCAGAGACAGACACGAAGGGCGGGCGGGAGGGCTGCATGCAGGGGCGTGCATTGGCTGCTGCCGCTTTGTAATTTAATTGTTTTAAACCTCAAACGAACAGGACTGCCGCTGTCACTCCGGCCCTCCAGAGCCACTGGCTGCGAAGGTTCGACCTCCGGCTGGAATCTCCTAATGCCCCTGTCAAACAGGACAGAACGCGGTAACAGGACAGAGGACGGTGAGCATGCGGCCGAGTTCCAGGGATTTAAACCCACCACACATGTGGCCCAGCCTGCCTGAGAAGTGTGGGGGGCGGGGGCTAGGGGGAGAAGCTAATGTTTAAACAGAACACTGCTTCAAGTTTGCGGAGCACTTACTGAGTGCTTGACTTACTGCATGTCATTGAACCCCTACAACAATTCACTGAGTTAGCCATCCCTCCTTCCCACTTTTTTTACAGCCTCGGAAACTGAGGGCTTAGGGAGAAGGAACTTTGTCCGGGGTCACCCGATTTGGAGTCACGGAGCCAGACCCAAGTCTGTGCGATTGTAGAGCACAGCTTATCACAACCATACTGTCCTGCCTTTGCCACTCCTCTGGGGTAGTCCACACCTCCTCTCCCACTGCCACTGCCCAGCATTCTCTTCTCCCTCTGACCCCATCTATCCCAGCCCCTTCCCCATCAGCCCCCACCAGATGCACCTGTTGCTGAGCTCACTGCAGCGGTGCGGCAGGGGCCCCTGAGCAGTGGTAGTGGACATTGAGCCACTTGCCATCCCGGCGGTGCCAGACCCGGGTCTCCTCCGACTGGCTGGTGCGGGGCCGACCCTGCCCGTCGATGTACTGGGTGAGGCGGATGTAGGCGATGCAAGCTGCGTCCTCTCCGATCACGTGGACATGTGGGTTTAGGATGGTGGTATGGATGGGCTTGCTGTTCTTGGACAGGACTGCAGGGGGCAGGGCAGGGCAGGGGGTGGTAGGTAGGAGGGTGTCAGACCTGGGCGCCTGCATGTGGCTCCCAGCCTGCACTTCCAAGTCTCACCCCATCTCCAGCAACCATTTCCAGTTTGCAAGGGTCCCCGGACACCCCCCAGAGGCCAGGATACTCTGTTACATCAGCTACAGTGATCCGAAGGGAAGAGAAAGGTGGGTACCCATGACAACAGCAGCTACTACTTTCATCAGGCATTGTGCTGGGAATTTACATGCATAACCCTGGTTTATATTAATCACTTCATTATAAGGATAAAGCTCAAGAAGATTAAGTAATGTGCCCAGATCACGCATAGGAACTCAGGACCATGTGACCATAACGGAAGCCTCTGGCCTTGCTTCTGTGTTGGGCTGATGTTTAGGTTTCATAAGGGTTGGCTTGTCCTGAACTAGGGCTGCAGAGCAAAATCAGGACCTTAAAGCATTAAAACTGATTTGTGATTTTTTTTTTAAAGGCATCGGAGTTTAAATAAAATCACCAAAGCACCAAACTTAGGAAATCCCCTGGAGTGCCCAGGATCGTCTAGGGGAAAGGCCGAAGAAGGTGGATTGCCGTTATCAGCACATGCTGGCAAACCACGTTGCTTTTACTGAGATTCACATTTTTAGTTCAATTCAGATATTAAGGGCTACATGAGACCTTTCTTAGAACTAACAGAAACTGCAGAATGGCTTCTAGCTAACAGAATAACTCAGACGGCTGAGGGTTTACATGTGGCGCTGAGATGCAGAGTGAGTAGGAGTCAGTAGAAAAAACCAAGAGAAAATATAACTCAAGGCAGGATGGGAAGGGCTAGGATAAAGTGGGGAAGAGAAAAACGGTGAAGGGGAGGCATCATACACTGTGGACATGTATTGGACTGTCTCACTGTACCCCATCAATATGCTGATTTAAAATAAAATAAAATAATAAAAAATGAGGGGGAGGGTCTCAGAGAGTGGAGGGGAAAAATGGGAGGGGGCAATGATTCAGTTCCGTATTCCCCAGAACTACCATCAACTTTCCAGATGTACACCCACCCCCCATCCAGACCGCCTGCTCTCTGATACTCATGAGGACCCAAGCCACAACTATGGATCTCACCAGTACCACCAGTGCCCTATTACTTGCTTACACATTCTTATTCTGGTTTTAGTTCCTCTACTGCGAACCCTGCAGACACACAGCTTCTTTACCTGCTAAGAACATCTCAACCTAATCTCAGAGGTTTTCAGTCTGTGTCAGAAAGAGGTGAGGCTTCAAGAAATACAGTGACCCTGAGTGTGCCTACTGGGACTCTCTGAGGCAGCTGCAGAAATGAATGGGCACTTTGGAGCAGGGCCTTCCAGGGTGCCAGTTTAGGGCACAAGGAGGCAGGCAGAAAGAGGTACAGCAGAAAGGTCAAGTACGGGAAGAGTGAGCAAGTGGGGTGAAAAGGTGGGCGAGCGACAGAGGCAGAGGGTGAAGGGGCAGGCAGGAGTATATCGGCAGCACGAACCCACTCACGATTCTCAAAGTAAAACTTATGGAAATCCATCCCCTCCACGAGGTTACCAAGGGCCTCCGGCTCAAAGGAAGTGAGGCCCGGATCACAAATCTTCCTGCAGGGGAAAACAGAAACGGGCAGTCTGTCAGGCTCCCATGGGAGTTCCATGGCTTCCTGTCTGTCCTCCGGCAGCAGGCTAGCTGTTGGCTAAGCCTGATGATCCGCCCAAGATCTTCCAGGGCTGCCTGCTGAGCCACCCCGCACCGTCCTTTCAGCCCACCCCCAGGATACCACGGGCAGGCTCAGTCACACAGAATGTACCCGGAAGGGCTCTCTGGGTTTAGCTCAGACACTGTGCCCAAAGGCCCAGCTCTTCCTTTTTCCAGTGTCCTGGCTGCTTTTTGGAAGCAAGAAAGGCCTTGGGAGATGGCTTAGGACTAAGGAAATGGGTCCCTACTCACGTGTAGGCCTCAAAGTCCCCATTGTTGATGGCTTCAATCAGCTGTTCTGTGATCTTAATGATCTCCTGTTTTCGCACTGTGGGGAGGAAACAAAGCCACCGGTTTACCTGCTATGCAACCTCCATGGGGCAGAAAGCCCTCCCCAGTCCTTCAGGGAGTCCCCTGTGATCGCCTTCACAAAGACATCTCCCTTCTCTGTCTTCAAGGCCCTCTGCAGGAAGAGTAAGCCTGTCTTTGTCTCCATGCCCCTCCCCGTGTCTGCAGAGCCAACGAGCCCCTCCGTTAGTCACAGTTCTGGGACCTTCACCTTCCCATCGTCAACAACCGCACTGCAGAAAGCACCCTTGTCTGTAGCAGCTGAGGAGCCTGGAACGTCAGGAGAGCCCTGCCCAGGTCCCCGTCCCCAGCCGGTTCAGCCACTGGAGAAGCCCTGCCTCATATGCCTGCCATCCCTTTCCCGAGCCCCGCCACCACTTACTTCTCAGGCAGATCTGTCACCAGCCCCATTCTCAGCCCTCACTCAGTGGTCCAGAACCTAGGCTTGGGCAACAAGCAGCTGCAGAAGCAGAATCCAGCTAGGGGCTAGGGCTCCATCAGGACTACCAGAACCCTAGGGTGGGTGCTCACTCTCCTCGCCCTGCTCATCTCCTCCTCGGGGCCTTTCTGGGATAAAGGATCTTGGCACTGCGAAAACCAATGGCAGCCTCTCACCAGAGAGATGGCTCCATTTACCCGGACCAAGCCTTGGAAAAGCTGTGACTCTCATTAACCAGCTCTCTCCCTCGAGAAAACCAAGACAAAGCTCAGACTGACGGGAAGGCACAGTGTGTGTCTTCAGAGCTCCCTACCCAGCACGCCTCGAGTCAGAGGACAGCGGGTGATGTCCTGTTCTCGCGGGTAGCTCTCCTCCAGGGAGTGCCACTATTAGCAGGTGGAGATGCCAGGCTGACCCCGAGCCCCAGATGACCCAGGCCACAAGCCCTTCCTCACAGGAGCAAGAGGCTGCAAGACAAACGCAAGCCTGACTAAAGCACTGCCACGGCCAGCACAGCCATGGGCACAGCTGAGGTGGGCTCGCACGACCAAAGGTGCAGCCAGGAGGGCGCCCCACAGCCATCAGCACCACCAGGTGGCGGCAGCTCCAGGTGAGCAAGCAGCAGATCAGGGAAAACACCCATGCGCTCGATCCCTTTCTAAAGGGGCAAGCAGGTCCCGCACACAACACACAGCCGCTCTCCGCCCCACCACACCCATCCGCAGGACCTGAGTGGGGCGCCGTGGGGGCAGAGGCCTGTGTGTAGAGACTCTACAGTGAGAAGCGGTGGGAGGAAAAGGAGAACAAGCCTTCCTCTATCACAGATGGAGCCGCTGCTAACCTGGCGAGGAAGCAGGTCACCAACTTTTCCCATCTCCCTTGTCATTCATGACAACGCTATGAGGTAGCGGCCACTTTATTGCCACATCACAGCTAGGGAAACTGCAGCTTTGGTCTTTACACACTTTGGAAGGTGTGTAGTTGGGATTTTTACCAAAGACCTGCCTTACCCAAGCCTCAGGCTTTCAGCAGGACATCGTGCTGAGCCTCTGGGAAGACCACACCCTCACAGGGCCCCTAGCTGCCACATTTCACCAGTGCCTCTACTCCCAGCCCCTCAGGCCTCACCCTACTGCCCTTGTCCTGGCTGGGGCTGAGGCAAGGCCCACTCACCGCAAGGCCCATTGCCTTCTCCTCCCTCCCTCCACGCCACATTCCTGCACCCCGTTCCAGCATCTCTAGGTACCCCAGACTCAGGGCCCCTGCCTGGGACCATCAGCACCTCCAGTCACTCCCCCACCCGGCAGAGGCCACGCTCCCGAAGCTTACTAAGAGGGGCAGCTGGGCTGGGTTGACAGCTCTGGGAGGGATCCCCGGGGAGGCTTCAGGACAAGCCAGGGAGACGGAAGCCAGAATGTGCCTCCCTCACACTTACTGGCTGAGGAGCAGAGAGAAGGCTGGGGCTGCATGCCTGCAGAAGGGGCTGTTCTGTCCCGGGAGCTCCTTCCTTCAGGCACCGAGCTGCCATTCCCAGTGCGGAGCGGGGCAGCTAGCCAGCCAGGGCAGGGCAGGGCAAGGCAGTGCAGCCAAAACAAACAGAACAAGGCAGGTGAGCGAGCAAGCCGGACAGAACCCAAGCCCGTGGCACTGCAGAGCCGGGGCAAGGTGACGCCTCGGGCTGCTGTGGACGCTGGACCACATCCCGTGCTGCCGCCTCTGCCAGAGAGGCCTCCCAGCTGACAGCACCAGGAAGGCACACAGACCTGGGCTCCAGGTTTCTGGAGGAGCCTTGAAACAGCTGGGACAAGGACCCCTGCTCCCGGGGAAGACATCTGAGGGGGTCAGGCCCCGAGGTCAAGAGCCCAGAATAAAGGTGCCTCCTACTCTGCCACCATCACTGGAACTGAACTCATCTGACCTTCATCCCAGCAGCCCTGCAGATATGATCTTCCTTGCCTTCCAGATTTAAGCTTTTTATTTCTTTTGAATGTTGGATGCCCCTCAGTGCCCGCAGGTATGCTCTCTCAACTCTGACCTACACCTTTCTCATCTTTTGTTATCCTGGCCACAGGTCACTTACTGAAGGCAAAGGGAGTAATTCCATGCGGTGAAACCAAAGAGTGGAACAGGGCGTGCCAAGCCCACATACCCCCTGGCACTCTGGTCAGCTCCAGGCTTAGTCTCATGGCCCTTACAGGACACGGCCAAGTGTGCCCTCACAGATATGATGGCCCCATCATTCACGCCCAGATCTCAGGAATAGAGCAACCAGCTCATCCCAGTGTGCCCGGGACGGTCCTTGTTTCAGAGCCAAAAGGTCTACATCCTGGGGACTGCCTCAATTCTGGGAAAACCAAAACAGCTAGTCACCCTGCTTAGGCCTGTGACGCTTGTGGGCTGCTTCTTCAGGGACTTGAGACGCCCCGTCCTGGCATGCTGCACCACTGTCAGCAACAGCGACAGTTCTCTGGGCCCTGGCTCCTGTAAAAACTCCAGATTTGCTGTTCTATCTTTGGGATCAAACAATTTGAGAAGCCTCTTGTCCAGCCCAGCAACACCCAAGGAAAAGAACTTTCGTGCCACTCCCTCTCCTTGGCTGTAAGGAGCCTCCAATCCCAGTTTTGGGGGCAGACAAGGCAGGTGCCTCGTCAGAGCCAAGGCACCTGGGTCCCGGGGGAGTCCCTTCCCCTCCCAGGGTCAGCACCTACCTTTGAGGTCCTCATCTTCTGTAGTGGTGTTGCAGCTCTCTGTGGAGCCCTGTGGGCCAAAAAGAACATATTTCTATATGCTCAGGCCCTTGGGAGCTTGGAGGAGCCAAGTACAACAAATGCTCCTACAAGAGGTCTGAGTAGGAATCATAGAAGGTTTGACCTCTACCTTTGCAATCTGTCTCAGAAAACCCTGGGTCCCCAGGTCCCCCTCCCAATGGCACCATCTACTCAGTTACTTAGACTAAAACCTGCTGTCATCCTTGACTCTTCCTGTTCTCTTTTCCCATGTCTCAATCACCCAACCTAAAAAGCAAACCTGGGGCTGGCGCTGTGGCGTAGTGGGCTAAGCCTCGGCCTATGGTACCAGAATCCCATATGGGCACCAGTTCAAGTCCCAGCTGCTCCTCTTCCAGTCCAGCTCTCTGCTGTGGCCTGGGAAAGCAGTTGAAGATGGCCCAAGTGCTTGGGCCCCTGCACCCACATGGGAGACCTGGAAGAAGCTCCTAGCTCCTGGCAGCTCCAGCCATTGTGGCCATTTGAGGAGTGAACCAGCAGATGAAAGATCTCTCTCTCCACCTCTCCCTTTCCGTAACTCCAACCACCTTTCAAGTAAAATAAATAAATCTTTTTTTTTTAATTTTTTTTTTTTGACAGGCAGAGTTAGACAGTGAGAGAGACAGAGAGACAGGTCTTCCTTCCGTTGGTTCACCCCCCCAAATGGCCGCTATGGCCAGTATGCTGCGCTGATCCAAAGATAGGAGGCAGGTGCCTCTTCCTGGTCTCCTATGCGGGTGCAGGGCCCAAGCACTTGGGCCATCCTCCACTGTCTTCCCAGGCCACAGCAGAGAGCTGGACTGGAAGAGGAGCAACCGGGACAGAATCCGGTGCCCCGACGGGGATTAGAACCCGGGATGCCGGCGCTGCAGGCGGAAGATCAGCCTAGTAAGCTGCGGCGCCAGCTGAAATAAATAAACCTATATACAAAAAAAAGCAAATCTGTCTAAATAATCTGACTAAATAAACCCAACAAAATAAATCCTGTCTCTCACCTCTTCTTCAGATGTACAGTTATGTGAGTCCAAGCTACCGACATCTCACGCCTGAATTACAACAGCTCTTGTGTCTCCCTACTTTTTTTTTTTTTTTTTTTAAAGTGAGAGAGAGACAGAGAGACAGGTCTTCCTTCCATTGGTTCACTCCCCAAATGGCCGCTATGGCCAGCGTGCTGCACCGATCCAAAGCCAGGAGCCAGGTGCTTCCTCCTGGTCTCCCATGCGGATGCAAGGCACAAGCACTTGGGCCATCCTCCACTACCTTCCCAGGCCACAGCAGAGAGCTGGACTGGAAGAGGAGCAACTGGGTCTAGAACCCAGTGCCCATATGGGATGCCAGCGCCGCAGGCGGAGGATTAGCCAAGTGAGCCACGGCGCCAGCCCAAGGGTCTCCCTACTTCTACATTTCCTTTCTTGTCCATAACACAGAGTGATCTCTCAAGGTGTAAATTAGCTTATATTACTTCCTAGCTAAGAGCCACCAATAGCCTCTCTTTGGTGCCAGGAAAAAAAAAAAAGCAAGTTCAGTGAGGTCCTAGGGAGCAGGCCCTTCCTGCTACTCTGCCTCTTGCTTGCCACACTCAGGCCTGCTTGGCCTCTTCCAGTCCCTACACTCATACATGCCACACCTCTGCACTTGCAGTTCCCTCTGCCTAGGGCACTCTGCCCCAGAACCCACCTGGCTGCCTCCTTCCTGCCTGTTCAGTCTTTTTTTTTTTGACAGGCAGAGTGGACAGTGAGACTGTTTAGTCTTTAGATCAAACATCACCTCCTGAGAAAAGCCCTTCCTGATCACTTCATTAAGGGCTGTTCAGCTCTCCTTACTTTGTGCCCTTTCCTTCAGAGACTTGTCACGACTGGATCTTGATGTGATCTGATGACTGGTTCGTTGGCTGCCTTCCCTGCAGTGTTGCCCTGCCCCATTGTGGGCAGGAAAGTTGTCACCTCTGCAGCCAGGGCCATGCAGGGTGTGTGGCTCAATGGACATCTACTAATGTTTGTGAAAATACGGAAGACACAAAGGTGTGAGCAATGGCTGATGCTCCAGGTCTGATATCCTCTTGCTTCTTCTTCTTCTTTTTTTTTTTTTTTATGCTAAGACAGACTCTCATTTAAACTTCACAATTTGTGGAGGAAGTTTCTATTTTTTTTTTTTTTTTTTTTTTTTTTTTTTTTTTTTTTTTGACAGGCAGAGTGGACAGTGAGAGAGAGAGACAGAGAGAGAAAGGTCTTCCTTTGCCGCTGGTTCACCCTCCAATGGCCGCCGCTGCAGCCGGCGCACCGCGCTGATCCTGGCAGGAGCCAGGAGCCAGGTGCTTTTCCTGGTCTCCCATGGGGTGCAGGGCCCAAGCACCTGGGCCATCCTCCACTGCACTCCCTGGCCATAGCAGAGAGCTGGCCTGGAAGAGGGGCAACCGGGACAGAATCCGGCGCCCCAACCGGGACTAGAACCCGGTGTGCCGGCGCCGCAAGGTGGAGGATTAGCCTATTGAGCCACGGCGCCGGCTGAAGTTTCTATTATTATCCCCGATTTTCAGATAGGAAAACTGAGGTGCCAAGTGGTTATGTGACTAGCCTAGAGGCTCAGGGCTAGGATGCAAACCAGGTCTGCCTGCCTGCAGAGCCTGGGCTCAGATCAGTAAGTCCTTCCCTGGAACGCAGCACTAACAGGCGCATACCACCTACCCCTGTGATCCAGCCCAGCTGTCTGCTGTCAACCAGGAAAGCAGGAGACAGGTCCCAGAGCCACTTACCTTGATCCCATCTGTAGCGTTGTGCACCACGGTAGTTTGTGGCTCCTGTGAGAGAAGATGACAATTACCCTCCTAACTTGGGGACAGACTTTCAGCTCTTCCCTGAGGGACTCCACCCCTACCCCGGCACCTCCACAGATCCTGTGATAACCACTGAGGCCTGCCCACCAGCCAGAATATCCTGGCTTAACTGGGATCCCAGGCAGCTGGGAAGCCCCGGAATGTGGCGACAGCACCAGCTGGTATGGAGAGGCCTGGCACTGAAGTGGAAGCGGTGCCTGGGAAGCCGTGACGACAGGAGCCTTCGTCCCTGATTCCTGCTGGCTCCCAGGGTTTTTCCCACATGGGGGTCCTATGGGGCAGATACACTGGAGAAGCTGTGGGGCTGAAGGCACAGGCCAGGCCCTGCCAACAGGATTCATCAAGGGCTGCATGGGAGGCATGGACACAGAATGGTAAGGCCTCCAAGAAAGATCCAGGACACTGCCTCTGCAAGCTGAGCTCAGGGAGCTGGCCTCTTCTCCCGCCTTCTGCCCTCCCCAGAGTTCCCAGCCCTCCAACACTGTGTCCAGAAGCACTGGCATCTGCAAGAAGTAGAAGGAGCAGGTATTATGGCTCCTCCTTCTCTCCCAGCCACCCCCTCCTAACATTCTAGTTCGCACCTCAAGCAGAAGGCGCTCCCTTGGAAGAGCCCAAAGAGAATACAGGCAGCCTGGGGCTCTGCCAGGAGCTCAAAGTCCTCAGCACCATCCAGAGGTGGGGGACCCCAGTCCTCCTTCCTGTTCTTGGCTTTGCAAAGCAGAGGCTAAGTTAGGCTTTCCAAGGGCCCTTCAAGAGATCCGTGAGACCTCTCCTTTTCTAAGCAACTCACCTTCCCGGCCCCCACCACAGAGCCCCTGGGGGTCCCAGCCTGGGGCTGGGAGGTTTAACTGAGAGCCCTGATCACTCTTCCCCCAGCAGCGAAAGGAGCAGGAGCAGCAGTTCTGCCATGCAGGATGGAGAGTGGCCAAGCGGGACAATGGAGGGCAGGGACCCTGGGGGTGCACACAACGCAGCCTGCTCTACGGGGATGGAGAGCGGCAAAAGCCCCAGGAGGCCTGGGAGGGAGAGCAAGAAGAGGAAGAGGGAAGGAGCAGGAGGCAGCCAGGGGCAGAGGCGGAGAAGCTGTAGTCAGGAGGTACCATGGCCGTCTGCAAGGGCGCGGGCTCTTGGGCTGGGCTTACGAGACTGTTTTTGTTGTTGCTCTGTGGCTGAGACAAGAAAACAGATGGTTTAGTTCCTCTGGAGTCACCAAAGCCACGCCGGTTTGACTCCCAGACCTCCCTTGCCCCCTGGCCTGGCCCAGAGGAGCCAGGCCTGAGGTGGCCTCTGTAACTCTGTGCACATGGGAGCGATGGCTGCAGAGATGGTCAGAGGACGGGAACGTTAGGAGGGGCCCAGAGAACCGTCCAAAGACTTGTCTTCGAGCTTCCCTCTGAAGTCTCTGCTTATGCCAGGTGTCGTGTCACTGCACAACCGTACTTGACCCAAAGAAATCAGATCTTCCCACTTTACAATGGGAATGGACAGTGGTTTATAAGAAAGCAGAACACAATTCAGAAACTCTGGTCCCCTATCTGAGGGCAGCCTCCCGATGCCCTTCAACCCAGCACCTGCATTTCCTTCGCTTTAAAACACCAGCTTGAAGAATGAGCTGCAAAGACGAGGAAGGAAAAAAGAAAGAAGGCCAGGCCTAGGAGATTGTGCAGAGAGGAACGAGGTGAAATTTCTACTTTGGATACAAAATGCATCCATGGATTCCAGGGAACAGAGACAGGGTTCTGTTGTTCACCTTTCTGCCTGGGAAATATTGGACTTGATCAGTTAGAAGAGGGCGGAGCTCCAAGGAGAGGCGGGTGAGTCTCAGCAGAGACTATGGCTGCCATTCCAAACCCAGCCCCTAGAAAGGGCAGGCTGCCCAGGGGCCAAACCTCCCAACAGCAACCCAACCACCAGGGATATCTCCTTGCCTTGCAGAATGTTCCATGGAGTGTCACAGTAAGGGGGAGGTGGGGAGAAGATGGCGAGGAAGGGAAGAGGCCAACCTCCAGGGAATGGGGCCGTATTGATGCTGTCTGCCTCTTACGACTCCCTAACCTGTGCCCTTGGTCTCACTGGGAATACCAGTGGAGTCAGCAGCCACTGAGGAGCAGCCTGGTACCTGCAAGTCCTTCAACAATAAACGGGCACCATCTGTGCACAGAGTGCAAAGGAGGACATGCTGACAGCCACAGCGTATGCCTTCTCTCCTAGGACACACACGGACAGCATCCAGACTGTCCTGTAGTTTACCTGGAAGCCTCTTATATCAGACTGAAGCCACCCCCAACTTGCTGGCAATGGCTGAGCCATCCCACAAGTCAAGGCTGGGCATGGAAACTCAAGCCAGGCAGCAAGTGTTACAAGCCTCCACCGAACTCTGCAGGCCTGAGAAGAGAGGTCCCAGTAGACAGGATGTGGCTACAAAACCATCAGCGCTGCTCTCTTCTGTTCCCATCAGGGAAGTGCACCCCCTTCCTGGCCCAGCCGCTGCCGGCCGCTGACCTCCTGTTCACAGCTGGCTCCTCCAGGCTTCTCTGCCAGCACAGTCCCACTGGGACCAAACCTTTGCTGAGGGCAGGGATCCCAGGGAGCCTGTAAAACCTTCCTTGTCTGCAGAGGGCTGGGATGTTGCCCCAGGGGCCCCACCTCTGCTGCTAATGGATGGTTTCACAACAATACAGATGGCTGTGTTCCCCTGTCCCGTGAGAAAAAGGCTGCACTCACTGATCTTTCAGCTGTTCCCCCTGAGGGCCGGGTGGGCAGGAGGAAAACATTGTGTGGGACTCGCACAGGGGAAAACTCAGGAAAGCAAGACACAGAGCCTATAACTAGCTCCTCAGCCCACCCCACCCCGCTGCCCACTGACTGCCAGTCTCAAGGAGCACCTGCCAGATGCTCAGGGCCTCTCTTCCTGAGCAACACAGAGGGTGGGGTCTCTCCCTGTGTGTGCCGCTGGCCCCAAGTCCCTACCAGCTTCGCTTACTGCCCTGTGCTGCTGGGGGCCAACCAACCTCCACAGCAGGGCTGCCATACCACGCTTTGCAATGCCCACTCCTTAGGCCACTGGGTGACCTTGGGCAATGGCCCCCCGCCTGGCAGGACAGGCCACACCTGCCCACACAGCACAGACATGCAGTGAGGATGAGTGAAGCACACGCACATGGCAGAATGGGTTTGCGTGGCTGGCAGACGGGCGCAGGCAGCATGGAGTGGGCGATGGGTGGGCAGGCAAGGCTCACCATTAGGTGCACGCTGGAACTCGACTTCCTTTTCTGGACACACCACAGCAAGAGGGAAAGAAAAGGGGAAAGAGGAGGTAAGAAGAGAAGCACAGAGACACTGCAGGTTAGTGCACCAGCGTGGGCTCTGCATTAGGGAGAGAAAAGAGTAGAAGAAAGGAGACGAGGAGTCTAGCACCAGAGGAGGTAAAACAGCACGTGTGTTATACAGACGGACGGGCAGGCTCACCCCTCTCCAGACCCCGGAGGGCAAGAACTCCTTTGCTTTCAGGTTCACAGACACGGATTAGTTTACTCTGAGATGCCTCAGCCTTGCCCTGAGAAGGGTTCTTAAGGAGATGAAAGCCCCAGTCTGTAAAGGCAACATTTTGCTTCAAACTTAGACTTGGGTTCATATGTCTAGTTGTCTCAACAGTCGTGTATTTTCTCTCCTCACTGGGTCTGTTTGAAATCTGGGTGAGTGGCTACCAGGTAAATAGCAAAAGTTACTACAGGCTGTCCTCTGCTTCAGAAACGGTGGATTTCTGAACCTAGATTTTGCTGTACCCTTAAACTGTTTTTTCAGATAAAGGTGAAGAGCTTCTGAAAATCATGTAGCAGTTAGATGCTGGCCGCCCCTCCTTCATCGGTACTAGCATGCTTGTTTAAAGGAGTCACATGTTTTTTTTTGCATTTAGCAAAGAGTGGGCAAAGGAAAAACAGATATACTGGGTGTTAAAGGGACAGTCATCACAAAGGTGCAGAAATGTAGGCCCTGAGCAAGGCTGAAAACCACTGACTCCCTTAGCTCAATCAGATGCTCAGACTTCATGTTCAGATGCGAAACAAGAGCATCAACACAAAGACCACATGGAACACGGGAAATACATCTCTAAAGACGTCTGAAAGGTGAGGGGGAATTGTAAATTTCCCAGCTGGCTCACTTGGAATGAGCGAGTCTGCTGTCTGACACTGCACATTCATGTAACAACATCCAACACCGACTGATGGCTCTACAACACGCGATCAATTGTTTCCGCCCTCAAGGGGCTGGCATTTTACTTAAGAAATTTGGGAGAAAATATTATAATTAAAAGGAATGGGCTACAAATACTTACAAGAGTCCACAATTGAGAATTTGGTCTAAAGAGATATAAAAACCTAAATATAATGAGGCCTCTTTAGCTTTCGAATATGCTGAAATGCTAAGATGAGATTTGCCTTCCAAAACGGTCCCTCAACAGGAAGGAGCTGCCTGACACTCCCATCCATCCCCCAGCCCTTTACCCAGCTAGAGTGTGTGTAAAGCTCTGAGGAGGGCCCACGTCGCAAACATGAAATGCTCATGGCTAGCATTCAGCCAGCAAATGCTTGCTGAGTTGAACTGGATTTGCTGACTCTGGTTCTTCCCCAGGCTAAAGCAGAATGCAGGTTTCTAACTTGCCTGGGCACTCACCCTCCAGCTTGGTCTTGATTTGCAGAAGCTTGCTGCCGAAGGCTGTGGCAGGTCAGCGGTACCTGCACCCTGCCTTAGAGCAGAACACACGGGGCTGGGTTCAGCCTCATGGCGGACAGCATTCCGAGTCTCCTGAGCTGACTCTCTCTCCTGAACCGCCCTACGTGAGAACCCACCATCACCCTTCTCCACAGGCGGCTGTTTCGCACGCTACTGAACACTGTCCGTTTCTCTCTCCACGTTTTCAGCCGAGCACTTTTCTCAGCCAGCACACAGCAGCGTCGTTCAAATGCCGCGTGAGGTTGAAGAGCCACACGAGGCTCTCTCACTTTTCCTTCTGAATTATACATGTATTTAAAATTGTGACCTGGGAAGGGTTTGAATCTCTTTTCTATACTTAATTTCAACAAACAAATACCCAAACCCAAACAGAACTTAAGGAGGTACGATTACCTTCCTCCCCGACCCCCACCCCTTGTTTCTTTAGAGACTGGATGACCAGTCCAGAGCGCACAGGTTGTCCTCACAAGTGACCCACTTCTGCACAGACCCCAGGTCACTGTGTCTGCCTTCAAAGGAGCCTAAGCAGAACGGAGTCAGCAGACTGAGGAGCGCAGACAGACACGTTGCTCAAACCAATGCTAGTACCTCGCGTATCTCACAGAACAGTGAGAAAGGAACCTCCCTGTGTTCACCGAAGCAGTAAGGCATTGGGGAAGGCGGAGCTGAGGGAGATGGGGGTAAAGGAATTCAGGATGCTTCCCACCTAACACTGATCATCACCTTGACCTGCAAGAGCCCAGAAGGGTCCAAACCCCCACATCTTGCTTTGTCCTCCTCCTTCTGGGATCAGCCTTTTCAGGGAATTGCATCTGTCCACTGTTACCATAAAAAGGCCCGCAGCCACATTACAAACAATTGGAAAACAAAGAGGGAGAAAAACCAGACTTCTATCACTCCTCAGGTCTCCCTTCTTATGCAATTAAAATTATAATTATACAGATTTATGCCTTTTTTTTTTTTTTTTGCCAGGCAGAGTTAGACAGTGAGAGTGACAGACAGAGTTATAGACAGTGAAAGAGAGAGAGAGAAGGGTCTTCCTTCTGTTGGTTCACTCCCCTAATGGCGGCTATGGCCGGCGCTGTGCCGATCTGAAGCTAGGAGCCAGGTACTTCCTCCCAGTCTCCCATGGGGTACAGGGAGCCAAGCACTTGGGCCATCCTCCACTGCCCTCCCAGGTCATAGCAGAGAGCTGGACTGGAAGAGGAGCAACCGGGACTAGAACCTGGGGTGCTGGCGCCACAGGCGGAGGATTAACCAAGTGAGCCACGAGGCCCGCCAATTTATGCCTTATTTTAAAAACAAACAGTTTTTTGATTTTTACTGTGATTATAACAGTAATACCTGGTTTACATGAACAAATATAGGAAAACAGGAAAGCATATTAAAAGAAACCAAAAGGTTCCTAAATTCCCATCACCAAGTGAAGTTATTAAAATTTCAGTGCTTTTTTTTCTGGTTCTTTTTCTACCCACCTATTACATACTGAATAAGTATCTACGTTTTTTTTAAACACAGCTTAGGTGACAGTATGTGTACTCTTTGATATCCCACTTTTCCCATGCAATACAAAGCACTGCTGTCACGACATTGTCTTTGAAGATTAGTAACTCTAATGGTCTATTAAATCAATTCCCATAATTAGTCATTCCCTCTTTGGCTTTTGAGATTGTCTGGAATCTTTTTACGGTTGTAAATAATGCCAGGTTGACTATCTTTCTGCTTGCAGCATTTCTCTATTTTCAATTATTTCTTTACAAAAACAGTGGGGAGAAATTCACAAAAGTGGGGTCCCAGGATAATAAAGGCAGGGACATTTCTATGACTGTGGATCCACAGGCTGTTTCACAAAGGACTATTCTGGTTTTCACTGCCATCACTCACTTCAGAGCCAAACCACGGAATGTTGCTTCAACTTGCATTTCTCTGACGCTAGTGAGGCTATACTAGTGTAGCTTTGCCACATTGGTTATCCAGTTCTACTTTTTTTTAGATGGTCAGCTCATCTTCGTTGATCATCTTTCTGCATCTTTTTCTTTTTTTCTTTCTTTCTTTTTTCTTTTTTTTTTTTTTTTTTTTTTGACAGGCAGAGTGGACAGTGAGAGAGAGAGACAGAGAGAAAGGTCTTCCTTTGCCGTTGGTTCACCCTCCAATGGCCGCCGTGGCCGGCGCGCTGCAGCCGGCACACTGCGCTGATCCGAAGGCAGGAGCCAGGTACTTATCCTGGTCTCCCATGGGGTGCAGGGCCCAAACACTTGGGCCATCCTCCACTGCACTCCCGGGCCACAGCAGAGAGCTGGCCTGGAAGAGGGGCAACCGGGACAGAATCCGGCGCCCTGACTGGGACTAGAATCCGGTGTGCCGGTGCTGCAAGGCGGAGGATTAGCCTAGTGAGCCGCAGCGCTGGGCCTTAGGGGGAATTCTTATTTGTTAGAGAAACTCTTTGAATAAAAGTACTACTAACCCCTCCCAGCACACCTCATGTGAACGTTTCCCAGCCCATCTGTGGCCGGCCTTTCACTTTTGGTTGGTCATTTGCTTTTCATTTCATTTTTAAAATTTGATTTATTTGAAAAGAAGAGAGATTGAGTCAGACGAGAGACTTCTCCCATCTATTGGTTTACTCCCCAAATGCCCTCAACAGCCATGGCTGGGTCCGTCTGAAGTCAGGAGCCAGAAACAGCATTCCAGGTCTCCCATGTGGGTGGCAGAGACCCAAGTACTTACTTGAGCCATCATCTGCTGCCTCCCAGGCTGCGCATTAGCAGGAAGCTGGAATCAAGGAGTGGAGCCAGGACTCAGACTTGGGATGTGGACAAGCTATGCCCAACACCTGCCCTTCAATCCCCTTGAAAACACCTGCATTTTGGTCTCTGGTCCCACCACGATATTGAAAAATGCTTTTCAAAATTACAAAATTAGCATAAAACTCACTGAGCGCATATCAGGGTCAGACACATACCAAACAGAAGGCTAGGCTCCCCAAACACGTTCTCACTTAGAGCAGTTTATCTTACGGTCTGCCTGCCAGGCCTTCCTTGTAGGATCTCACTTTGATGCACCCCTCTCTTTCTCCATTTCCTTCACTGAGCCCTCTTCTTTTAGCCCCTTATTGACAGGTATCTTTGAAATGTGGCCTCTATCAGACTCTTAAACCTTTAAGTGGTCTGGATTCATGTGAGGGAAGGAAAATATTAAAATCCCAAGATTCAGCTTCCTACCAAAGGCCTACAGAATCTGAATTCCAAGCTGGATCCTGGAATCTGTATATCTTAAACTAGCCCCTTAGGTGCATGATTGGCCCTGACGTTCATCTTTGGGACTAGCATCTAGAAAGTTCTGCCAGAAATCTAGTCCCTAAAAGCTCCTCTATCTACTCTCTCCCTTCAACCTCAGCAGTTACTGCTTTATTTCAGGCCATGAGCAATGCTAAGCCTCTTCTCCAGCCTGCAGAAGCTACTGCAGTTCCCAGAATCCCCGCTGTTTCAAACCTGTGTATCCTCATGTGTGCTGATTCCCTCCTGGAACGCCCTTCCTGTGCCCTCCTCTTCTTGACCAGGCAAAACCCAACAGTCCTTCTTCCAATTCAGGGGCCAGGCCATCTCTGTCGTGAAGATTTCCTCTTCTGGTTTCAGTGTTCCTCTCTCTGCTCCCCTAGCACCTGCCTTGTGTACACCTACACCAGGACTTTAGCAGACTGCACTCCGCAGAACTCCCCCACTGTGAACACCTTGAAAGGTGGTAATGCCACTGGTCTCCCAGCTCACAGGGGACAGCAGGCAGCTCATAAACTGAGAAGTGCACCCATGTGATCCACTCATGTGAGTCCCAAATCGACACAGCCAGTACTGCTGGCCACTTCCCTGGGCTACACAAGATGTTTGTCAGGGCTAGTAGACATCTCTACTCAAGTACTCCATCACTCCTCAGTTACTTTCTTCCAGCATAAATGGACATTTCTCCTGCTAGGGAATTTTACATATTTATTTCATTCATTTGAAAGAAAGAGAAAGAGGGAGAGAAAGAGAAAGAGGGAGAGATAGAGATAAAGAGAGAAATGGAGACAGAGAAAGCGTTGGTTCATTCCCCAAATACTTGCAACAAGTGGGGCTGGGCCAGGCAGAAGCTGGGAGCCTGCAACTCAATCCAGGTCTCCCAGGTGAGTGACAGAGACCCACTTACTTAAGCCATCACCTGCTGCCTCTCAGGGCATGCATTAGCAACAAGCTAGAATCAGAAGCAGAGCCACAGCTTAAATCCTGATACGGGATGCAGGTGTCCTGCATGTTGTCTTAACTGCTCTGCCAAGCGCTCACCCCTGGTGATGTTTTCTGAATAAATTACCCCTCTCTATTTCTAATCACCTTTTCTCCTTCACCTACCCCTGGATTATGACAGACCCCAACTCACAGCTCCATGTCTCGTTCTCTTCACCCTTATGCCCTCCCTCAAATCTTTCCTACCACTGCTCTTACCACAGCTTCCCTGCTCAGTGGCCTCTATGCTTCCTGAACCTCCAATTCCACCCAACCAGGCTGATCCAGCCACATTTCTGACACCTACCACACATCCACCCTGTGTTCTACTTGTGCAGAAAACATCAGTAGGTATGAGAATCCATAGAAACATGTGGTGTTGCTTCTAAGTTAGAGAAGTAATATTTTGTTTACAAAGAAAACATGTAGGTGTACACCATAAAAACAAAGGAGTGTCTGCCTGCATCTCCAATCCTATACCCTACAGGCAATCCCTGACTTGGTTCTCATCTTCCTATGCCCCTGAAGCTTTATCAACAAGTTTTCCCCCATACACTTCTTAGACTGAATCACCCCAGGTATGGTCCAATGCTTAGGTAACTCCAGCTGTGTTCTTCTGTATCCTTTGTGTACTTCGCAGAACTGAGTACAATGTCAGACCTGTGACAGGTACTGATGAAAAACTCTGTAAACATTGACTGATTTTTGCTTCTTCCACTCAGGCAGAAATATCCAACTAAACACATCTCTTTTTTCTAACTTGGCCCCACCCATCTAGCTCACGCCCAGAATGGAAGGGGGCTGATGGGGGTGCTGCCCGGCCCCACCAGCTCCAGGTCAGCAGGTGTGCACAGAGCCCAGGCTCCCTCCTTGGGACAGAGGGACACAGAAGCAGGCATGCAGAGAATGAGGGAAAGAGGAAGGGGTAGGGGATGGGCATGTGTGTATATCTCAGCTGTGTGCACGCAAGATCCCAAGAAAAGACCCAATCAAAACTTTTATTGGAGGTTTGAAGGTTTGGATAATTTCACGGTTTGCAATTCTCTACTGTGGGAGTTCATAGGCTTTAGGAGAGCATGAATTCCTATTCTGTGCCCCAGCCCCAAGACCCTTCTGTCTCCAAAGCACCCACAGCATGCCTTGGCCCTGGGGCTTCCCCCAGCTACCTCCCTTCTAACCAACAAGCAGCCACTGGAGCATGGCTTCCGCCTAGTGGTCCCTGCAGGCCCTTGGTCCATTTTCTTTCCCCAGAGTCATAGAAAAGGTTAGGATATGTCATGCCCTTGACCTTTTTCTGAAGAGCCCATGCCTTGAGAAGGCTTAAGACTCTTTCACTCAGTGGTATCTGAGCTGGGTTCTGTTTTCCTTAGAGACCAACAGAATAGTGGTTTCAGGTTCTGAGTCCTGCACCCTGCCTGAATCACCAGGGCACACTTTGCTTTCATTTCATTAATTTAAAAAGAAAAAAGAAAAACATTCATCAAATGAGCACAAAAAAGCCAGAGTCAAGCCGTGGAGAGGCCGCGGTGTGTGGAAGCCACACTCAGACTGGGCTCTGGCGGGCTGTAACTTGGAGCACTCTCCCAGAGCCATTCCTATCATGCCGGGCTCAGAAGCACCTCTCCCCTCCTCCCGCTCAGGCCAGTGGAACCTGCTGTTCTGACCACCAAGGCTTCTGGTTTAAAGCAGAAGAGCCAGGATAGGAATGTTCCCAGGAAGAGGGGATGAAGGTGCCAAGAATTCCCCAGAGTGGTGGCTGGGAGTGGGCAGTCTTGACCAGAGGGCTGAGAAACACCTACCTTGACACCACCATCCGACTTCTTGTTCAATAGGCTTTTGGCAGCTGTGAAAACAAAGAGGAAAATCATGTCTCCTGCACTGCACCCTCTCCCCAGCCTCAAGTCCGGCAGCTGGATCCACAGGCGACTGCTGTGTCTGACGAGGGGGCCAGGGCTCTCTGAAACCCGTGAAGCAGGGTCCTTCCAAGTAGTCCCTCAGCAAGAAGGGCAGTCGGAGCGGCACGCCCGGCATCTCCTCCGCCACGCAAGAGGCCTCGGCGGAGCCAGACACACTGTGCTTAGGAGAAACCGCGCTCAGTACTGGAGCTGCCTGGGGCAGTGGGAGCCGTGCCTCCGACAGCTTCCACCTGCTTGGGTGAAAGGGGGAGGGCTCCATCCCTAGATGCCTTGGAGGATCTCTGGAAGGATGCAAGACATCTCCTGAGTGTTTCAAGGAACAGTGTCACAGTTCACGAAGGCGACCAGACGTGAGGACGGACAGACAGACACAGACAGAAACCAGGACCACCTACAGGAGGGTTTTGCCAGGGGGTTGAAGCCTTCACTGGGCAGGTCCTCACCAGGTTTCCTGGGTCCTAGCTGCCACCCTTTCCCCAGAGTCCCCACTTTGCCTCCATGAGCAGGAAGGGCTGGGCAGAATAATCCATCAAATACATTCTAGCCAGGCATGGGGGTGAAACTCAAGGCTGGTGACTCTTGCTGGCCATAAAGGTTACAGGAAGGCAGCAGACAGCCGGTGGTACAGTCTGGAAGGCAGAGGAAGATGGGCTCAGCCAAACTGTCTGATCCACCTGGACTACCTTGGGTTTGCTCCATCTGCCAGTTGTGTGACCCTGAGTGAGTGACTTAACCTCTCTGAGCCACAATTTCTTTATAATATTGGACAAAATAGGGCTAGGTCACAGGATAGAAGTGGGGATCCAAGGGGATCACACCTGACAAGCCATTAGCAGAGTGCCTGGCACATGGCAGTCACTCAGGTTGTCACCAGTGAGCCTCTCTTCTGTCCCACAGGTGGCCATTCCTACCCAAGCTATGTCCCAACTCTCGCCAGTGAGAACAGGGGTCCTTCCATCACAGGGTTCTGGCTCCGAAACATCTCCAGTTACACTGGATTTTAAAGTTATTTTTAAAGTGGATTTATTATTATGCCTGAGCACCTACTGATTAGGTGCTTCTCACACACCAACCAGTTCTCAATCCTGGTTGCCCATTAGAATCACTTGGGGGAGTTTAAGAGTGCTTAACAACGCCTATCCCATCCCCTAAGGAATTCTGATTTGCTTTGTCTGGGGTGGGGTCCCAGCAACAGATTTTTTCTTTCTTTTTTAAACACATGCCCAGATAACTGATTGTCCTGTGCAGGCAGGGTTGAGAGAGCCTTCCACGTATAATGATCTTAAGCATCGCCATGGGTTTTTTTGGTTGTTGGTTTTTTTTTTTTTTTTTTTTTTAATCTCCATGGGGTGTTTTTTTTGTTTGTTTTATCTCCATGGGAGAGCTGCCATAACTTGCTCAGGGTGTGGCAGGGCTAGGATCCAAACCCAGGGACTCTGAGGCTTCTGCACGCCAGAGAAGGTCAGAGCTGGAGGCCTGCAAATGCCAGACTTGGAAATTTTGAGAGGCGTGGCTTCCTCTGTCGGGGTCTTAAGCCGCGCTGCAGAAGTCTAGTCCCCGCCCTGGGCAGCTTGGGGCCCAGCCCAGGGCTGCTGTCAGCTACAGTCCTCCCAGGGAGGTCAGGTCCTCGAGCCGGCGGGAGGAGAGGCTCGCCTGCCCAGCTCCACGTCCCCAGGCTTCTGCCTCCTGAGAGCTGGCAAGCGCCCAGCATGCACGGCTGGTTAGGGGGCTCCGTAACACCAATGCGCTCGCAGATGCCAAGTTAGGTGGTCCTTCTGGCATGCCCATCTCAGCCCGCAAGCATGGGACTCGTCTCCCTGGTGAGTGGGCCTGGCATGCTGGCCCTCCGGTGGGGTGGCAGGGAGCCGAGGCAGGCGGTCGGGGAGGACTCATGCCACGTACCTTGCCCGGCCAGGCCGGCGGCGCTCGCGGCAGGCGAGGCGGGGGCGGAGCTCTGCCTGCCAACTGAGGGGATACAATCTCTCAGTGCACAGCGCTGCCGCAAAGCCACGGGGGCGTCAGCAGCCAGCATGCCCCAGCGCGAGGCGCGGAACCCGCTGGCTGCCCACGCACAGCAGGGCCCAGGCGGCGTGGCCAAGCCAGCCGAGCCGGGGGAGCGGAGGCGCCGGGCGGGGGTGGGGAGGGCGGCTGATGATGCAGGTGCAACCAGCCCTGCAGCAGTCTGGGGGCCTGAGAGGACAGGGCTGGGGCGGGGATAGGGCGTGGGTAAAGCCACGCTGCACTTGGTGGACGTGGCTTCGGTGCGTCTCATGACCATTTCCCGGTGAGGTGCCGCAGGGAAAAGCCTGGTTTGCTAAGAGGCTGGTGCCCTTGCTGAGGTAACCGAGCAGCGGAAGGCTGTGTGGACACTGGGCCTCCCCGCGAGACCTTCCCTCCCTAGGACCTACCTGAGCGCCGTAGCAGAGAGCCTGGAGCACTCAGCAGCCCCTCCCCCTCATGGCCCTCGGGACAGCAGAGGGATTGGCTCTGGGGGCCCAGGAAGGGTCCGAGGCCTTTGTGCAGCTAAGAATGCAGGTGGACCCAGCTGCATCTACCCCACCCTCTTCAGAGACACAGGTCCCTTCCCTCTTAAGGGATGGGGCCAATAAAGACACTTTTCCCAGCCTGTATTTCACAGGGTGCTAGAGGTGAGGATGCCCAAAAAACAAGTCCCCAGATAGAAACCAGAGGCTGCTGAAGGAACACATTCTAGAGGCCCCGACTGCATCACTAGCTGAGCTACCAGCATCCAGGACTGCACCGCACCTCCTGTTTGGGGTCATCTCAAGGAACACACGGGTGCTTTTCCTTCTTGGTTACATCTACAGACACCTCTTTCAGCAGAAGCTTCCGGAGACTGCCTGTCCCCACCTGGCCTGGAGACCGGGCAGAAGAGGCCGCCCCAGAACACGTGGAAGCGTCTGGGCGGAGGGAGGTCTCTTCTGGCCCAGAGTAAAGTGGGCTCAAAGGCCAGACAAGGTCCAGGTAACAAAGGCAGGAAGCTGTTTAGGGATGAATTAAAGTGCTTTTTCCTAAGGGAGAGCCCAGTTTCCTGAAACCAGGGCACTAGGTCCTGAAATGAGGGGGAGGTAGCTGTGGAGGCCCGAGGTCACGAGACAGGGCGCCTGCCATGGATTGGCTGGATTGGCACCTGTCTTCATATTCCCATGATTGAGAGAGGAGAGGGGAAAGATCATCTAGGGGCCCTGAGTATCCTCTAAGGTGGCTCTTAAACCCAGTGGGTAGAAGCTGCAAGGAATTCGAGGACAAGAACCATGGGGTAGGGGCCAGCACTGTGGCATAGTGGGTAAAGCCGCCACTTTCAGTGCCAGCATCCCATATGGGCGCTGGTTCGAGTCCTGGCTGCTCCACTTCCAACCCAGCTCTCTTCTATGGCCTGGGAAAGCAGTAGAAGATGACCCGAGTCCTTGAGCCCCTATACCCGCGTGGGAGACCCGGAAGAAGCTCCTGGCTTTGGATTGGCACAGCTCCAGCCAGCCGTTGCGGCTAACTGGGGAGTGAACTAGCGGATGGAAGACCTCTCTCTCTCTCTCTCTCCCTCCCTCTCTCTCTGCTTCTCCTCCTGTCTCTGTGTAACTCTTTCAAGCAAATAAATCTTAAAAAAAAAAAAAAAAAAAAAAAAAAAAAAACCTGGGATAGGGCTGCAATTGCCCACCTGCTGGAGGTGGCCAGCCACACCTTCCCGTTTCCAACTGTGAAAGGAGACTCCTGAACCACCACCTTCCCCTCATGGGTCCCCAAAGCACAAAAACAAGCCCAGATCAGGGGCAAGGGGATTGGCCTGAGGCGGGGTGCTCCCCTGGCTCACTGGCTAGCTCGGACATTCCACGGCCCTGTGGTAATTCTCAGACCAAGGCTCTGGAAGCACTAGGCCTTGCTGCCTGTGGTGTTCTCAGAGCTCAAGCACTTGGGTTACCCAGAGCCAGCACAGCAGAGCCTCTGGGACTGCAGCTCGGGGTCAACCTCTGCCTAGAAGTGGCGGCCCATCCTGAGCAGTGGTACAAGCCCCTGTCCACGGCAGTGCAGGAGGAAAGCAAGGGAGGGAGTCTTGTTAGGAGGATGAGAAGGGTGGGTGGGGCTCTTAAACCACAAGAGCGATGCTGGGGGGTTAGAGGGAGGGAAGCCTGGGGCAAACAGCAAGCCGGGAAGGCACCCCTCTGTCTTCAGTTAAGCCTGGACATGAATCTTTTCTGCACAGGAAAAGCCACTGTGCTCCCAACTGAGGGCCCACGGGGATGGGGTACAGGGTGGGGGGTGGGTTTTGGGAGGGGAGTGTCTTGCATCTTAAAAAGAAACATCAAGGATGATTTTCAAATCACTGGTCTCCCCAGACTCCTCATGCAACTTTTCCCTCCCGCTTGCTGGCCTGTTTCTTCATTTTTGACAGCTGGTGTCACGGAGAATGTTTTAAGCACAAGTCACTGCAAAAGGTTTAAGCATCTAGAGCAATTCCTATTAGTCATCAGTGTGTGGACACGGTGGAGTTCAGAGATCGTCCCAGGGGCAAAGCAACGGTGCTGACCGAGAAGACTCCCTGACCCTCATCTCCCTCTTCCCCCAGCTCCCGAGGACGACTCGCACCCTCAGAGTTCTCCGCGTCTCCAGAAAATGCAGTAAGAATCTGTAGGGACAAGGAGCCCCAGCAAACCCCCCTTCCCCAGCGTTTCACCAACAGGATTCGGCGGCGGCAGCCCCTCAGAACGGAGTCCTCGGTCATCCTGGCCAGAGAGCTGCCCGCAACACCCAGCACTGCGTGGGCTGGCAGCCGCCTGTTCCTGACCCACTCACCTCGGCACATTAAAGTGCGCAGCTGAGAACACATACCTGAGAAGTTCCTGGAGACCAGCATGGTCGTGAGGATGGCACCCTGGGGAGAGAGGAGGGTCCTGTGAGTTCACCTGGGCCTCAGAAAAGGGTAACCTTGTCTCAGGCCAAGACAGCTCCTGGCTGGAGCCCAACAACACCAGGTACAATCTTCACAGTTCAGCTGCAGCCAGGAAGGGGCTTCCTTCTGTGGAAGGCACGAGCTGCGGCATCTCACTGTGGCCCCACAACCAGACTCACCTTCAGTTTCCTCCGGGCATTGAACTTGCGCAAGCACTCCACGGTCTCCTGGCGATGCATCATGGAAGCCACCGTGGCTCGTTGCTGGAAGCCAAACAGACAGGCCCGTGAGCCCCCAGTCTAGAACCTCTGCCCCTTACCATGGCCCCAGCATCGATGGCCGTGCCTAGGCAGGGCTCGGCCACCCCAGAGTTGCTCAGAGGCTAAAATGAGGTCACTGATGTGCAAATGCTTTTAAAACAAAAGCACTACCCAAACTCAAGGTTACGTGAGGACAACTTGAACATGAAAACACCACTGATAACTGATGGCCGACGAGGGTGCCAAGAGACGGCTCTAATCTTTCTTGGGAAGTGGAGGCTGCAGAACAGAGCGGGTGCCCCGCGTGCTGCGATCCTCGCTTGGGCACTCCCTCGGCACTGGTCACCAAGCACCTGCTGCATTCCGGATTCTGAGGGGTGAGAGAGCAGCAGGGCTCCTGCTCTCGATTGAGAACGTTCATTCCTTCCCAGATGCCAATGCTGCCCCACTACATCCTGAATTAAACTGGGATCTAAGATGTGAACCGTCTTTACCTTGAAGCATCAACTCTTTTTTTTTTTTTTTTTTTTTTTTACAGGCAGAGTGGACAGTGAGAGAGAGAGAGAGAGAGAGAAAGGTCTTCCTTTTGCTGTTGGTTCACCCTCCAATGGCCACCGCGGCTGGCGCGCTGCGGCCGGCGCACCGCCCCTATCCAAAGGCAGAAGCCAGGAGTCAGGTGCTTCTCCTGGTCTCCCATGGGGTGCAGGGCCCAAGCACTTGGGCCATCCTCCACTGCACTCCCTGGCCACAGCAGAGAGCTGGCCTGGAAGAGGGGCAACTGGGACAGAATCCGGCACCCCGACCGGGACTAGAACCCGGTGTGCCGGCACCGCAAGGCGGAGGATTAGCCTATTGAGCCACGGCGCCGGCTTCATCAACTCTTTTCATCATTCTGGATGGAAATTTTTCTTCAGTGCATTTGTTGTTAACTTCCTTGCGTCCCCCTGCATTTCCTTGATGACTCAGGGTCATCAAGATGAGCATGAAGTATTACATAAGGTCCTAACAGTCATGTCCTCAGGGGTTAGAGACATCCAAGCTTGCAGGGGGTGGGGTCACAGCGATGACCCCCAGAACATGTCTCTGATTCTCGAGTGCCTGTTCTACACTGCTCACCCTCTCCCTTTGGGGCTGCTTTCTTGACCAGCCTGTTGGAAAATACACCCCAAGACTGGTAGCCTGGGGCCCACAACCCCAAATCCTTCCCCTCATCCTTGGTCACTCCCTGTCCTGGTTCCCGAAGCAGTGCTTCCCACCTTTTCCATCTTCCCGAGTCTCTCACTTCACCTCCTCCTCCTCCGCCTCAGTGTAACCGTTTGCACAAGCAGAAATGAAAGCTTGTCAAGCAAGAGCGGCTTCCACTTCAGCCTCCCACCCACAAGCAGATCTTCCCCTGCCTCCAGCCTCGCCCGAGTCCCCGAAGCACCACTGCTCACGCCCGGGGTGGCCCCTCGTCCTGGGCGTGAGAGGCCCCTGACTTTTAGCTGTCGAAACCTTGCTTTCTTGACTGGCCAATGTTTTCAACTCTTTCTTCTGGACTAGATTTTTCTCTGTCGTCTGTAAAATTATATTTAAGCTTCTCCTTAAATAAAATCTTTTAAAAAAAGACTTGAAACTGCCCTGTGCCATCCTCTCCTCTAGGGAGTACACTCGTCTCCCCTTCACGGCCTGGTTTCCGGGGCCCCACCCACTCTTCGCCTCCCTGAGAGCGGCTCCAGTCTATTTCGCTCTATCCCTGCAGTGATGACACAATGGTCTCTGGCTGCTCAGAGCGGTGGCTCAGCACCTCGCTCGCCCCTCCAGGCACTGCCTCTCCCTGGCTGAGACCTGTTGCCTCAGATCTTCTGAACCTTCTGCTGCTGATCCTCCTTCAGGATGCAAGCTCGCAGGCCCAGTCTCCCTGTCGTTGATGCTGGCGTTTAGCGGCCCTCTGTTCTCCCACCGAAACAACGCGAGCCCACAGAAGAACGCAGGCAGCATCACAACCAGCGCCTCTGTTCTGACAGTCTTATCATCGGTACGAAACTGCCATACAACCGACGTTTCCAACTTTCCTCTTCTGACTTCTAGAACCATATTTCTTTCTTTCTTTTTCTTTTTCTTTTTTTGACAGGCAGAGTGGACAGTGAGAGAGAGAGACAGAGAGAAAGGTCTTCCTTTGCCGTTGGTTCACCCTCCAATGGCTGCTGCGGCCGGCGCGCTGTGGCCAGCACACCGCGCTGATCCGATGGCAGGAGCCGGGTGCTTCTCCTGGTCTCCCATGGGGTGCAGGGCCCAAGTACTAGGGCCATCCTCCACTGCACTCCCGGGCCACAGCAGAGAGCTGGCCTGGAAGAGGGGCAACCGGGACAGAATCCGGCGCCCCGACCGGGACTAGAACCCGGTGTGCCGGCACCGCAAGGCTAGAACCATATCTCTACCTGCCCCCCCACCCCATATGTCCAGCTGGAGGCCTTCAGACACCAGGTTCTCTCCAGAGGCATCAAATTAAAACCATCATTTCTCACATACCAGCTCCTCCTCTGGGGTTCCTATGGGTCAGCAAATGGTCTGACTCTCACTAGTTTTGCTCAATTTCCCAAAACTGGCAGTCAAAGATTCCTCCCTCTCTTTCGTTCCCCAGACCCAACTGGTCACCAAATCCTTTTGATTCTGTCTTCCAAATATCTCTTGAGTTTGTCTACTCCTCACCACACTGCCCACTCACCCAGCTCTGCCCTCAGAGACCACATCTGGTCTTGTCTGGACGAATGCAGCAGCTTCCTGAGTGCTCTGCCTACAGCCTCTCTTCTTCAATTCCATTTTCTACACAGCTGCCAAAGCGATCTTTCTGAAAGTGCAAATTTCATTCCCTCAAATGGTTCCCTATGCTTTCCGAATAAAAGCCAAATCCTTAGGGAGAAACTCGCATGTCATGGAATCTTCTTAGCCATATTTTCTTGTATTCCTATAGTCACAGCTTCATCTACAATCAAACCACTTAACATTCCTCAGATTTGCCACAATTTCCCACGGCCTCTCACCCTGGCCCATGCTAGCCTCTGTCTGCAGGGTAACATCTTAGGGAACTCGTAGTCATCTTCCAAGAATGAGGACAAAGGTCACCCCCTCCACGCAGCCTTCCGTACCTCCCTGGCCCACAAGGGGACAGCAGCAACGCCTGACCTCTGGTTAGCTTCTGTTATGTACTTGTCACAATGTAGCAGGGCTGCCTGTCTGAGTATCTCTCTTCCCAGGTAACCTTTAAGGTCTTTGGGGGTAGGGACCAGTGCCTTAGTCATCTTTGTATTTCCCACACCTGCACCAAAGTGGCATTCAACAAACATAGGAAAGGACAAATAAACACACACAGCATGGTTGCCAAGATGTCCCAAGTATACTAGATCTTTTTTCTTTGACGGAAAGTAGGTATTTCAGTTTGGCAGAACTGCACGAAAACAGTCTGTCAAGCCACACCCACATTCTCAGGGCCCTCCCAGGGATTCGGCATGGCAGCTCGGCCACTGAGCTGCAGGATCATGCTCTTTTTAATTGCTCCGAGGCCCCTGTGTTTATCTGTCAGGTCTTGGTAACAGCTCCATTAGAGCTGTGTAAGAGCTGGCTCGGAGTGTGCCCTGAGCTTGGCACCCACTTTGGGTTTTGTCAACTGCTTTCCATCATCCACTACTGCAGTCTGCAACCGTCAGCCCAAGCCCTCACACAGTAACGGAACCAAATCACAGCCTGACGACAGTGAGTGCGCAAGAAACAGGTAAAGATCTGTTAGCCTCCCCGTGCCCCTCCCCCCTTGATATGTGTGGACCTTGGGCCCCTCCCAGGCCCTCTCCCTCCTGCTGGGTCCCGACTCATGGCCTAGATTGATTCCCTGCAGGCAGAAAGGACGGGGGTCGTGGTTTACCTAAGACCCGTGGAGGACTGACACCACAGAACTCTTCGGCCCCAGGTGAAGACACTTACGCAGACCCATGGGTGCTTGAGAGCCTGGTCAGCCGTGATGCGCTTTGCCGGGTTTATGGTCAACATCTGGTTGATCAAGTTCTTGGCTTCAGGAGTCACCGTATCCCATTCTGGCGATGGGAACTACGAAGCAGGAACAGGGGGAGGAGTGATTTGAAACGTGTGAGCCTCACACCCCCGAACGCAGGCTCTGTCTTCATCCCAAATACTACAGTTGGGATTGTCTGTGGTACCCAGAGCTACTCAGCAGAGAGCCGGAGAAGCCCTGAGAGTACCCCAGAACCTGTGTCAGCTTAGAGACTGGGAAAAAAGACAGAACAATCACGGTTAGGATGCCAGCACATGACAGCAGAGCCGGAAGGGGACTCCGGCATCCTCGGGTTCAAGCCCATCTCTCTACTTAGGAGGAAACAGAGGTTCAGTGCTGTGTCCGGGTACCACTGCAGTGGCGGGAGCCTCTGGATGTCGCCTCCCTGTGTCACACGCCAGGCGGCCTCTCCACTCCTTGTAAATAAGGATCAAAGTGCTTCACTGGGCTTCTTAATTTTATAGCTACCAAGAAGGCTGCCCAAAAAAGTGAGTTGTTCCCTGTGAAGTGGGGTGGCAAGAATTGAGCCCTGTATGCCCGTCCCTGGGTCCTCAAAGTCCCCTGACAGCCCCCTGTGTCACGTGACACACTGAACACACCCCCTTCCTTGGACAGAGCCCGAGGGGCAGAAATCTGCCCAGCCCGGCCTGGTTGCTCGGCTCTCCAGCAAACCGGTCCTTACATCATAGGCTCCAGCCTTGATCTGCTGATACAGCTTGTGCTGATCCTCATCCCAGAAGGGAGGGTATCCCACCAGGAGGATATACAGGATGACCCCTGCGAGACAGAACACACAGGTCACGGGGGTCAGTCACCTACTTCCCTGAGGAACCAAGAAAAGCCATGCAGGGCTCAGAGCCACCCAGAAAGGCAAGGGCCAAACCAGAGTTGGAAGTGGGTGCCAGCCAATACTGCTGTGCCGCTAGCCCCTCCTGCTACACCTCACTCCTCACGTCACCAAAGTCACATCAGGGACTTCTTTAGGCACAACCCATCCAAGGCGTGGGCAAATCCCTCTCCAAGAAGCAGAGGACGTTATCCAGGAAGTACGGGGAGGGGGAGTGTGATGGGAACAGCCATCCCAGGGATCAGAGCAAACACCGTGATTTCACATACACCAGGCACCATGGCAAGGAAGCGTGACGCCTCTTTCTCGCCATCACTGGAAGTCGAGGGCCCTTAACATAGGAAAGCGGGTGGCATGGAGTGGGCTTACCGCAAGCCCAGATATCCACAGGTTTTCCATACGGATCTTTCCTCAAGACCTCAGGGGACAAGTAACCTGGGGTGCCAGCAAAACCTGTAGTAGAAAAGAAGGTAGAGGCACAGTGAACCCCCCTTTTTTTCTCAGTAGATCCACATCAGCAATTCCCCCTAAGTCCCTTCTCATTCCTGCTATTTTTGCTATGTAAGCTTCTAGCACACAGACTGCAAGAAATGGCAGGCTGGGCTTCTTGCAAGTGCCTGGAATCTAAGCCAGAGGGCAAGTCTACATGCCTACCAGGAACTCCTAACTCCTCCCCAGAGCTCGCAAGAACGTAGTGCTGACAACAGCTGGACTCGCCATACTGAGTCACGTAGGGCCAGGCGCAGTCTCTGTGCCCTCCCACCCTCCTCCAGTCTCCAAGGAGGCCAAGACCATTTAGGGTCTGGCTTCTGGTTCTGAAAGAGGAAGGCAGATCAGGAAGAGGAGGAAGGGCGGGGGTTGCATTCCGGGAAGACAGGGTCACCCTTACCAAACCAAGCCTGCTGCTCTCCCTGTACTTCGATGGCGAGGCCAAAGTCAGCCAGCTTGACGGCGGCACCCTTGCATTTACTCGCCAGCAGCAAGTTCTCAGGCTGCAGAAGGAACAGAAAATCTTATGAGGCAGCCACCCTGTAGCCCAGAAGGAGCCTAGTTTGGGCCCACGCAGTACCAAGATCTGGCACCAGGTGGCGCCAACATATCACAAGCTGGAGGCAAGGGATGCGGAGCCTGGGTTGTACCTTCAGGTCCCTGTGTACAATGTCATGCTGGTGAATGTGGTTAACACTCTCCAGAATCTGGTGTATACAGTGGCTAAAAGAGCAGAAGGAAAATAAATGTCAGTGCATGGTTAAACCACCTCATCCACATCTACACGCTGCAGACTAATCGCATGGGGAACGGTGGGTCCCAGGTTCACAGAGAATCACTGAATGACGAGCTAGGACTTTGACCTCATCTAGTTCAACATACCTTGAAAATCTGTTTTGTTTTATTTTATTTTAAAAAGTTTATTTATTTTAGAAACAGAAAAACGCAGAGAGAGAAAGAGGAGGGAGGGAGGGAGGGAGAGAGAGACAGGGACAGAGAGACAGAGCTCTCTTACCCACTGGAACACTCCCTAAATCTTTGCAACAGCCAGGGCTGGACCAGGCCAAAGCCAAGAGTCTGGAGCTCAATCTGGTTTCCTATGTGGGCGGCAGGGACCCAGATACATCACCACTGCCTCCTAGGATCTACATTAGCAGAAGCTGGAATTAGGAGCAAAGCCAGGACTCAAACCCAGGCACTCTGATTTGGGATGTGCGTGTCCCAAGTAGTATCTTAACTAATAATTCAAGCACCCACCCCTTCATTTTATTTTTCATTAAAAGAATTGTATATATTTAAGGAGTACAATGTAATGTTCCAATCCATGTACACACAGCAGTGATTAAATCAGCTTACTTTGTATATCCATCACCTCACGTTCCTTCTGGTGAAACTATTTAAAATCTTTCATTTTCCTTATTTTGAAATATATATCATTAATTCCCATCAAAGAGCTGTGCAACAGGATGCCAGAACTTTTTCCTCCTATCTAACTGTAACTCTATACCCCACAGCCAAGTCTCCCCACTCCCTGTTCTCCACAGCCTTGGTGACCACCATTCTACTTTCTACTTTTATGCAACCACCTTTTTTAGATTCTACACATGAGTGAGATCACAGGGTATTTGTCTTTCTGTGTCCGGCTAATTCCACATCACATGATGCTCTCCAGGTTCATCCACATTGCTACAAACGACAGAGTTCCCTGCTTTTCTCAGGTTGACTAGTATTCCATCGTATTCATAGCACGTTTTAAAAACCTATTGATCTGTCGCGGGACACGCAGCTGATTTCCCATCTTGGCTATGTGATAGTGGCGTGAAATATGGGAGTGCGGGCTTCTCATCAACAAACTGACGGCAGCTCCTGGGCAACCTCCCACTACCGGCATTCCTGGAGAATTCTATTTTCCTTTCTTTCTTTCTTTTTTTTTTTTTTTTGACGCATATCTGTAATGTTTTCCAAAATGGCTGTACTCATTTATGACACCAGCAACACGACAGAAGGGTTCTCTTTTCTCCACATCCTCATCAACACTTATTTTACACGGAGAGAGCCGAGGCACAGACAGATTTGGTGCTTTTTTCAGTCACCTGCTACACAGATAAAGACAGAGAAGAGACTGGAAAAGGCGTCCACCTTGCCGCCTTTGTTCTGTAAGGGTCCAATGCAACCGATTTTTTTCCAAGAGGCTGGGAGAAACTCTAGTCTCCTGAGAAAGATGAAACCATTTAACCCCATTCCTTCTTTCTCCTTTCCCATACAATAACTTTTTTCTTCGAGAATGGGATTGTGCCAGAAACTTAGCATGGAGAATCTAAGTCTCCTAGGTTGTTTTGGGGAAGGGTGCGCTCATTTGTTTATCTGAACATCTATGGAGTACCTAAAAGGCATTGAGCTCGGTACCACAGAGGATATAAAGAGGAACAAGAGCCAGTAACTGCCCTTAAGGTGATCACTCAGCAGGGCAGATACAACCAGCACACTGATACAGTGAAGTGATGGATTAAGAAGGTTCCAAATGGGACACCTAGAAGTATTTCTGATGACTCCGGGAGGAAAAGACAAACTAACCCAGACTTCGATTCAGTTTCTGATCCTTGAATCAGACTGTCCATCTTGCAGGCCATTTTGGTGGCCCTGTGGTCACACTTCTGGCAGGGAGAGTGAGCAGTCTACAGCAGAGGTTTCCAACTAGGAGGTGAGTCTGTCTCCCGGGGACATCTGGCAATGCCACAGCCATTTCTGATTGTCACAACTGGGAGGTGAGGGGAGAAAGTGCTACTGGTATCTAGTGAGCAGAGGCCACGACGCCTCCATGTGTTTAAGACGGGGGCTGGCATTGCGGCACTGCAGGTTATGCTGCAGCCTGCACCACCAGCATTCCACGCTGGAGCACTGGGTCAAGTCCTGGCTGCTCTGCTTCCGATCCAGCTCCCTGATAACGCACCTGGGAAGGAAGCAGAAGGTGGCCCAAGTGTACTACGCAGGAGATCCAGATGGAGTTGCGGGTTTCTAGCTTCAGCCTGGCCTATTAATTATCACAGCCATTTGGGGAGTGAACAAGCAGATGGAAGATCTCTGTCTCTCCCACGCTGTCACTCTGCCTTTCAAAAAGTAAATCTTAAAACAAAAAATGCCTACCATGCACAGAAATGGCCCCACCATAAGGAATGATCTGGCCTCAAAGGTCAGCAGTGTTGAAGCTGAGGAGGCCCGGCCTGGAGAATGGGAGGCGTATCAACAGGCACTACTGGGTGTGCTGGGCAGGCCTGCAGTATCCAGGTGTGCCGGGCTGGGTGGCCTGCACTTCTGATTCCTTTCTCAAAAGTCTGACGCTGGGGCTCCAGCAGGAGCCAAAGGGGCCCGACTAGGCCCCTAGAGGCTGAGGTTCAGGCCTCGCCATGGGACACAGCCGAACAGTGGGCCAAAGAGACTCAGGGACCGAGCTGCAGAGGCGAGGCTCCACTGAAGTGTATAATTAGAACAGAGCCGGGCTAGCAGGGAGAGCCTTCTGGCCAAAAATGGCAAAAGTGCGAAGTGTCCCAGCAGAGCCAGGCCAAGCCCACTGGTACAGTCACCGCCCCTCCCCCCCAGGCTCCCGGAGCTATCACCTCCTCCTCCCACCCACAGCCTGGTCCTCCCCTGCTGGCACTGGAATCCATCTCCCCACTTGAGAATCTTTCCTGAGGCTGAAGCATCTGAAGCTGATCGGCAAACATTGGCCTCTCCGGGTTTGAGAAATCCTCTCGTGCAGGCTGCACTCCCCCACCCTCCCAAGGCAGAGGCAGCGGCATGAGCGAAGGCATAAGCCAGATAAGCTATGGGCAGGATGATCAAACCCAGGCTGTTGGGACGGCACCCTCAGAGAGCAGCAGGGACAGAGGAAGAGCGAGGCGGGAAAGGCAGGCCCCGCGAGTGCCTGAGAACCTCGGCGTGGGGACAATTTGCTGTGTCACGTGAAGAAACACAGGGGCTTCCATGGACGGCAGGGCTGGGGGCTAAGGTGTGTGGCCAGGGAACAGTCTCCGGCCAGAGGAGCCCCACAGTGAGACTGGTCACGGCAGTCAAGAGAGCAGACGAGGGGCTGGTGTTGTGGGGCAGTGGGTTAAGCAGTCTGCAGAACCAGCATTGCATATAGGTACAGTCTTGAGTCTGGACTGCTCCACTTCTGATCCAGCTCCCTGCAAATAGTCTGGGACAGCAGTGGGTAATGGCCCGAAGCATTTGGGAGACCCAGATGAAGCTCCTGGCTTCTGGCTTCAGCCTGGCCCAGCCTCGGCTGTTGCAGCCATCTGGGGAGTGAACCAGCGGATAGAAGATCAATCTCTCTCTCTCACCCCTCCTTCTCTCTCTGTAATTCTGTCTTTCAAACAAATAAAGTAAATCTTAAAAAAGAGAGAGAGAGAGAGAGAGCAAGACCAGGTGAGGTGAGAAGCCTAAGGCTCCCAATTTGGGGACAGAACCACATTTTCCCCATCTTGGAACACCCCAGGCCCTCAGCCCAGTGACGTGCACATACTAGGATATGTTAAAGGAGAAGGAGGGGGTGGAGAGGCCCCTCGTCAAGCTACTGAGTTCACAGCAGGGCAATGAACAGCTCTTCCCAGGGTGAGAGGTAAAGGAGACTTGTAAGAGCTATAGAAAAATCCACCTGGGAGTGCTGATGTTTCAACTTCTAAATTCACCCAGAGAATGCGGTCCTGGCCCAGCTCTATACAACCTCTGTCCAGATAAGAGCTCTTCTGATCTTCCCCAAAGATGATCTGAGCGGGCACCATGCTGGCCCCCTAAGGTAGCCGACACTTACTTCAATCCTAAACTCCCAGCTGCACCTGAACAATGGGGCCTTCATCTCACCTGGCGTCTGCCTCGCTGTAGTACTCTCTGGCCACAATGTCTTCAAACAGCTCCCCTCCAGTGACGCTGCAACCAACAGAAAAGGAGAGTCAGAGGAGGCTGGAGCCCCTTAGCCAACCCCGGTGCCCAACAGGTAAAAGAGTCACATGGTAGAACAGTGTGGAGAGAAATGCCAACCTACGTGTATAGGGGTCCTTCAAAAAGTTCATGGGAAAACAGAATTAAAAGGTCAGGTTAGGGGCTGATGGTCAGCCTAGCCATTAAGGTGCTTGCATCCCGCACTGGTTCGAGTCCCAGCTCCAGCTTCTGATAGCAGCTTTCTCCTCATGTGCTGGGAGGCAGTGGTGATGGTTCAAGTGATTGGATTCCTGCCGCCCACATGTGACACGTGGACTGAATTCCTGGCTTCCAGCTCTGGCCTCAGTTTGGGGGCAGAGGGTGTCATTGCAGATATTTGGAGAATGAACCAGTCTATAGGGGCCTGTTCTCTCTCTCAGATAAATTAAAAAAATTTAGTATTCAAAATTTACAAAAAGAGATTTATTTTGGTGTAAAAATGTTCAAAATCCACACGTAGTCTTGTCATAATGTCATGTTACATGAACTTTTTGAGACCAGAACACGCTTGATCCCTCAACAACATAGGGCTTCTCCTTGGGGTGTCACAAGCCCCCCCTTCCTGTGGACAGTTCTATAACCTACAGATAAGCTACTACTCAGGCAGAGATGAAGATACAGGGACTGAAGATAAAACAACCAGCCTACCCAAAAAGTCAGAGCTTTGACATCAATAGGAACACTACAATTACAGCAGTCCAGGCAGGACAGACCTGGTACGAAGTTGAAGAATCAAGGACACAGAAACTCAGCCTGGAGGAGAATGGAGGAAGACGTGTTTCCAGGCATGAAGAGCCACTTTTAAGACATTAGACCACAATCGAAGTAGAGGAGAAAGCAAATGGAGCCTCGTTTACAACTAATAACAACTATCTTCACTTTCCCAGAATTTTTAAGGTCATGCAAAGAGCTGTATTTTATTCCTCCAGTAAGGACGACACAGGGAAAAACAAGAAAAAAACGTCCGCACAAGGTGTGCTGCTGGACAGAATGCGAGAACAAGGCCATCGGGGATTCAGGGCCCTGGGGGAGCCACTGAAAGAGCTCTGAGACCCCAAGGTCCGTCCCATTACCAGAGGAAGCTCACGTCCTCAAGCACAGGAGAGGAAGCCTCTGTAGAGGTTGAAGACCCAGCGTAGGCCTCTTCCTCAGCCCTTGTCCTGAGCCAGCAGGAAAGAAAGGTCCCCACGCCCTCAGACAGCACTTACAGGTCGAACACGAGGTAGTGAAACCCTTCTTCAGAAATACTGTCATGGAGGCGCACTGCAAGAGAGGAGATGGGGACAGAGATTAACAGAGAGGAAACTTGGAAATCCTACTCTCCAGCAGCCCACCCCGTCCCATCCTGGCAGCCTCACGGGGCTCCCTCCTAAGGGAGCTGCAGGGAGAAGTGCTCCAACACCCCCGCCCAAGGTTATGCCACCATGGAGTCAAAGAATGGAATTCTGATCTCCACTTTCGACTTAGGCGAGAGATGGAAGCTTTGTGGCTAAGGAGCCAAGGGCAGGCATTTGGCACAGTGGGGAAGGCACCACTTGGGATGCCTACATCCCACATCGGAGGGCCTGGGCTCACGTCGCAGCTCCACTCTCAATTCCAGCTCCCTGCGAATGCACACCCTGGGAGGCAGCAGTGATGGCTCCCTTCCACACAGATGGGAGAGCCAGGTTGAGTTCCAGGCTCCTGGCTTCGGCCTGGCCCAGCCACACCTATTGAAGGCATTTGGGAAGTGAACTAGCAGGTGGGGGTTCTCTCACTCTTCTCTAGTTTCAAATAAAAAAAAATTTTTTTATTAAAAATAAAGTCAAGATAGAAAAAAGCAGGAGCCTTCCCAGAGGGACTAGTGCCAGAGGAGGTGGTCCTGGGTTCTGACGCATGAGGGTGTGACCCACAGAGAAACAACCATCCACCCGACAGCAGGGCCGGGCAGGGCAGGGGACAAAGAATGACAAAATGGGAAACTGAGAGCTCTTCCTGAGGAGCAAAGAGGAACAGCAAAATGAAGAGGAAGGGAAGCAAGTAGAAAAGCCAAGCTAGCAGGAAGCACACGGAGCAGGACAACAGATGGTGAGCTCATGAGGCCACTTGCCCATTCAGGCGACAAGAACAAGAGCCACTTATCAAGTGTTTCCTATGTTCTGGGCCTTGCCTGAGGTTCCTGGCATACGTCATTTGTTCCCCACGCATTTTCAAGTGCCTACTGTGTGCTGGCCCCTGTGCTAGGTGGTAGGACTCTGAGGAACAGCGGACACAGCGCCTGCCTTTGAAGGGCTGACTGTTCTTTTTAATCCCCCCAAGACGAATGTGTTTCCCATTTTATAGATGAGGACACTGGAAGTTCTCAGATATGAAGTCTCTTGCCAAAGGTCAAAGAGCTTGTAGGTGCTAGGTCAAGATGTCAAACCAGTGCTCTCTGACCTAAAGGTTGGTCCACACCACTGCTTCCAGTATGAAGTGAGAATCAGCCCACACACTTGTGCAGCAGCAATGGGGCCCAGGAGAGAGGCACTCACAGACATATCCAACAGCGGCATCAGGGTGGAGACCAGGGCAATCCACCAACCAAGAGACAGACTGGCGAGCAGAATCCTTTCCCACCCCAGCTCCAAGCTAGTGTCTTCCGAGGTCTCCTCTTCAAACTTCAGCCCACAAAGGCACCTTCGGGTCAAATGCCAAGCCCTGAGCAACATCCCAGTGCAAACAGGACTCACTCTGGCCCACGGTCCCCGCTGTTCCCAGCCTCCCCTTCTCCTGAACTCTCTGGATGGAGACCCTCTCTTCCTACAAGCTCCCTCTGTTTGACCTTTGCCCCAATCCTCAGCAGGCACAGGAGCACCTGAGGAATGGCCTGACACAAACCATCTGCTGGAATGCTAGCGTGCAAAGAAATCACCACATCTCTTTCTAGGTAGGCCCAGGCTGCGCTCATTTAAAGGGTCAAAGGTCTCCTGAGAGCTGAGGCCCCTCCTTACCTCCCCTCCCCACCAAATAAGATCAGGCAGAAGGCAAACAAAATGCACAGCTCCCCCCGCCACCCCCTTTTTCTCACCTGACCAGGGCTGGGCCAGGGCCTACAGCCGATGACACACAATGCTGCCTACTTCATTTAATCAGCTCTGGTTCTCAGCCCTGCAATCCCACTCCAATCTCAATATTTCTGTGGTTTACAAATGTGACCAAAGGCAGACAAAATTTCTAATCTCCTTCCTCCTCTAACCACTATCACCTGGACTTACGCAAACAAGCTCAGGCGTCCCTGGGCCTGACAGGGACAGAGGAGGGCTTTCAGGACAGGAGGAAGCAGCAACAGCCAGACCCCTGCCTCCTCCCACAAGGTGAACCGAGGCCCACTTAATCGCCTTTCCCCAAAGTCTTGTCACCACCTCCTTACTTGTGCTTCCCTGGTCACAGTCGGTGCCTCATTCTGAGTCCTGCTGCGGCTGTTGCTCCCTCGCTTCCAAAAGGACTTTCCATTTAATTAAAAATTTGCTATTAAAAAGCATTAAAGTGTGTAATACAAATAATCCCCTGGAAATCAGCTGTCCCAGAAGCCAAAGACTGGCTTCATTAGGGAGGTGACTAACAGCAGCAGCACAGTGAGCTGACAGGACAGCAGGTACCACGCTAACAACCATTCCCAGGGGGGTGCAGTTGCCCGCTCTGCCTGGTTCTGCCTGGCCTTGAGCCCTGCCTCACCTAAAGCCCCAAACCCCTACCAACACCCTGGTCCAGCAGAGCAGGACTGGGAACAGACCAAGAAGTGCAGGCACCCACTCCATGCCCAGACATGGAGTCACTGGCATTCGATCGATCGCCCTTCTCCAGGGAGGCCACACACAGAGCACAAGTGGGTGGAAGCCAGGGAGGGGAACTGGAAGAGAGAGGAAGCAAAGGAAGCTAATCCTTCCAGGGCCACCCAGCCCAGGGAACGGCTTTGATGTGGGCCCAGAGCAAGGCATCTGCTTGCCAAGACAAGGGGGTGCCTATCTGCATGAGACTATCTTTTTTTTTTTTTTTCGTAAAGAAAATTAATAGGAAGTGGAGGACAAGAGGATACACTTGAGTATGCCATTCCAAGTGCCTGCCTAGCAGATTCTCACAACTAGTCATCAGAATTATCATAACCCACAGTTAGCGGAGCTGCTCCTCTGTGCCAGGTGTTGCACTGTGTGCTTCACACGCTGGGTTCCTATTCACAATAAATGCCCCTACCTGACAGGAGAGGAAACTGAGGCTCTGAAACTTGCCCAACATCAGACTAAGTGGAAGAATGGGACTTGAAGCCAAGACAATCTGACATCAAGATTCTTGACATCATAACCTCACCAGTGAGCCACTTTCTCCATCCTCTTAGGCAAAGGAGCTCTAATCCGGCCCCAGTAGTAGCACTGGCCACCGTGATTGGCTCGGCAGTGTCCACCAGGCACCTCCCCTGACGCCGGCGAGGAGCCTGGCCCTGCTACCACAGAGCTTCTAGGCCGAGGGGAGAGAGAGGCTTTAACCCAGTAATTACACAAACACATAACCAGCCCCACTGTGTCAGGGCTGCTGAGGCAGAAGGAATGGGGACTAGGGATGCATGGAGTAATAATCTGACATGGTAACAGCAAGGCACGAAGGCTGCAGATGGTAATATCCAGGAAAAGCAGTAGTAAGCATTTGCTACATACGGGCAACACACCTAATTATCATTCCTTAAAAACACTGGAATAAAGGACAGGCCAAAACACGGAAACACCTTTCTTGGTATTTCATACCTTCAAAGTCACCACCCAAATGCTGTGGCATTTCACAATTCTTTAAAAACCACCCAACAGCACAAAACAGCACCCAAAAAAGAGTCACCGTTAAAAACCCCTTGACAACAACCCAGTGAAGCTTGTGGGGGCTGAGCCCGCTGTCCTCCACCCCCCAGGAGCCAGTTGTGCCAGGATTCACCTCATCCTCCCACGCCCACTCCAGGGATTTCGGAGCTGCTCCGTCCTGACTCAACATTCCCTTTTTCTTTGCAACTGCTTCTGCCACTTACTGTTGGCCGAATGGTCCCTGTTAGCCAAGGTAAAGGGCATCAGGGCGAATAAGTGAAGAGCTGAGCCAGGGCTGAGCCTAGGACCTAACACCTCCAAGATATCATCTTCATCACCCTCCCACAACAATTTCAAGTAGGGGTCCAGATGACAAGACAGGGGCAGGCGTAGACCACTCAGATAACTCACCAGCGGTCACAGCTACTAACCAGTCAACCCCCAATTCAAGCCTAGTGGATGTGACTCTGAAGCCACAAACCTTGCCCTCGCCAAGTAGGGACCATGGACCACAGACCAGCAGCAGCAGAATCACCTGAAGACCTAGTGACTCAGGATCTGAATTTTGACACGCTCCCTGGCTGATTCACAAGCACATAAAAGTTTGCAAAGTGCTGCTCTAAACCACAATGCTAGACTGTGATCGAAACTGCTGGGGCAGCTCAGCACGAAAGAAGACAGAGTCTATTCATTAGAGGAATTGAGAGCAGGGAGCCTGCGGATCACAGGGAGGACGCACCCCCTTCAGACTCTGACCCTCAGTGTTAAGCGCTTCTCCTCTCAACTCCCCACCATGGGCCGTTCTGAGTTCAGCTGCGAGCCACACGCCCAACAGGCACCTATCTGTCTGTTTTTAATTAATCCATTTTACTTTGTAGAGCAGTTTCAGGTTCCCAGCAAAACTGAATGAGGAGTACAGAGTTCCCACGTACCTCCTGTCTCCACACACACACACAGCCTCCCCACTGGCAACATCCCACACCAGCCTGGTACCCTCACAACCGATGAGCTTACGCTGGCATATCATCATTGCCCAAATCCCACAGTTTACATTAGGGTTCACCCTTCCAACAGGCTTTTAACTGCTGGGACAGAATATCTGTTAGGAAAAGAAAACAAAACAGGTGTGCCTGGCCCCTGGCACCAAATATCCTTCCGAATTCAGTGTCTCCCGGTCTGAGAGTAACCAGAGGTTGACGGGGCGTTCTCTGCTCTCTGCTTCCTTAATAATGAGTGTGCCATTGTTGGCCTGATCTGCTTGTCTCCTTTTAGGATGGAGTTACAGAGGCCAGAGCCAGAGGGGCCACAGCTTTGAAGGATGCAGCAGCAGAGAGAGGAGAGGAATAACGAAATAGGGGCACAAAACTGCCTCCTCTTCTGCCACGAGCCAGGCCTGGAACCATGGCAACCCCGCCTCCTGTACCCGCAGCTCTGCCACATCTCCAAGGGCCCTGGTTCCCACCACGAGCTAGAGAGCCTGGCCAGCCAGCATTTCCAGGACACACACTGACTCACCCTTCCCTCAGCTTGCCCTTGACCCCGAACAGGTCCTCAGACCAACATCCTTTGGGACCAAGGAGCAGTCACAAACCGGAAGCACAACTCATTCAAAGTGACCATGCCACGCCTGGCCTTCCTGGGTCTCTCTACCTTTCTAACAGCACAGAAGGCTGGGACAGATAGCCCCTCATCTGCCTTTATTCTGAGCTGGGGCAGCCGGGAGAAGGTTACCAAGTCAAGGTGAAGAGGTCAAAAAGTCTACAGTTCATTCTTTTAAGGTAGGGCTTTTTCAACTAGAACCTCCTATTTGTCCTTCCTGTTCTTTCTCTGTTGTCTTCACTATACCCTGATCCCTTAATCAGTCAACCACACCTGTGCTGCAGGTAACGCAGGCATGGTTCTGCCTCCAGCATCATTGTCCCTTTACATCTTGTTCTCTTCCCTGCATGAAGACAACTCATCACTGCTGTATGAGTTGGTTGCAAGAAGCGTAAAGGAAAGGAAGATGCTGTCTTCAGACCTTGACACCTGGGACTGGAACACCAAAACGTTTCCGTGCTGGTGGGCGCCTTTTGGCACCCACATGCTTTTTTTCTTCCAGTTCTGGGATTTCCAGGTGGGAAGTCAGAGGCTCACAGAGCCTACAGGGACCAGTTAGGCAAATGTGAGACAAGAGGGAGAAGCAAGGACAGTGGCCAGTGGGACTAAAGGGACAGCCACACTCAGCCTCTGCTGATGCTGGCCATGCACAGGACTGGTTCAGCAGAGCCAACCCTCCAGATCCAAAAGGCTGAGAAACAGAATTTTTTTCAAAATGTGAAATCTCAGTTGCAAATATTGGCAAATAATAAAAATATTTTTAGACCACTGAGCCAGCCAAACAAAACATGCCTGAATTTGTGACTGCTGTTCTAGGTGTTTCTCTCTGTTGGCTCTCTCCTACCCAAGGCAACATGTTGGTCCCCATGGTGCTGTTTGCAGGTAAAGAGACCACCCAGGAGCCCCGGCAGTCCCAAGGCCAGGATCTGCCGGCTCGGAGGTGCTGGCTCTGGGGAACGCACTGCGCTGGGCAGAGCAGAGCACCAGCTATGCCAATCTGCTTCGGATGGAATCCAAGCTGCTGATTGCGATCTATAAAGCCCTGCATAGCTGGAGTTCTGGTTACCTCGGGGCTGCTCCTCTCCCCACGTGCTGGAGTGCGACCTCAGCTCTTCCACACAAGAGCTCACGTTGGAGGTTCGAGCCCCAGAGCTGGGAAGCCAGCAGCTGGGTGACTCTGGAGAGTGCACCAAGCTCCAATAAGTCGCCATGCTGGCCGCCGGCAGAGCGGAGCAGGCAGCCTCCGGGGCACTGTGGGAGCCCTGATATTTAGGCCATGCCTGAGGAGCACAGAGCACGTGCTTTCTTTTGTGATGACTCAGGGCTTTCAGGGAAAACCTGGGAGATGCTCCCTGCTCTGTCTCAGGCAGCACTGGGGTTTCTGCTCAGACACCGCAGCCAGCAGCGAGAAACACCAAGTCAGAGCCAACGCGTCTGGCAAAGACTGCGTCCCTGGAACAATGTAAAAACTAAGCTGCAGTGGGTTGTGGCAGGCAAACCTCCTCAGGCTTTAGAACAACCAACAATGTACTCTTGTCCCACAGTCAGGGTGGGAGCAGGGAAAAATCCTTTTCATTTTTTCTCCTTCCCCATCCGAGTGGCTCCTGCCATCTCTTCTCTAGAGAAGCCAGGCGGGTGGGCAGCTCACTCTCCTGGCTCTGGGGAATACAAATGGAAGCTCCATGGAAACCCCCAGAGGGTGCAGGACACTGCAGCAGGAACAAAACTCTTTCAGGTCCAGAAACAAAATCTTGACCCTTCACAGGGGCCACGGATGGCGCCTGGTGAGGGACACTGGCAGGCTACTAGCCCGGAACCCCACACACTGAGGACCCTGGACTTTAGCCCAAAGATGGGAGGAGAAAGAGAAAAAAGTGAATTTGAAACCTACTCCAATGCCTCCCATCCAAGCCCTGAGTTGGCACCACTGTAAGACAGATAACCAGGTCTCTAAGCTGGAATGCTCTAGAATTCAGAGACACAACTGCTGTACCCCTCTGGCAAAAAAAAAAAAAAAAAAAAAGACACCAGGTGGAAGCCCACAGACAGATGTGACTCCACATACAAAAAGAGCAGATTTCTGTTTTCCCGGCCTTCCATGGCACAACCCATGAAATACTGTGTCAGGGGCACTCACCGATGTTTGGGTGTTTCAGAAGTCGGCATATCCGGGCCTCACGTTCTAGCTTCTGGTGATCTAAAAGCAGGAGAGAGAGGACAAAAGCCATCAACCATCCACTCTATTCGTAGTCAGCTGGCGATTCAGCCTCTCAATTCTTAGGCATCAACCCTGTACTTCCGACAGTTTTGCTTTTAGATGTGGGAAAAGTCTGAACACCTTTTCCACATGAGGAAATAACTAGAAAGGTTGAACACCTCAACTAGTGTCAATGCCAGGTTTGAATCCAGCTAAGCGGTTCTGAGTCTACCACATGGACAAGCAAGCACTAGGAGTCTTGCTTATATTCTCATGTAGCCCTCATGACAATCTTAAAATATAATGATGCTGACAATGAAGATGATGATGATCAAGATAACTGTGATTTAAATAACAGCTAACATTTATGGAGAGCTCATTTCTACATCATGCAGACAAATCTTTTAATTTATCCTCATAACAACTGTACGAGACTGGCATGATTATGATGCCCATTTTGTAGAAAGAGAAACCAGGACACACATCCTACATCTCTCTCTAGGATCCTCTTAGCTACCCACCCTGTGAAACCTGACCTCTTCGCACTCAGGCTCTGGCATGACTCCGTTTTAATGAAACAACCAGAATCCGTGAGTCCCCAGATCCAAGTGAGTTACATGGCTCAATTCCTTCCTCAGGAAAACAGAACTCCAGGAAGTGGAAGGACAGGACGCTACTCATAGCAAGGAGGCCAAGAAGCCCTCCCTGCTCTCCTGCCCCACCTCTACTTGCTGGAATCTTGCCAAAGGTCACCGCCTTCCCCAAGTCCTCGAAGCTCCTCTCAGCAGACTGGCTTCTCCTCCTCTCCTCTGACAGCCTCCGATCTCCCACCACACTTCTCCCGATCCTCATATTATATGCCACCGGTTACCTTTCAGTCACAAACTTGGTAAGGGAGGGAGAGGCTTCCTAACTAGTACTTCCTCGAGTACTCTATCAATATGGGTTCATCAATCACTGCAGTGGTAATAATCACTATCATTTATTAATTATTTCCTATGCCAAGGCAGAGGCGTGGGTTATCATATTTCATTCTTACTGACGCTGGGAAGCAGGGGTCTGATTAGCTCTATTACAATACAAATGAGGAAACTGGGTGTAAGAAGACAAAGCAGACGGCACAAGGTAACACGGATGGGAGGTGACTACAGGGGGTCTGGGCCTAGAGCTCTCTTTCCCCACCACTATGTCCTGATGAGCAGATAAAGAAAAGATAGAGTGTCAATAAAGACTCCAGGCTTTGGGGAGCAGAGTTCATTGCACCCTGACTTCTCGGGGCCCAGGCAGGTGCCTTCACACGCATACCTGCCAAGAGACTCCGATCTCCCTTGTTAGTGGTTTCTCCTCACCCCAGCACTCTCTAAACAGTGTTGTACCTCTGTAAAGTCGCCCATGACCCTCACAATGACCCCAATACAAAGATGCTATGATAGTCTCCATTTTACAGATGATAAAACTGAGGCCTAGAAAAGTTAAAATAACCTAGCCAGAGATCCACAGCAGGAAAGAGAGGGAACTGGGAGCCAAACCCAGGCCTCTGAGTCTGAGATCATGTAGAAATTTTAGGCTAGAAGCAATTCGTGTGTATTGTTTCTCCAAGCACCCCCAGCTTTGTCCTAAATTTTCCCTCCGGCGATAGCTCTGCTTTGTGCAAGGAGGTGGGGACGGCAGAGATTAGTTCCTGCTGCCCAGCTAATCCATGCCAGCTGCCCAAAGATCTGGGTCAGGCCTTTCTTCCCACACTTGGGTCCATGACCACTGACCAGGACGCAGTCAGAAGAACCCCCGGGGAACCCATCTCCCACACTGTCTTGTATCATTTGGTCCAGGCACAGGGATAAGACCAGGGACCTCCAAAAGCTGGGACACTCGAGGGATCAGCTATCACCCTTCCTGGTGGCTAGGGGCTTGCTTTCCCCAGGTCTGGCCAGACTGCAGGCAGCCCCAACTTCCTCTCAGCCCCCGGGACTCAAGATGGAGGGACCATGCTAGCCTGCCCCAAGCAGCAGGCCTACTTGCCTGCTCTCTCTAACCGTGCACCTCACCATCCTCATCCCACAATTCTCCAGCTCGGTTGCCCAGGCAGGTGCAAGAGAACAGCATCTTGCAATGCGGAGGTGGCAGCTGAGGGGAAGGCCTAGAGATTAATGTTTATCTCCTCCCTTAAGTCTCTTACTGGCTAATGGTTACAGTCCCACAACAGCAACAGCACTAAAAATAAGGACACTCTGGCTTTTCCAGTGGCTCAGAGCAGAGAGAGGATAGACACAGTCTCAGGCTCCAGCTCCTCGAAGGAGCTACGCAAGGTCCAAAGGGCCTCGTCAGCCATCTAGTTCAACGCTCTCCGAGGAGCTGAGCCCCATGTTCCAGTCGAGGTCCACGTCTTCTCTGAACCCTGGAGCTCAGCCTTGGTCCTCAGTCTGATTCTCAGCCATGCGGCACAGCAATTAACACGTCAGCATTGGAGTCAGACAGCCCTGGACTGAGTCCAGCCCTGCCACATCCGGCAAGTTATTCAACGCACCTGAACCGCATTCATCATTCAAAAAATGTTCACTGAGGTCCAGTGTGCTACAGGTACTGTTCGAGCTGCTGGGGAGACAGCAGGGAACACAACAGGCAGCAAGGCTTGCCCTCCAGGAGCTGACGTTCTAGTGGGGCTGGGTGCCAGGTGAGGCAGACGATAGGAAAACTCACGTAGAAAACAAGGCGGGGAAGGAAGGCCCCGGCAAGGAGACAACACTTGACTCTCACTTCAGAAGGGGCAAGCACGTGAGCCAGGTGCAGATCTTGAGAAACAGTCTCCACACTTCCACAAGACAGGCAGCCCTAGCTGAGTTTAATGAGGTAATATGGGCACGGGGCTTAACGTGCTGCCTGCCACAAACTAAGAGCCTCCTTCCCGAGGGCCCCCATCTGATGAAAGCAGACAAGGTGTCCTGCTGGGCAACAGGGATGAGAGTCAGACATGCTCTCTCCTCAGCTGGGGAAGATGCAGGATCCAAAATACCCCAGCAGAGCTGTCTGACCTGGCCTTGGTCTTCATGGCTGTGCTAGGTATGGGCAGTGTTCCTGCCCTGTTTTTTTTTTTTTTTTGGGGGGGGGGGGCACCTGCGTCTATAGCTTGCAGGTGAAGGTGAGCAACAGGGGTTCCTCAGAGATAAGACGGCCTCCCCCACGGGGTCCCTCCTCTTCCTCGGCCTCGCTGGCAGTGGCGCTCTGCCATCCAGAAGCGCTCTGCTCAATGAGCTGTGCGGTTTCTGCCTACCACACTCTCCTGGCCTCCTATGCCATGCACAGGTGGGCCACTCCTGCTGTTGTCTCCCGTCTCGGTCCCCCACACTTCCTGTCCTGTAGTCATCTCCAGGGCTGGTCCATGGCTGGGAAAAGCAGAGTGCTTCATTCCAGCAGCAGCAGAAGCAACAAGAAATGGTGCAAAGAGCATCTTTCCTAAGGGCGAGGGTGTCCCATGGAAACACAGCATCCCCCAACCTCAAAGCGGGCAAGGCCAGTGACCTGGCTTGGTCCACAGTGGCAGGAATAGGCCCTGGCTCAGCATCTCAGGGAGGTGACACACCAGCCCAAGCTCTCATCACAAGGGTCACTTCTTTCCTGGAGTCACCCCTCCTGCCAGCAACCATTAGGGAGCAGCTTGGACCTTCCAAAGCTGACCCTCCTCCCACCCACCTTTCTACCAGCTTGTCCCCACCCCCTCCCACAGCCCAGCCCCCCCTTCCTGTTCAACAACAGCCACTTCCCGCTTTTGCACAGGGCCACTTCCTGCCTGCCTGTGTGCTACTGCCATGGAGACCCACCCCTGCCGGCCCTCAGCCCAGCTCCAACCACAGCCCTCTGCAAGGTTTTCCCCCCAAGAGCAGAGGTGGCAACAGGAGCAGAAAGCAGAAGCGGCCTGATCAGGGTCCCGCTGTGGCCTTCCAGGCTAGGTGTGGGTCCTTTCTCCACAACCCAGCCAGGGCAGAGCCGGGTCCTGGGAAACAAGGATCCCTGGAAGCCTCGCCTCTCCCACCTGCTGCCCAAATGCTTCAAGGCTTGGTCCAGGATCTGCAGTTTCACAGGAAGGGCAGCAGAAAACGACCAGCCACACCAAAGGAGGCAGAAAAGAGGAAGCAGATAGTGAGGCGACAGCAAGAGCATGCAGCCAAGGGGCACACGGGGCCCTTGAAACCCCCTTTGCCCTCACGAGAGGAGCCTACTCCAAGTGCATTTCTTCCCCCTACAGCATCAGGAGGCCAGGGACGGCCAGTCACTGGCTCTCCACATACCCGCCAGGGACACATTTCTCTAAAATCACAAATGCGGCACTAGCTTTAAATGCGATCCTGCTTCCACCCAAACGTGCAGCCCTCTGCAAGTGGGAAAGGACACAGAGCCCTACTCCAGCTAAGAGGACTCTCCTCCAGTTCCAACTCAAATATGCCCTAAACTTGGCCAGGAATATTTTTGCAGGTCTGTGCCCATGACCCCTAGCAGAGATCATGAGATGTCTCCTGCAGTCCCATCGACTTCAGACATTTGATGGGGAGGGGGGACTTCATCATGCTGCCCTCTGGAGTGCTCCCCCTCCCCCTTGCCCAAGGAGCAGAGGCCCTGCCTGGCCCCCTGGACAGCACTCTGAAGAGCAGAAACAAGGACAGCATAGGGATTTGGTGTCATAATCCACCTTCCCCAGCTGCTTATAAACGGCCTGGGCCTTGGGCACTGACCAGTGGGAATCTCAAGCCACAATCCCGTTGACCTCACCCTGACACCACGATGCCACAGCCCTTCCTCTTTCAGTCTCGCTCGAAAGGTGCAAAGAGCCTCCAATTAAGAGCAAAGTGTATCCACCGCATAAGGGACCTTGGCTTCTAATTCCTTCACGCCCCTACACCCAGGGACAAGCTGATGGCTGTGAATACAAGGGGCGTGGGGGCTGAACCAAGCCTACCTGACTCCCCAGAGTTCAGCCCCTAGAATCCCCCATTCTCTTCAGCCCTAGCTCTGGCAGCTTGAACAGGGCCACACAAAGATCTGAGTACCTTGTGGCCTTTGGACTGCAGGATAGGGGAAGCTGTAGCTACCGAGGGAAAGGAGAGAGGGGCCCAGAAGTGCCCCAAAGTTCAAGGCTCCCAAACCAGTTTTGATGGAGAAAATCCCCATGGGGGTCACTAGCAAACCCCAAAAAGGCAAGGCTCTGCCTGTGGCCACTCTGGCCACTCTCAAGGGCCAGCACAGGGTCAGCCGTCGAGTTCTCTGTGCCCCCGGCAGGGCTCCTGGTGCCTGCAGCCTTTGCCCACTGTTTTGGTGACATTTCCTTCATGGTAACCAGCCCCAAGTAAAACATCCCAGGAAGCAGCCCCTAAAAATAGCTCCTCCCAGGGCAGCAGCAAGCCGAGGGGGAGGGGAAAGAGAGGAGCAGATGGGAAGCTGCTGCTGCTACTGATAGGGCCCAGGAAGTAGAGATGGTGTTGGGGGGGAGTGGCTGGAAATCTCCCCACCACCAAACCCGAAAAGATGGGTACAGACAAGAGTGGGACCTCAGCCAGCAACAAGCAGGGATTTACTGCAGCAGGCTGAGAGCGCAGGGCCTGGGAAGAAGCTTGGGGTGATACACCAGGGCTCAATGTAGGACCAGAGTACCCAGAACCCGGGTTTCAAAGGCAACAGCTCCAGGGGAAGTCAAGGCCACACCGCCTGAAGAGGCTGGGGTCTGAGCATGGCACGGTCCTGGGCAAACCGACACCTCATAAACACAAACACAAAACCCCAAATATTATGGGCCTGCGTGTCGTCATTGGTCTTGAGGCAAATCTGTGTAGCTGTGGGCAAATGACTAAGGCCCTCCGCAGAGAGCACTTAAGAGGTGCAAAGTACCCATCTCTTCCTGTCACCACCCTTTTGGCACCCATGGGATCAGGTCTTGTCGGCCTGCCAAGGCTGTTCCGAGAGCCGCAAGCACAGAGACGGGGGCAGGAGTGGCTCACACCCACCCTCCTCCCCTATCTCCAGGCTCTGCAGAGAACCGAATCACCACTCACCTCTACAGTTTCAGGACAGCTTCTGACAAGGGTATGACGACAGAGGACCAGAGCAAGCAGCAGGAAGAAAGCCAGGGGGGTGTCTCCTACAGCGTGAGGCCACCTTCCAACCTCCAACCCCATTCCCTGATGCACACCCTCAAGTCACTCTGGGAAGGTGTGTGAGGCCAGGGTGCTAGGCCAGTGTTGTAGGACTCGGTCCCACAGGTCACATCATGACTGCAGGATGACACCGGTCCCGCAGCAGCTTTGGCACCGAGGAGGCTCCTTCGTCCTGCTCCCTCATCCACTTCAGCAGAGAAGTCAGAGGAGTTCAATCACTTAAATGCAGGATGCCCATTTCTCTGCTAACAGAAACTGGCCTGTTTTATCCTCAGGAGGAAAGCCGTTTTGCACTCTGAAGAGTCCCTCCAATGCTTCCTCGAGTCCCAGCGCTGCAGGGCTGCGCAGCTTCTCTTCCTATTCCCCTGCCTTCCATTACTGCCTCACCCTCCCTTTTCTTCCCCTCCCATCACCCAGATCCTTAACAGGAACGTCTCACTTGGAGATACCACAGGGGACACAAATGTCATGGGGGCTACTCAGGCCAACACCAAGGGGTGGGGCTTGCTTTCAGCTGGCACCATCCAGGGGGATCCCATTTCAATCTCCAGGGCCAGCTGGACCCAGAAAGGGACAGCCTTTACCCTTCTGGTGGCCACAGGCCACCACAGCAGCCACTCAGCCTGCCACAGCTTTGGACACAGACCAACACTCTGATCTGGGGGCTCAGAACAAGGCCCCTAGTCGCAGAAGAGCCCACGTGCACAGATGGCCGTGCGCCCGCAGAGACACCACCTGGAGAAGGCTGGGCTGGGCCGAGCGTGTCTGGTGAATCCCAGAGAACCTGGCAAGAGCCAGTGTTGCTGCTGCTGATGATTCAAGAGGGCATTCTCAGAATGTTCACGGACCACGCACACAAAATTTCTTGGAGCACATGTTAAAAATGTAGATTCTAGGGCCCCACCCCAGACTTCCTGAAGCAGAAGCCAGGTGAACAGAGCCCAGGAATCCACAGTTTCAGCTAGCACTCAGATGGATCCCATACACACAGACTGAAAATCACTGCCCAGGGGAGGTCTCAGCAACATCCCTGGAAGGTCATTCGTGACACAGAAGGAGGATAAACTACAACTGGCTTCCTGCATCTCCCACCCTGCCTTACGCCCCAGGCACAGGTCTTTATCCTCATCTGTCCTCTCCTCCGGTAGCCGTTTGAGGCCTGCTGCCTGGCTCCCTGGATCTGAAAGGGAGAACCCACGCCAGCACTGGTGTACAAGGGCTCCAGCAACTTGATTCTGAGTTTCCTGGGAACCAAAGCCAAAAGGCAACCATGATGGATTACACAGTCCCCTCAACCCATCATTTCATGTGTATCTGCTCGGTCTGCACCAGCGACACCCTGCACAGAAGCAGAGAAACAGGTAAGACTCCTTCCCTCACCTGCCAGAGCCCCACCAAGTGGAAAGCTTTAGCTTACATTCCTTTTCAACAGAAATTTCTTCATACGGGGCACACAGATTAAATAAATAAGTGAATAAAGCAAATGTCCTAATAGATTTTATAAGAACTTTTGGTAGCATCTCTTAGTAAGGCCAAGGGCATTACCCCAGTATCCATCTTAGTGAAGGCGTCTGGGGTCCAGATAAATGGTCCAAATGCAGAGGTTTCTTAGGATGCTAATTGTTGCAAGGACAAATCCTAAACTGCATAGGAGAAAGAAAAGACCATTTGCCCTTCAGCTGTAGCAATATGGGGAAGACACTCTGGATATAAGCAAAGAGAGCAGGATATAAAATGTTATGCTCCACGAGGTGAAAATCTGTATGCATATGAATAAAGATAAGAAGGGAATATGAAGATTTAAAAATAAAAAAAGACATAAGGGCTCAGGCTCTTTGGGGTGGGGGGTGCTCTTAAATCTTAAAATAACGACTTATCATTGCCATCACCTGGCCCACCAGCTCCTGCATCCAGGCTTATTTTAAATGCCTCCTTCGGCCTAGTGGAGCTAAGCTTGGAACCATGGTTCCCCTAAGAGCCAAACCCCACACACCTAAGGCTGTTTTCTGAAGCAAATGGAGTGACGTTACACGACTTTCAGTGACTACGCAGACAGGCGCGCAGAGACGGTGTTCATGACCTATCGGCATGAACTCCCTACCTCGCAATCCAGCCAACACTGGGGGCTTTGGAGACCACCATGACAAGCGAACAGCCCAAAATAAGATTTCCCATCCAGATCTGATCTCTGCCTCTGCCTCTCAGGCCAGCTCACCACAGACACCAAGGAGGAAGAAGCTTTATACCTTTTTCTTTCCTTTTGGCTTGCAGTAGAGAGAACCACAAACAAGAAAGAAGGCACGCAGGGAGACCCAGCAAACAAAACAAGCCCTTTCAGACCTTCATAGATGACCCTGGTGGGCCCAGGACATTCCCAGACACAGAAATCTAACACCTGCAGAGCCCGAGACAGACAGACAGCGACGAGTGAAACCCAGCCCTAGCCACTGCACCTTTATAAAATATACAGCGTAAACCGAGAGGCTGCAGACAAGCCACGGCCTTCGCTCCCTAACCCCGTGGGCACCAGCTCAGGAGGGACCCTGGCCCGACCCTCTCCAGGGACTCACATCCCTCATGCCTGCACCTATACAGCCCAGCCACCCCCTTACTCCCTCCATCTCCAAGACAACATCCTCCCACTCTGCCACCTCCCAACAGAGTGGGCACTTGCCCATCTCTGACCCCTATTCGCCAAGACTAGGCCTCCATCATGAAGTTACCCTGGAACACACGTCATACAACAGTGCCTCCGTTGGCATAACCACCTCACGAGGGGGAGTAGTTGTCTGAAGCATATGATTTTACACAGGGATCCTCTTCTCGAGGAATTAAAAACAACAACAACAAAAATCAAAGGGAAATTAAATCTCATCTAGTTTGGGCCAGGAAATAAAGACACCAGTTGGGGGAAAGACAGGACAAGGTTGAAAGGACGTGAGGGAGGGAAGGGGATGTTATCACACAGGTCAGAGGGTCAGGGAAGTTCCAGCAGGTAAGGAAGGAGTAAAAAACCAAAGCCGAAGGCCAGCCGCTCCACAGTGGCCCTCACATCCCAAAATCTAGCTCCCAGCTGTGTCTGCCTCCCTTACCCTGGGTCAGAGAAAAGCAAAGCATTGCATCATCAACTGAAGACACCAGACACCTGTCCCATTTCTGATGTACCCAGGGCTATGCTGTGTGGGCATGGACAAGTATCCATTCTTGAATGGAACAGTCATCCCGGCTTGCACCTTGCACCCCTGGCCAGCAGGTATCTACCAGAGAGCCCAGTGCCCCCGCTGTATCCCATGCCCCAAGGGAAGAGGGCATCTGACCTCCCACATATCTCTACAGCAACCATCGTCTTGGACTTAAGGTACCCAGAGAGAAAGAAAATAAACAAGTCAACCTTACAGCCAATGTACACATTAACAGCAAGAGAGAGGGACTGGGTAGGAGGCAGCACAAGCCCAGCTGGTGGGACGGAGAGTCTCCCCAGCCGGCAGGCGCAGAGGACCCTGCTAAACAGTTCTAGAACACCTGCCAACATGTCAGAATTCCACTGTCCTCTCTGGAATTTCATAGCTTCTCTGAGTGCTGGGAACATCTATTACATCTCTCGGCCCAGAGATGCCCACGTCATTACTGGCCGAAGCCCATATCTTCCCCAGGGCATCTGGCCTGGTTCCTAACACACCTGTGGCATCCTTTAGCCCAGCCCTAACTCCCTCCTCTGAGTGTCATGACCTCTGTCCCTCAGCTGCATCCTGCAACCCTCTGGGACCTGACCTCCATACTCAGCAGCCTCTGTTCAGAGCACTTTACACACGGCTGGGTCTACACCTATCAGATGAGGTAACTTGGCAAGCACCCAGTACAAGGTTCAGAGAGCATACGTTCGAGGTGTGAAAGACCGGCCCTGACCCTCCCAGCCTCAGGTACTAAGGGGGATCTCACAGGTGAGGCTCCAAGGCCTGAGCCCTTCTGCTCCTCAGAGCCTAAGGCAGCGTAGCTCCTGCCCAGACCAGGCCACTGGGATCTGCAGACCACGAGGCATCACCCTCCACTCCGGACAGACGACATCTGCTTGCTGCACCACCAACTTTGTAATTTGATCAAAAAAGCAATCAAGTTCATCTGGCAGGATTTGTTCCCGAGAAGCCCTCGCCAGTAGCAGCCTCCCCTGATGTTTACAGACTCCCTTCCCTTGGGAGTCTGCTCTGCCGCCTGGTGGGCAGGGCAGGCTGGGTCCGTCAGAGCTGCTCACTCACTGCCCGTCTATCCTAAGTCACCACCAGGGCACGGGGACCAGCACGGGCCTGCAATGGCCACTACAGCCTCAAAGACAGAGGCTCCACGTGCCTCATATTAAGAGTTCTCCGTTCTACACCACACACCACCCTCCAGCCCCTCCCCCTCTTTAAAGACCAAACTCCTTCAAGCCTTCAGGGACCAGGGCAGAGCCGCGCTGCCTATGTCTCCTTCTGTCTTTTCAACCTGAGCACTTCAGCTCCCCAGTGCAACTCCTCGTCTTGCTTCAAAGTCCACCCACCCTGAAATTTCAACTCTCATCCAAGTGCTAAAACACATAGCGCCCGACTCCTGGGGCAGCTTCTCAAAGAGTCACATCCCCTAGGACCCCTTATGGAGAGGCCAAGAAGGAGGGATGCTCACCTCGGGCAGACAACTTCTTGGTATTGATGATTTTTGCTGCATACTCTTGCGTGGAGGTTTTCTTCACACACCTGCGGACCACAGAGAAAGCACCCCTGGAGGGAGAAGGGGGAAAGAACTGGGACACGGAGCAGCGCAGTGTGACACAGACACACTTCAGGTCTGAGGGCAGGGATGCTCCCCCCACCAGACCTCTAGCCACACTCACACACCGAGCCGTGACCACCTCGTGACACTGCACAGACGTGGTTGGAGTACCACCCTGCTCCCACCCCTGATGGAGGCCCCGGGCAAGACAGCAGCCTTAGCTTTGGGCTGCACATCAGGAGCTAGTGGGCGATGCTTAAAACACACACCTGCTGCATCTCACTGATAACCCTGGGTCCTGGGTAACACAACCAGGGGAGAGAAGGAAACACAGAGACCCTGTCCTTCTCAGCAGGAAGAGTTGAAGGTAGGGGAAGGAGAGGTCAAAAACAGGATATAATCAATCTTCTGAGAGAAAAATCTCTCTTAGCCATGGGGAAAGTGAGGCTCAATCCCCCTCCACGCGCGCACACATACGCGCGCGCGCGCACACACACACACACACACACACACGGCTTCATCCCACTGCATCCCAGCTCAACTGACAGCAAAGGAAAAGAGAGGACACAGTTGTGAGTCTGACATCAACAGCGCCCTTTCCCCATGATGTTTTCCTCTACGTCCCCCCAAATGGGAGCTCGCACTCCCGGGCTCTAGAAACGTCTGGGGGGCGGGCAGGGCGGGGGCTGCAGTGGCCGGGCTCGGCGCCGCGGGTGGGGGTGGGGGGGCCGGGGCTGCAGCAGCGGCCAGCTCAGTGCGAAGGGGAGGGGGATGCTGCGGCTGCGGCGCGCGGCTCCTGGGACCACTGCAGGGGTGGGGGGAGGGGCCGGGGGTGCTGCAGCGCTGCCCAGCAGCGGGGTTGGGATCCTGGAAGCGGCACTAGCGGGGGGGCGGGGCCGGCCACCAAACATCCCCCCCACTCCCAGGCACCGCAGCGGGTCTGAAGCTGCAGGGCTGGGGAGGGTCCTGAGTGCCAGGCGCGTGGGACGTGGGGACAGGGTGCACAGTGAGCTCCGGAGCAGGGTGGGGAGGGGGCGGCGAGCAGGAGGGGTCGGGGCAAGGGTGAGGGAGGGGCGGGGCTGGAGGGCGCCCAGGAGCTGTTTGGGGGGCTGCAGTCCCCGCGGCAGAGCGGAGTGCAGCAGCCCGCGCAGCTGCTGCGGGGCGCAAAGGGGGCTGCGGGGCATGAAGTGGGGGTCGCGGGGGTTCCGGAGGCAGCAGGCGGGAAAGGCTGGGGGTGGGGCGGGCCGAGGGGGCGCTGCAGCGGCCAGTGCAGGGCCGGGGGCGGGGCGAGGAGCCGCATAGCGCCCGGGCGGCGGGGGCAGGGTGGGGGGCCGCGGCGGGCGGCGGCGGGCGGGCCGTACTTGCCGAGCTCCTCGAAGAGCTGGTAGTCGTCGGTGAAGCGGGTGCAGGTGGCGGTGGTGGCCATGCTGGCGGGCGGGCGGACGCGGCGGTGCAGCCCGCGCCGACGTCGGTGCACAGTCACCGCCCCCCAACCAGAGGGGAAAAAGAGAGAGGGAAAGGGGGGTGGACCCCGGCAACCCCCCCGAATTTTTCCGGAAAAAACAAAGGAAAGGAAGGAAACCCCGGGGCGGGCCGCCCGCCCCGCCCCAACTTCGCCGGGCCCCCCCCCCCCGCCCGGCCCCCGGACCGCCCCCGGGGTGGGGCCTCCCGCCACTGGCCCCGCCCTGCCCGGGAGCCGCCCGGGCTGGGCCAGGCGTGCTAGAGAACCTGGAGGAGGGGTCCCAGCTCCAGGGCACCCGCCAGAGCGGACAGAGGTTTGCGACCAGTAGACTCGTCCCGGAGCCCACCCTGCAAGGGCTTGGGAATGTGTGTGCAAGGGTGTACGTGTTAGGAGTGGTGGAAGGGTCTGGACCATCCAGCTCTCCGGAGAGGCCCCCCCCCCCAGGCGGGGTCCCAAGTCTCCCCCCATCCCCACCCAGGGCTCACTTCGAGTGCAAGGCGTGCCAAGGTCAAGCAGCCCGAGTCACAGCCCAGCTGGTGCAGAGCCAGCTGCTAGCAGCCTGAGGTCGTGGAGCTGACAGTCTAGACTTGGGCAAGCACCAGGGCCATTATTAGGAGAACTCGCATCAGGTGCCGTTGGATCAGAGCGACCAGGCCAGGGACAAGGATACAGGTGGAGCTGTGCCTTCCTGTGCTGGATCTTAGAGATGAGAGAATGTGCTGTTTCAGGCCAGTGAATGAAAGGGATGGTGCGGTAATGCTTTCAAAAGGCTCCGTGCTTGGGCACTACAAAAACAAATGGAAAGATGGAGAAAACATCCCCATTTTCTTGCAGAGCACCCTGCACTTGTGTGGCAGGGTGGATTTTCTGGTGTGAGAGACAAGTAGAACTACAGCATATTTATCTCAAGAGGGAACTCAGATTAGACCACCAGGCTCAGACTGGCAACTCAGTGGCCAGTTGTGTGAACTTGGGCAAGTCACTTAATTTTTGTCTGCCTCAGTTACCTTATCTGAAATTAGAAATAATAATAAGTATCTACCTCATAGCATTGTGAGCATTAAATGAGCTAAACCACATAAAGCACTTAGAATAGTACCTGGTACCTAAATAGAACTGTTTGCTGTTATAATTTGTTTAATATTTGCCTTCTCACTAAATTATAGGTTCCAATAGGGCAAGGCCTCTGCCTCCTTTGTTCACCACCATATACTCAGCCCCAGACTCAGTAAATATTTGCAGAATGTTAAAGGGAGTTATCACCCCTTCTTCTGTCCCTACGAGGACAGGTTGGTGGGACAGAGACACATAATTCTCAATGGAGGAGAAATAGGCTGGAAAGTTTTCTACCCTGCCTGAGAGAGCTGTACCCCAAGTCCAGTGCCAGCCCCTACTGGGCAGGATGGCGCTCAGCCAACTGCAGCAGCTCAGCCTTGATTACAGCAGGACGCCCACTGGGAGGCAGGCCTCCATTGTCTGCAGGCTCGCTCTGCCTGGAGGAGGCAGCTGAGAGGCGCCCCAGCCCTCCGAGCTGCCTCCCAGAGGGGTGGGTGGAGCAAAGCTCTCAGGGCTGGCTCCCTCCTTTCCCTACCCAACAGCCCTGGGTGCCGCTGTGAAAACCAGACTGCCCAGTGTGGGGTGAGTAGGGAGTAGAAGGGAGTGGTGCCTAAGAGGAAATGTGTTCCGAGAGTGCTTAGGAAAAGGAAAGCAAAGGCAGAGGGAAAGGGGAGAGGTGACAGAGCACCGAACCTCACCTCGCCCCAGGGCAACAGGAAGTAAAGCGGTGAGGGGTAAGGCCACTTCCTATTTCAAAGCACTGGGGTTAACAGCCAGGTCCCAGGTTCCAGCACGAGGTAGAGCAGTGAGAGTGTGTACCTGGGGACGCCGGGAGGTCTTGGGTTTCTGTCACCCAGCTTTAAGCAGAAGCAGTACTGCTGGCCTGCACTCCAGGCATGGAGGCTTCATATCAGCTGGTGATCAGTGTGCCTTCCAGAGTGCTCAGGGAGACCTGGCTCTTGACCTCCAGGCACCAATACCTGACACTTTCACATTCTTGGATAGAAGGTGGTCTGAGGCAATGAGGAGGTTGCAACAGCACAGACTAGGACTGCCACCCAGGGGTAAACATAACTGCGGTTACCAAGGACCAGTCTCACCTGCTTGCTGAGTGAGGGGTATCACCCTGGCCGAGGGAAAGGGCCCTGCACTAGTCATTTCAGGGTGACCATCTAAAGCATTTTGCCTTGCACCTCTGGGTTAAAAGGAAGAGTGATAGGAAATACACTGGGGTGAAGCCTTGGGGATGACCATATTCCTGTATACGTAGAGCTAGCGGCCTTTCAGCAAATATCAGCTGCCTACTGTGTGCTTGCCATGGCTTCTTACTTTGCAAATCACTCAAATAAAGTAGAAAATCTGAATTTACACACAAAAAGGAAACCGAATCTGTTCTCTCCATGTTTCTCTCTCTACCTCACTTCTCCCTTCCCCCTCCCTCACTGCTTCCCAACCGCTCAGACTCTGATGTGTCCTTGGTGGCAATTTCAAGCCTCAAGACACTTCTGTGTTCACATGCAAACACACACCCTCCTTGATCCTCATTGCTGTAGCACCCACACAACCTCTAGCTACCCCACAGCAATTAGAGAGAAGATACATGTAAATAATAACGAGCTCACCAGCTCCTTGCGCATCAGTATCTATGGCAACCTCATGGGGTCCTCGGGCTGTGCTGTTCCAGTTGCAGCTGGTCCCCTGGGCAGCACGGCACTCAGACCTTGCCCAGAGCTTGGGGAAGAGGGAATACACAAGAAATCAGTGTCTTCAAATCAATGCCCAACAGGGCAGTACCCTCTGTCAGTCTGATCTTTAACCTCTGAATTTCAGAACCCAATTTTAGAGCATGAAGGCACTCACTTTTCAGACCTAGGGAAAACAGGGCCTTGGAAGGTGAGCTATTTAAGTGTAAGGGAGATGATGCCACTGGAAGGGAAAGCTATTTACCCACTTGTTGGGCGATATTGCAAAACTGCTTCAGAGGGAAATCAGTTTTATGTCCGAGAGGTTTTTCCTTTCTTTCTTTCTTTCTTTCTTTTTTTTTTTTTTTACTTTTAACACTTTTTTTTTTTTTTAATTTGACAGGTAGAGTTATAGACCGTGAGAGAGAGAGACTGAGAGAAAGGTCTTCCTTCCATTGGTTCACCCCCCAGATGGCTGCCATGGCCGGCGCACTGCGCTGATCCGAAGCCAGGAGCCAGGTGCTTCCTCCTGGTCTCCCATGCGGGTTCAAGGGCCCAAGCACTTGGGCCATCCTCCACTGCACTCCCGGGCCACAGCAGAGAGCTGGACTGGAAGAGGAGCAGAGGAGCTACCGGGACTAGAACCTGGCGCCCATATGGGATGTTGGCACCACAAGGAGGAAGATTAACCAAGTGAGCCACGGCCCTGGCCCCACTTTTAACACTTTAATACAGTTCAAACTGGCTTCTCTGATTCATTTTAGCTCTTTCAGGGTCAGGCCTAGGGGCAGGGACTGCTTCAGCTTCTCGGCCTTCTCCTTGTCCATGATGACCAGCGAGTAAAGGTACCTGCTGCAGCACACCTTGAACTTCATATTGTCTTTATTCTTCTTGATCTTGACACACTTGGCATCCTTCCACCAGGTCATGAGTAGGAAGTCCTTGATCTCTTCAATTTTCCGAGGCATGGCGACGAGGCCACGAACCAGCACCCCACTTTGCCTAACACCGCTCAAGAGGTACTCTGAGAGAGGTTTTCAATCCACAGAATCTTAGGGATTGTACAGCTGTGCTCCAGCAGCTGCCAACATACATATGTTGGTTCCATATAAGGTTTGGTTGGGGAAGAGTCCCTGGCTAAAAAAGAAGTTTTGAAATACACAGTGACTTCTGAGTTTCCCTCCAATTCTAAGATTCTGTGACTAGGGGCCAGCGCTGTGGAGCAGAAGGTTAAGCCTCTACCTGCGGCACCGGCAACCCATATGGGCACCGGTTCAAGTCCCGGCTGCTCCACTTTTGACCCAGCTCCCTGCTAATGGCTGGGAAAGCAGCAGAAGATGGCCCAAGTGCTTGGGCCCCTGCAACCGTGGGAGACCCAGAAGAAGCTCCTGGCTCCTGGCTTTGGCTTGGCCTCAGATTTTCATGTGAGGAACTGAGACGCTGATGAAGAGCCAAGCTCAGAGATTCTGGGGAATTGCGGGACTATGCAGTGTGCAGAGCCAAGGTATTCCAAGTGGGGCGCTCAGGGCTGCCTGGGACTACTCCCTTCCATTTTTCAGCTAGAGGCTTGGTTCCAGAGGGCAATCTGATCCCGACCTTCTCACCCTCAAACCCAGCTCCGTCTCCCTCTGCCTCTGCGTTCTCTGCCATTTCCCTAGAGACCACCCACTCTTCCCTTGCATCTTCAACTCCTGCTGGGAAGCCCAGTGCACTCTAGGCGCTCAGCAACTCTTTGTGGGGTAACTGAAATACTGGGGTGAGGGACAGAGATATCTGCAGGGAAGACAGTGCCAGTGCTGTGGTGACAGAGCTGTCATCAGAGGCAAAAGGAAGGGACCTGGATTACGCAGCTTGCTGCCTGCACCCTCGGGGATGGCCGAGGCAGAAGAGCGGCGTGTGAGGCCCCCTGGTGGGCGGATGGAGACGCTCGGGCACTTCGAGGAAGGGACGTGAACACAAACAGGGATGTGATGAAGATGACAAAAACCAGGGTAGCTAATGTTTCGGGAGAGCTTGCTGCTTGCAGGGCACGCGCGCTAAGCACTCTACATAAGCTATTCAGTTTAACCCTTACCATCACCCTGTGACTGTGGCAGCCATCAGCCACATTTTACAGAGAAGGAAACAAGTTTAGAAAGGTGCAGCAGCTTGTTTAAAGGCAAACAGGTAGGAACTTGATTGAGGGCAAATGAACAGAGGGATACAGGGCAGGGGGTGGTGGTGGTGGAGTGGTAGATGGCATCAAGGGAGAATTCAGGGTGTTTATCCTGCCAGTAGGAACTAGATCGGAATCTTAAACTCAACGTGGATTTGACCCAATCCAGTCCCCGCCCTGCACCCAGCACTTACTCAGAGGGGGCACTCATGCTTTCTTTTTTTTTTTTAATTTATTTATTTTTTATTTAGTAAATATAAATTTCCAAAGTACAGTTTATGAATTACAAAGGCTTCCCCCCCATAACTTCCCTCCCACTCGCACCCCTCCCATCTCCTGCTCCCTCTCCCATTCCATTCACATCAAGATTCATTTTAGATTATCTTTATATACAGAAGATCGATTTAGTATATATTAAGTAAAGATTTAGTATATATTAAGTAAAGATTGCACCCACACAGAAACACAGAGTATAAAATACTGTTTCAGTACTAGTTATAGCATTACTTCACATTGAACAACACATTAAGGACAGATCCCACATGAGGAGTAAGTACACAGTGACTCCTGTTGTTGACTTAACAATTTGACACTCTTGTTTATGGCGTCAGTAATCTCCCTAGGCTCTAGTCATGAATTGCCAAGGCTATGGAAGCCTTTTGAGTTCGCTGACTTCGATCTTATTCTGACAGGGTCATAGTCAAAGTGGAAGTTCTCTCCTCCCTTCAGAGAAAGGTACCTCCTTCTTTGATGGCCCCATTCTTTCCACTGGGATCTCACTTGCAGAGATCTTTCATTTAGGTCTTTTTTTTTTTTTTTTTCCTAGAGTGTCTTGACTTTCCATGCCGAAAATACTGTCATGGGCTCTTCAGCCAGATCCGAATGCCTTAAGGACTGATTCTGAGGCCAGAGTGCTATTTAGGACATTTGCCATTCTATGAGTCTGCTGTGTATCCCGCTTCCCATGATGGATCGTTCTCTCCCTTTTTGATTCTATCAGTTAGTATTAGCAGACACTAGTCTTGTTTGTGTGATCCCTTTGACTCTAAGACCTATCAGTGTGATCAGTTGTGAACTGAAATTGATCACTTGGACTAGTGAGATGGCATTGGTACATGCCACCTTGATGGGATTGTATTGGAATCCCCGGCACGTTTCTAACTCCACCATTTGGGGCAAGTCCAATTGAGCATGTCCCAAATTGTACATCTCCTCCCTCTTATTCCCACTCTTATATTTAACAGGGATCACTTTTCAGTTAAAATTTAAACACCTAAGAATAATTGTGTGTTAATTACAGAGCTCAACCAATAGTACTAGAACAAAACAAAACAAAATACTAAAAGGGATAAAGTATTACATTGTACATCAACAGACACTCATGCTTTCATTCATTCATCCATTTTCTTGAGGACCTCTTCTGGCCCAGTCACCTGGGAAATGGAAGAGAACAATCCCACAAGGTTCCTGTCCTTGGGGAGCTTGTGTTCTTGTAGGAAGGCAATGAAAATAGAAAGAGGTCATTTTAGACCTTTGTAAGTTTTACTTCAGAGAAAATAAAACCAAGCAATGCAGATAGATAGTGGGGATTGTGGGCGGGCATGGGGAATTCCTCTCCTTGAGGTGCTCACATAGGACTCCTTTCAGAAAGTGACTTTGGAGATATGTACATGATGATAATGAGTTAGTCCTTGGAAGATCCAAACAAGAACATTCCTGGGGGGACTGAAGCAGCAAGTAGCAAAGACTCAAGATAAAAACTGTCCCAAGTGTCATTTTACATGTGTTTGTGTGACTTCAGATGTCTCATCAGGGTAGGGTCTGTGTCTATTTATGTTCATCCTGGTGTCTCCAGCATCTAAAGTGCCTGGGGTGGAATAATCACTCAATAAATGCTTGGAAGGTTAAAGAAGAAGAAGGAGAAGGAGAAGAGGAGGAGGAGGAGGAGGAGGAGGAAGGGGGAAGGAAAAGAAGAAAAAGAAAAAGAAAAAGAAAAAATACTATGTATGATAGTTTTAAAGGAGGGATAATCCAATTAATTGGGTCAATCAAAAACTTAATGGAGAATATGGAAGGAGGGGAAGGGTGTTGGCAGATGGCCATGCCCCCTCATCTACTGTCCAACTTTCTGTACTCCAGGGCAGGTCCAGAGGCTCCAAGTTCCCAGACCTGGTTACGTACCAGACATTTCCACTCGAATATTCTGCAGTCTGCACAAACTTAACATGATCCAAATCCAAATTAATCAAATTGAGAGGCTGTATAAAATGGCAGTTAAGAACACTGAAGCGGGGCCAGTGTTGTGGCACAGCAGGTAAAGCCACCGACTGCAGTGCCAGCATCCCATATAGGCGCCAGTTTGCATCCCGACTGCTCCACTAATGATCCAGCTCTCTGCTATAGCCTGGGAAAGCAGTAGAAGATGGCTCAAGTCCTTGGGCCTTTGCATCTGCATGGGAAACCTGGAAGAAGCTCCTGGCTCCTGGCTTCGGATGAGCCCAGCTCTGACCATTTGGAGAGTTGAACCAGCAGATAGAAGACCTGTGTGTGTGTGTGTGTGTGTGTGTGTGTTTGTGTCTGCCTCTGCCTCTGCCTCTCTGTAGCTCTGCCTTTCAAATAATAAGTAAATCCTTTTAAAAATATTTATTTATTTGAAAATCAGAGTTACACAGAGAGAGAAGGAGAGGCAGAGAGAGAGAGGTCTTCCTTCTGCTACTTCACTCCCTAGAAGGCTGCAACTGCCAGAGCTGCACTGATCTGAAGCCACGAGCCAGGAGCTTCTTCCGTGTCTCCCACACAGGTGCAGGGGCCCAAGGACTTGGGCCATCTTCTTCTGCTTTCCCAGGTTGTAGCAGAGAGCTGGATCAAAAGTGGAGCAACTGGGACTTGAACTAGTGCCCATATGGGATGCCGGCACTGCAGGCAGTGGCTTTACCTGCTATGCCACAGCTCCAGCCCCATAATAAGTCAGTCTTTAAAAAAATGAAATAAATGAAAGAACACTGAAGCAGGGGCCAGCGTTGTGGTATAGTAGATAAAACTGCTGCTTGCAACGTGAGGATCCCATACTGGCACCGGTTCATGTCCCAGCTGCTCCACTTCCCATTTAGCTCCCTGCTAATGGCCTGAGAAAAGCAGTGGAAGATGGTTCAAGTGTTTGGGCCCTGTTACCCATGTGGGGGACCCTGAAAAAGCTCCAAGCTTTGGCCTGGTCCAGCCCTAACCACTGCAGCGATCTAGGGAGTGAGCCAGCAGATGGACGATCTCTCTCCGTCTCTCTCTCTCTGTTAACTCTGACTTTCAAACAAATATATCTTAAACTGAAACAAGGATGGGTGTTTGGCACAGTAGCTTGAATCATCACTTGGGATGCCAGCATCCCATACTAGAGTGCTGATTCAAGGCTATTCTGCTTCTGATCCAGCTTCCTGCTAATGCATTCCTGGAGGCAGCAGATAACAGCTCAAGTACTTGGGCCCTTGCTACCCAAGTGGAATGTTCAGGTGTTGTTCTGGGCTCCTAGCTTGGATTTGGCCCAGCCCAGGCCTGTAGCAGGCATTTGGGGAGTAAACCAGTGGTTGGAAGAGATGTCCTACCCTCCTCCATCTCTGTCACTTTGACTTTCAAGTAGATGAAAATGAATAAATAAACATAAAAAAGAACACTGATTCCGCAACTACTGGTCTGCAGCTGTTCTTATGGTAGCAGTTGTGGCATTCCACCGTGGGAAAGAAACTGTTATACAATTAAATACCTCTGTCTTAGCAAAACAGAAAGTGGGTATATGTGTGACACACATGAGATAAAAGATTT